CCCACTTCTGATGATTTTGGAGGTCCATGTTTGCTCAGCTCTCAATCTGTATTGTCTAAATGGACTTTGAGCTTGAATGCTGTTCATTATCTCCATATTTCATTTCGTTTTCACTATTCAGTTAGTCTGGAAATTTTCCATCCATGATATCTCAAATAGTGCGAATTTACATAATACAGCATCTATTTTTAGAAACTGTTGCTAAAAAAAATTGTGAGCCTACGTTCATTAATATGTAAAGTGCTGTCTAAACAACTGTTCCTGTTGTTGAAATATTGTAGATAGCAATATGTTTGTAAAAAATTTAATGAAGCTTCCAGTATGTGGAAAATTTTTATTTAACCTCATTTTACATACTAAGAAGTATCTAGGTTTTTTATTTTTTTTGTGCTAAAAATAGAAATGGGAATCCCCTTGAAACATTTTGCATTTCAGTCATTGGTTTCTAGTACTTGTCAGTCACATAATGTATATATTAGGGAGTATTCAAAATTTCAATCCATAATGTCTAAAATAGTGCAAGAATCTCTATTTTCTAAATAACTCACTGCATCTATTTTTAGACTACGGTTGCTATAAAAAGAAAATAGAATCCATCTTCAATATTGTGTCAATTATTAATTGCCCAAGTTTTTATTCATGACATATTGTAGACAGCAGTATAATTTGAAAATATTTTTTTCAATGAAGCTTACAACTGGTGGAAAATTGTCACTTTTCCTCAAATGTTTCTATGTTTCTATTTATGGGTGTTTGTGCTATAAATAGAAAAGGGAACCCCCTTCAGATAGTGTATATTTCTGTAAATGGTTTCTAGTACTTGTCAATCACACGAGGTTTATAACAGTTAGTCTGCATTCTTTCCATCCACCATTGCCTAAAAAAGTGCAAGAATCTACATTTTCTAGATAATTCGAGGAATCTATTTTTAGACCATTGTTGCTATAAAAAGAAACAAGAGTCGATCCTTAATATTGTATCAATTATTGTACAAACACATGTTTTTTTGAAGGCATATTGTAAAAAGCTTAATATTTGTTAAGACTTTTTCTATGAAGCTTCCAATTAACATAAAACTGTCATTTTTCTTAATATTCAGAGACATATCTATATTTAGGTGCTTGATACTATAAATAGAAATGGGAATCCCCCTCAACCATTGTCCACTCCAGCTAGTGGTGTCTAGCTACTGTCATTAACATCTTAATATTTACAATATACTTCCTAATTATCCAGCATTGACATCTAAAACTTTGCCAAAATTTGATTTTTTACATTTTTCTAAAATATATTTATTTATAGATACATGTTACTAAAAATAGGAGTAAATGCCCACCGATATTTTTTCATGAGATGACACTACTAATTCTCAAGTATAAAAACACACATAAGATTTGGAAATTTTTTGCTGACAATTTTTCATATTTAGCCTTAAAGATCTCAAAAAATGCTAAATTCCCCATTTTTCAAATTTTCAGAAACCATGTCAATTTGCATGACCTTTTTATTAGATTGGGAATATTTCTAGAATAAATGATTATATGCCTTGTGTACCTTAAAAGTTCAAGTTATCATGTGATCCAATGATTTTAGTTTGTGTGTAGTTGATACCGATAAATATCCGTTTACATTTCCTTAATTTTCATGTTTTCATTTGGTCAAAAAGGGCCAAAAATGGCCAAATTCAATGGATCCGTCTCCATGGCAACCAAGTGCACGTGTGGAACTTCCGACACCATATTTGCTAGTTTTGTACCAAGACACATCTGTGCTGCAAATTTCATCAAAATCCGAGACATGTCGTTTCCATTTTTTTTTGGTGCTTACAGAGAATGCGTGTTAATTGGTGAAACTTGCTGAAAAATATGTTACACTTCAATTTTTTTTCTTTAATTTAATGAAATTATTGTCAGAAGTATAAATTTCTTTGGCTATTACAGTTTAATGTATTTTTATTATAAGGTTTAATTACACCAGAAAATATTTCAAAAAAATATATTTATATGCTTACATTTAATATTTTCTTCATTTATCACAAATTTTACCTTTCCGTGTTTTCTTGTGGTAATAACCAAAGTTTTCCAAATATTTTTAGACCATTTTTCATTTTGACTGTTTGTCATTATTTTGTGCAGTAATTTATAGGTAATTTAAAAATGACGTATTTCTTAAAGTCACATTAAATCTCTAGTGTATATATATACAGACTGTTAAAATTGAAAGAAGCCTAATTTTTCAAAATAAATTTATTTTTGGGATTAAACATTATGCAAAACAAATCAAAGTTATAATTTCCCTGTCATTGGAATATCACTTTGAAATATCTTATCTTGTAGATTCTTTTTATCTTTGATGAAAAAATATACATCATACATGTATCTGATTTCTGAAACAAAACTACCAGTGATTGTTCACAGATATTTGGATTCCTGAATTAATAAAACCTCCCTTCCAATCCCAGATTGTGTGGAGAGTAAAGACATCTGTCTGGAGTGTACCAATAAATCTGTCATCTCTATTGAGTAATCATCCCAATTTGTTACTTCCTCTGAAATCAGCTTCAGTCAACATTGGCAGAACTTGTCTTCTAAAATGTTTTTTTTTTCTTTTTTGCACTACAGTGCAAAGAAGATTTCTTATTACACTGACAAATACTCAATAAGAAAGAGTTTTATAGGAATTAAAGGTATAAAGAAGGAAAGGGTGGAAGTAATGTAGAGAAATCTATGTACTTTTGGAGTACACCAGGATTTGGAGTACCACTAAAAAAAGAATCACAGTTTTGCATGACAGGTACTCGCTTTGAGGTGTGAGTGCACCAAACAACACCTGCATTACTTAACTTTCTTAACAAGCCAATTACACCCAAAAAAAAACTGTTTCTTGCAATTGCATCTTCATGTATCTTCATTTTGCAGAGGAGAAATGAAAAGTTGCACCAGTACACTGCATTGTTTTTGTTTGCTAAAAGTGATGCCTAGTCATTGTTCAACTCAAACATATAGAAAAAAATTTTATTGATGAAAATCTGAGACTTGGCAATGGCTTACTAAGGCCAGAGCCAGGATTTGTTTTGGAGAGGAGCTTGGTGCAGCGTCAAGGGAGAAAATACCATGAATTTAGGAACAGTCTTTTAATGTTTCATGTCAGTGTCTGTCATCAGTTCATTAAAACCTTTTAAAATGGTGTTTTGGGTTTTTGAAATTGTGTGAAGAAAAGGGAATTTTTGTGTGTGCTGTAATATTGTCCATTAGGCATGAATTTTTGTGTGTGCTGTAATAGTGTCCATTAGGCATTAGTCTACAATAAAAATTATGCAGAAGAGTTTTTGAGAAACCAAATCTAATGGACTATTCACTATGTAATGAACACCAAACATTTCATATTGTTTTTGCTTCTGCATGCAGTCATTTGTTGAAATTTCAGCTATGGATATGTAACATCTTTAAGCAGAAACAATTTTCGGAAAAAAAAGATTTTTTTATCAGTACTCTGCATACAATAATAAAATGTGAAAATTTCAGAAATAATATCTTTAGTAAAACAAAATAAAGAAAAAAAAATCAGATCCACATTTGTGCCAAATTTATCAAGAATATTTATAATTATGTAAGGGATGGGTTCAATTTTTCACTTTTCCTTGAAAAATTTCCAAAAAGTTTTCTCCCAGACAGGAAGCAGGATTGTTAATGAAAAACCACCTTGATATAAACAAGAGTAGAACATCTACCCTGGCCACCGGATATCCATAACATCATCAGTGTATGATGAAAAGATATACATCCAACACTAAGTGATCATACAGGAAATTATATTTAACAGATTTTTCCCCCACACCATACATTCACATTGAATCACTGGCATATTGGCAGGTCTCTTACATTTTTCTTTCCAGATGGCATCTGTTTTCAGATATTTTTTTTTCCTGACCCCTTTCCATTCTAGGAAATCAAAGTCATGAGTCTTCCTGGTTATGTTTTGGCTCACCTGAGTCAATGCTTAATTGAGGCATTTTTTTTAAAGTTTTCACTTTTTAGTGTTATCAGGTGTATTCATTTTTCTGTGAGTCAATAAAAGATACTGTATATTTAAGTTCCAACATAGACATTTAAGATAACCAAGCTGTATGATTTAGATCTACATCATGTTTTTATGCCCCTATAATTGAAGATTCAGGTGCATATAGTTTTTGGTCTGTCTGGCTTTATGTTTGTCTGTTTAGCTGTTTGAATGTCTATTTGTCAGCAACAACTTTGGCCATAACTTCTAAACAGTTAGCACTAATATTTCACCTGTGTATTTCTTATGAGAAGACCTTTCTTTGGGTACCAACATTTTTGACCTCATGTCCTTGACCTTGGTGTTTAAGCTACTTTTGAAAAACTTTAACTTTGGCCATAACTTTTGAAGGTTGCCGGTAATGCTCTCACATTTCACATATGTATTCTTTGTGACAAGACCTTTATTTGCCTACCAACATTTTTTTTTTTACTTCTTGACCTTTACCTGGGAGTTAGACTACTTTTTAAAAAACTAACCTTGGCCATAACTTCTGAGTGGTTGGTGTTAGGGCTGTCATATTTCACATAATATGTTTGTCTGTTTATTTATTTTGTCTATTTTTCTGCAACAACTTTGTTCACTTACTTTTCTACAACAATTTCTAAATGTCAGCTAAGGCATTCATATTTCACCTGTGTATTTCTTATGACAAGACCTTTCTTTGGATACCAACATTTTTGATCTCATGACCTTGACCTTGGAGTTTAATCTACTTTTGAAAGATTTTAACCTTGGCGATGAGTAGCCATACTGGGGCATTGGTGTTTCACAAACACATCTTTTTCTTTTTCTTTTAAATTTGATGTATAAAGATTATGCATGTAAATTATGCTTATTACGTAAAATATGCTTATAAGTTATAATCTACATGATTGCTTACTAATTAAAACATAGCATCTGTATATGACGTTAATTGATATTTGATTTTTTATTTGCAGTCATCTATATCCTAGCCTGTCTGGTAGATTTCTTCACGAATCATTCTGATTACACCAGGTAAACTTTCCTACTACATCTATTCAGTATCAGGTAAAATGCTATACTAAGGCATCTTGCTTATTATTACATTATTACAGTAACAAGTAGTGTGACAATGGTAGACATGCACACACTGATTTCTCTGATATTACAATTTAAGGTAGTCATTCTGATTGTAATTATCATTTGCAAAAGCTGTTCACAATATACCCTGATGATGAAACTCTCAAAATATACATGATGATGAAACTCTCAAAATATACATAAGGTACATTGATTACATATGGTTTTCACTTATTACATATATGCTGACATGATTACACAAGGTGGATACTCTTAGCAAGTGATTTAGACATTCTAATCAGACTGACTACACAGGGACAGCATTTGTTTAAAAAGAAAGCTCATTACAAAAGATAGACAGTCTGATTACATATTACTTTATTACACGATGTAAGCACTCGTAACAAAAACTGACAAAGTGGAAACAGACAATCTTGTTAATACATGCATTGGATTATTATTATAGATATATTTTAATGATGTGACTGTCACTTGGCATTCAGAAGTAAGGTTATTATATTTCAGGGTTTTTTTATTTAATGTAATATTTATTACATTTAATGTAATCATTGTGAGTTCACTATAGCATTTATAATATCAGGGTTCGACACTAACATTAGTCCGTTAGTCTCAGACTGATACATTTTCATTCGGACTAATAAAACCTGTGACTAATTAGTCCAAGCGGACCAATAAAAATTTCTGGAAAACTATATGAATAAATTACTGATGTCCGATTCTCGACAACTTTTACTAGAAAATCCCGCATTTATTTTTAGATTTCTAGCTTTTGGTGGGTAGTTACGCAATTCCGAGTCAATTCAGAGCTTTATTTTTCGATTGATCGATATGAAGTAAAAGGTTTTCATGATCATGATTTAGTATGACACTTTAAAGAAAGATGTTGGACGTTTTGAATGTAATGTAAAGAACGAGATCGGTAATACGATCGTACTTGCTGATTGCGAGATTTGAATGAATCTGTGGAATAATAAATTTCACGTAAATGCTTTGTCTCTTTCAAAAAAAAGTATAAAACGTATATTAATTGTCACGTTAAATTAATGTCTAAAAACAATTTTTTTTTGACGGACTCATAAAATCACGTGTGGACCAGTAAAAGTAAAGAAGCACTAGTCCAGCCGGACTAAAGCCTTAAAAAGTTAGTGTCGAACCCTGAATATTTGCATTTACCTTTTTCATTTTTATTACATTTTATTACAATCAGTGTAGACTAATACAAGTTAGCTTAAAAATAAATGTATAGACTTTTAATATTTAACTACAATTCATTCAACAAATTGTTAAGGCATTTTGTAATTTTCTTTGAAATTCAGTGGTTTTAATGAACTTAAATGAAATCTGTAGATACATATTTTTTACAACGTTTCATGGTAAGAAAAATTGTCTTTAATAGCGTGGATGAAGAACACGGCAGGTTAATTGCATGGAGAACAGCATGTCTAACACAGTTGTGACCCCAAACCCTCAAGTTACAAATCCTCTTGATTGAGTAAATTCAATTTTTAAGGCTATAAACTTAAATCAGATGTTTATCATTTAATTCCTTTGGTGTTATTGAAGCACAGCTAATGGTTTGAGCCTACAGTGTTTGGGGTAAGGGTAAAATGAGGAAGTGGTAGCGCCACTGCCAGGGTCTGATTTTTCCTCCAACCAAAGTTTGCTGCACTTCCTAATTTGTGACCATGATGTAGTGATATAACTTTTTAAAAGTGCCCCTTTTATGTTTTTTTTTGACACACCTTAGATATTTGAAAATGAGTTTAACATAAAGTTCAATTATAAGTTATAAAATGTAGGAAATATGGAGTGTAATTATAATGAATCACATTTTCTTAATGTACATTTTTATAAACAAAGACTTTATGCATGCAATAAAATTAGATGCAGTGAATAATTAACATTTGTCTAACCAAGAATTTTTTATTATCATGTACTTGATAAACAATTTTCTTTTCAGTATATTATACAGAAAAGTGATGGGGAAAATTATAATCATTCCATATAAGTGAGGATTCTTTTTAACAAAGTTCTGTATAAGCAGGTTTTACTGTACTCAAAATCATGAGTCAAAAGGAAAATAAGATTCTTGAGATTGAAAAGACATAAACTGTTTAAAAACAGCTACCTTTATGAAAAAGAAATAAAAGATGGAACAAATACACGTAACTCAAACAATTAAATTCTGTTATTTTGTATCCAGAATTTTGAGTAAGACTCAATTTTTTTGTGGAATATTCTTTGTTCATTCATGTTTTGGTATTCATATAAGCAAACAATAACATGAAGGCTTGACACTTTGCTATTAAGACTGCAATTGCACACCAATTTCATGCACCCAGAGACTCTTTTTTTTATTACATTTGATCATTTTTTTCATCCATAATGGCAGGAAACAGAATCTCAAAAAGGTTTAAATACCAACAACCATCATTGTAAAGTTTTTAATTAAAATTTTTTTGGCCAACATTTGAATTCAGTTTAATAACATCCATTATAACTCAATGGAGTTGATCAGGTTCAAAAATATCAAAAGTTCATTAAATCTTTTAAAAGGGGGCTATTGTTTGATTAGTGGGGGTGTCTGCTTTCTACTTAGACTACATAGCAATTATTACAATCTTCTCCAAAACACATTTGCTAGAAGCTCAGTTTCAGACCTTCTGCCTCCATTCCAATGATGTAGAATCCAGAGATTATAAATTTATAATGTGTGCAAGAGAGAGGGATAGAAACCCTCAGGAAGACTGTGGTCAATTTAGCAATTTATTTTTTGGTACATGGAGCTCCCTCGAGTCGTTGCCCTCCTTGACTTGACAGCAGCAAGGATTTTGTTTGCCCATCAAATGATGAGTTTTATATTAGATTCTTAAGCTTTCCTGCAATCTGTGCCTTGTGCATGGAGGATTATGTTCAGGTTATAAGAGGTGGCTTTATGATTAAAAAATCATCACCCTGTGTCTCGTGAAGCAGTCAAGCAGAACTGATTAAAACAGATCATGCACAGTTTGTCTTTGATTGTTGCTTTTCTAGCCTTTCTAAGTAACTTATTTATTCAGAGTTAGTAATTGGATTTGGGTTATGTTTTTGGTTGTTTATTTTGCCAAAATAGCAGATAAAAAAAAACTCTGAGATTGAAATTCTAGATCACCGGTTTGTTTTGGTCTGTGAGTTAGATTAACTTAAATTAAGTTGAACAGAATTTGTTTGAAAGCTTATATTGGATTGGAAATTTTAATTAAAATTGTTTAACTTTGAATTCAGAAGTTTTATGGTTCTTGGCTAATTAAATTGACATGAATTCCTGTTTCTCAGCAGATTAGCGTAGATTATTGTTGCTGACAATGATTAAATGCGTTAGAAAAACAGAGATTGGCAAATTCTTGTCTCTCAAGATAGTATTTAGCTTTAATTTACACATTAATTATTCAGGTTTCAGTTTATGTAATTCCCACAGTTATGCATTATATTATGTAATAATGTAATAAATGTTCTAATGGTTCATTTGAAAAAAAAAAAATCTTAGTGGAATGATAATGAACAAATTAAAGTTATAAATGCTTTCCAAAAATAAGCTAGATTTAAAATAACAATCTCACTTTGCAAATTACATTAGAAAACCCCCATGTGCAGTTTTCTCTAAACCACCCAGAATTTCCTCTGTTTTAAAGAATCCGAACTTGCAGGTCTCTGAGAATTCTTTCTGTACATGATGCTTAACTCAGATGACATATCTAAGCTTTCAATAAGATAACTCCAGCAGAGTTCACAATAAATGAAGATAGCCTTGTTGGTAATGATTGATAGAAACACTGAAACTTGGCATTCATTATAACCTGTAGAGCAGCTCACCTTTTATGATAGCAGTCTCGAGATATAGGAATGATAGTGCTACTTATTGCTGATAAAAGGGCTATCATTGATGACGCTAAGTTTTGGGAATCACACCTTAGAAGCCAAGTTGATGGATAGATTGGGAGGGTTTTATGTAAAGGTGGCAGAAATCTTATGGTCCTGCTTTTGTGCTCCATTGATAGAGTAAATGCCAGGAATTTGTGACATTTTCAGCGTGTGATGTTTTTGGATCTGTGTGTAATGATTGTCATTTTCCATTAAAATCTGATGTTTTTGAAGTAGATTGCCTAAGATTTCTGTGATAGAACAGATACAAATGAAACTTGTCAGGCAGGACAGAACTTAGGTACTAGCTGGGATGGACCTGAATAATGACCTCAAGGGACCTTTGACCTTTAGATTCAGGACAAGTTTTGATGCAGTGACAAAGTTTTGAGTGATATATATTATAACTCTTATGAATCTAGTAACCTTTAGCATTCACAACAGGGTGATGACCTTGAAAAATGACCATGAACTTATGAGTTAAGAAGCAGGCAAGTGGGGATACACTGAGAAATTTTATGCATCCATTTACACAAATTGAACAATTAAAAGTCACACACTGTATTTCAGAGAAGTTTATTACCATGCACTGATATATTCACCTTAGATTTAAGAAAAAAAGGGACTGCTATAGCACTTCTAAATGCATGCAGCATTATAATATTTCTATTGCATGTTCTTTCACAATACATGTACCAAAGTTAATAAAAAAATTATCAGACACTGCATTTGAAACAAAATACTATTTAGTAATCAAGGTCATTTTCTTATTTGCAGCAAATTCTTTGATATCTTTCATCTGATTTGATTTAATAATGCTTAATACTTGTTAGAGATTGATGCTCAGGAAGAAATTTGTATCAATTAATGCACAACTGTAAAAAATAATTCTTGATTTTCAGGGTTTTCAATGAAAATTCAAGGTCAGTGGGTAATTAAAACCAAAAAAAAAAAAAATGAGAGAAAATGTGAAATTAATTTGTTTATATAACAGTGAGTGCAGGTGTTTGAATTTTCAGGTTAATTAGTAATCTCCTAATGCTAGCCTACCTTATGCTTATATAAATTGTATATAAATTCATTCCTCATGAATTGCATCATACTGAACATTTTGCTACATTAGAGACTGGAGGTCAAGTGTGTGTGCAGTCATTTGCTCTGAAAGTCACCTTTCCTCCATGATGTCAGTTTGATTAATTGTTCGTGGTTTACATAAACAGAGATGCTAGGAGGATTTAAATGTCAAAAATGAAGTTAAAACCAAATAATTTGAAATTTTGAAGAGTCTTGCAGATAAGAATGTTTCAACAACTCAATTACTTTTTTTAAAGTGCATCAAATTTGAAATTTGAATTTGAAAAAATACCTGTATGTCATTAATCTTTGAGAGACAAAATGCTGTGGATTAAAATTTGTTCCTGCAATGTAGTGTGAAGTGAACATGCAGTAATAAAATGAAAAATATGAATACAATTTTCTGAGCTATTACTAATAGCTTGTTTGCTATGCCGTTATTTGCCATGCAGTAAAAATGATGCAGAACTATATGAAACAGAGAGAAAAGAAAACAAGTTGCTTTTTATAATACCATCAGGTTGTCTCTAAGCCTTGTCAATGTATGGAAAAGTGAAAATAATATTTGATTTGAATTTCATGCAAGTATGTATTTCACAAAATATCTTATTCTCGACAAAGGTACATGTAGTACTTAATTTATTTACAAAAATAGAAAGGAAAAGATCATTAGTTGTCAATTTGACAATTTTTTTTGTAGTATGGACAACGGAGTCAGGACAGGGGATATAACAATGACATGGCACTCAATTTACCAAGACGTAATGTCTGCCGTTGGCATTGTTCATGATAAAAATGTACGTATGGACAAGGAAAAGAAAGATAACTCACTCTGTTTCAGAATTTAAATTGCACATTTTTTAAATGATTCTTAAAACATGGTTTTAACAAAAGAACTTGATATTCATTTATGTCAGTATATTTTTATGTTGGTGTATTCCAGCAATATTAATTACCGGTATATACAATGTACATGCAGGGGCCATTAAAAGGTGAAACTGTGAAGAATTTAGAGAAGTATGTTATAAAAGATGAAAGGCTTCCAGTGCTTTTGGACAGGTATGCTTTGACTATCAGCTAATGTGACCAGTTCTCATGTATATATACTAGAGTTCTCATATATGGTATAAGTACCAGATATGTAATGAATTCTCATAGGTATGTCTCTTCTATAGGCCATATTTTATTTTTTCAAACTTTTTTTTTTCATACCAAAGGTGCATATATGTAAAAACAGAGTTCTAATCTGATGTAAATGTTTTTGTTTTTCTGTGTTAGAATGAGAGCACATGGATCCAAAGTCTTTCTAGCAACAAATAGTGGTTATCAGTACACAAATGTAAGTTAATGTGTCATCTACTTAAAGGTTTACCGGTAATTAATCATCAAAAGTGACAACTTGGAAAGTCAAAGAATACACAAAAACTGTAGACATCAATACATGTAGTTGTATATTTCATTGAGAAATCGTTTTAATATCTATTCTTCTTCACTGTGATTTACAGTGTAATGAATGTTTTACTTTGATTTGATTTTCATATGGGTTTTTTTTTCTTGTAGAAAGTGATGTCATACATGTTGAATGATGACAAGGTATTTACATTTTCTCGTAAGATTTGAAGTGTGTGTGTGTGTGCCTCTCTATTAAAGAGAGGGGAAAATGGAATTGTGTATATGTACACAAAATTAAACAGCACAAAATTTTAGAATATATATGATATGTTCATGTCATAACAGGGGTTGAAATATACGGTAGCCCAATGCCCAGGGCTAGTCATTTTAAGACTCGGGCTAGCTAATTCAAATGTAACGATAGTCAGTTGGACTAGCAGAACAGAAAAAATTCTCGTCAGTTCACTGTCTCTTTTCTTTATAGACTGGTTTCTTTTGACCGAGAATTATTTTAATTTGTTTCTTTCACCAAAGCGTTTGAAACTTTAACTTGTTATGTTTTCATTTTGCATGAAAAAAAATTTGGGCTAGTTAGTTTGAGGTTTGGGCTAGTAAATTTTTACTGATTGGTTGCCCATGGGCTAGTGGAATTTCCAGGAAAATTTCAACCTCTGCATAAAAATTGTATGAAAAAGTCATGTATTGAAAGTTTACCTGTTTTCTAGAGAGACTGGACAACATATTTTGACTACATTGTTGTGGATGCCAAAAAACCTTTATTTTTTGAGGAGGGAACAATTCTACGTCAAGTTGATAAGGTTTGTAAAGTATTTTTATGTTGTGAGAAAAAGAAAATATTACTTTTAGTTTCTTCATGCCTGTAAGATACAGCAGAATCAGATTAATTAACAGGCTTTTTTTTTTTGTAGGAGACTGGTGCCTTAAAGCTAGGAGCTCACACAGGACCTATACAGTCAGGACAGATTTACTCAGGAGGTAACTGGAACAACTAGAAGTTAAATTAATTTTAGATAAAGGGTAAACCATCCATACTACTATAAAAAGTAACAATTGTATAAAATATATCAGTTTCCTGTTTATGAAAAATTCTTCTACAGTTATTGCCAAGATCAAAGAAAATCTGCCAACATTATTCTCCAATAATTTAAATCATGAACGTCATCAAAAGATTATCAGATTTGAAACATATATCAAACTTGTACAGATGAGATAAATATAAAACTGAAATAAAAAACTTATTTAGACCATATCATTTTGTCATCTTCAGCAATCTAAACATCGTGTATTGCCTAAAACAGTTGATAAATGTCTATAGCTAAGGGGGATGTTTCACGGGCCTTCCCACATTTACACTCTGTGAATTTCCTGATAAAGCAATAAAATCGAAATCTGATTTTGCTATTTTTTAACCATAAAATTTTATAAATATATGTTACAAATTCATAAATGGTCAGAAAATATTTTTTATCCAGTGAAAGCTCAAATTATTTGCATTCCAATGCAATTGATCGATACACAAGAAAGCAAACCCTCTGGTGTTAAATTGAACAGCCTATAATCACAACATGGTGACCTAATTCGTTTCTTATAGAGGAAACTATCAGCCATATTTTCAAGTTATTAGTAGAATAGAAATAAAGTTCTTGTGAATGATACAGGATAACCTCCTTGGCCTCGAAATGTTGTTTCAAAAGTACATTTCTCGATCTTGGAGGTCATCTTGCAACATCCACACAAAAAAAGAACTTTATTTCTTAAATAAAAAATATATATTCTTTCATTCATCGTGGTTTATTATCAGCTCAGACAGAGGAAACAAACTGCATTTCTCATTTATCTTCCGATACAAATATACTTTAAGGTGGGGCATTCATGTTCTTTGCACATATATGTATCTCGATCTAGTTCATAAAATGAGGTGTGTGAAATTTCCCTGTTAATCCAATAAGATTCGAAAGAGAAATGTTATTTTAGGTTCCATTAGCGTCTTTCATGAGCTGATGAAGATTTATGACCAGGAAGTGTTGTATGTTGGCGACCATATTTTTGGTGACATTTTGAAGTCCAAAAAAGTAAGAGGTTGGCGGACATTCCTTGTAGTGCCAGAGCTGGCCCAGGAACTTCTTGTTTGGACCAAGAAAAAGTCCCTATTTGAGCAACTAGAGGACTTGGACATGCAAATTGGTGAAATGTACAGGTAAGGGAGTAGTTCCCCCCCCCCCCCAAAAAAAAAAATTAATTAATTATTATGTTAAAAATAATTTGACTATCTACTCACCATTTTGCTGTAAAAGAGCAAAGTGATAAGAGAAAGGGTCAGTATACATGTATTTAGTTTATCTCATCCTTTTTTGGCAGAAAGTTGGATACAAGGTCAATATATAATTTCCTTAATTTTATTGATATTATAGGAAGATTCACTACTTCATGTAAAAAAAAAATCCACGTTCAAAATATGATGAGATACATGTACATGGAACCTCGTACTTAATGTTTTGTACCATTGGAAGGAAATTTTGTAATAAAGAGTGGAATGGTTTTTAAGAGAGATTTTTTTCTTTCAGACATCTTGACAGTGAAAGTGAAACCAAACCAGACATTAGCAACATCAACAGATTAATAAGGGTTGGTTAACAGCTTTAGAAATTTCCCTTTACAGCTTTAGAACATACAATCTGATTAATCCTTTTACTCAAATTTATAAAGGCAGAATTCATATTTCTAGGTAACTGGTGGTCAGGAATCTCTATTAAAACACTTTAAAGCAACAGCCATACAATTTTACAAAGAAATTTTGTAATCTTGTAACTCATGTAAAGTGACATGACAATCCAATTATGTTCTGAACTGAAGATACAAACATATACATGTACAATGCTTGAAATAGTGACCCAAAATGAACCTAAAATAAATGGCAAATCTTAAATGAATGTTCATCCATATTTTTTTCTATTGATGGATTTCTGTTTGATTCATTCCTAACAGGAGACAACACACCAGATGGACATGGCATATGGAATCCTGGGAAGTGTCTTCAGAAGTGGTGAGGACATTTTTGAAAAAAATCACTTGTAGGCTTATGTTTCTCAACAGAAACTGCTTTTTGTATGCCATCCTTCTTTAGATTTGACCAAACTTTGTAAGTTTTAGAAAAAGGATGAAGTTATTGTCATGTACATTGTCTATAATTTTTTTGATGATTTCTTCAACTACATTTGTTCTGTCTTTTCTTTTGTTGAAAGGCTCCAGACACACATTCTTTGCCAGCCAGCTGATGAGATTTGCTGACCTATATGCGGCCTCTGTGGACAATCTCCTCCATTATCCTTTCTGCTATGTCTTTAGGGCTCCAAATATGCTGGTATGAAATTTGTATATTACATTGAAATAAGATTCATTTTCATTTTAAAATACTTTTCTTGTATATAGTCTATGACTTAAGTTTTTTCAGTTTTTAGCTCACCTCAACGAAGTTGGGGGAGCTTATGTAATACCCTCGATGTCCGCGTCCCAGGTTAAGGTTTTTGGAGCAGTTTTCTTTTCAAGTACTTCTATGGCCTATATTAGTCAGAGATGCATGGAGGATGCTTCTAGTGTGTTTTATTGTACCAGTCAAGGTTTCAGATGCTGCAATTTCAGCTAAAGAATGACCAGGTTAATGTTTTTGGAGCAGGTTAAAGTTTTTGGAGCAGGTCTCATTTCCAAGTAACTATAAGCCCTATATTGACCAAACTTGCATGGATGATACATCTAAGGATGCACACTACTGGACTTGCTTCGGATGCTGGATCTGACTTACATTTTCCGGATGAGTGACTAGGTTAAAGTTTTTGGAGTAGATCTCATTTCCAAGTAACTATAAGCCCTATATTGACTAAACTTGCATGGATGATACATCTAAGGATGCACACTACTGGACTTGCTTCGGATGCTGAATCTGACCTATATTTTATGGATGAGTCACCAGGTTAAAGTTTCTGGAACAGATGTCATTTCCAAGTATCTTTAAACCCTATATTGACCAAACTTGCATGGATGATACATCTAAGGATGTACACTACTGGACTTGCTTCAGATGCTGGATCTGACCTATATTTTCCGGATGAGTAACCAGGTTAAAGTTTTTGGAGCAGATGTCATTTCCAAGTAACTATAAGCCCTATATTGACTAAACTTGCATGGATGATACATCTAAGGATGCACACTTCTGGACTTGCTTCGGATGCTGGATTTGACTTACATTTTCCGGATAGTGACCAGGTTATAGTTTCTCGAGCAGATGTCATTTCCAAGTAACTATAAACCCTATATTTACCAAACTTGCATGGATGATACATCTAAGGATTCACACTACTGGACTTGCTTCAGATGCTGGATCTGACCTACATTTTCTGGATGAGTAACCAGGTTAAAGTTTTTGGAGCAGATCTCATTTCCAAGTAACTATAAGGCCTATCTGAACCAAACTTGCATGGATGATGCATCAAGGGACGAACAATCTCAAAACTTGCTTCGGATGCTGGATTTGACTTGCATTTTCTGGATGAGTGACTAGTTTTAAGTTTTCAGATAAGTCTATTCCCAAGTAACTGCAAGCCCTATCGGACCAAAATTGCATAAATGTTACATCTAGGGATGCACACTTCTAGATTATTAGTTTAGTGTGGGACTTTGCCTTACTTAAAGACAACATTCGTTGAGGTGAGCTCTGTAATATCTGATTACCTATGTTTTCAAGTTTCAATGAAAAAGGTGAAGATAATGAAACATAGGCTTCAAACATCAAAGAGTTTTTGGTCTGCTCTGTGCCCCACAAAGCAGAAATGGAAAGCAGATTAGACCAAAACCCCTTGGCTAAGGACCATGACTGAAAGTAGCTTACGGTATACTTCATTCCATTCTTGTTAACTTTTAAATGTACTAGCTAAATTGTTGAATTTTATTGAAATTGCCTACATTATAATGAAATTCTTTTGAAAGATGGCCCATGAGTCAACAGTGGACCATGAAGACATATTGCAGATGGAAACCAGCGGTTTGGCTTTACGCACTCGTGATATCAGAGAGAATTCTCAAGAGGAACGGAGAAAGCGCCTGGAACGGACACACAGCATTGTCCCTAATTTGTTTGCACCAACACCTCATCAGTTCACACAGTTAACAGAGGATGATAGTCCTGAAAATACGGAGACAGAATCATCAGGTTCCAAGTAGAAGTCAGAGGTCATAGGTCACGACACATGACATTGCTTTTAGTATTTTGAACTTTTTTTTTTAGCATGAAGATATTTTTGCAGCATTTTGATTTTTCTAAGGCATTCTTTTTTTCTTTATGATCTGAAGCCTTTTTATTGTAAATCCCTACCTGTGCATCTGCTGGTTACTTAAATATATTTATACCACAGTTTATTATTATTTAAACAGTAGAAGTCGGTTACTCCAGTATGAACAAAATAATGTCTACCTCAGTTGCATATAACAAAACCTCAGCTCGTCTGCTTAAATAAATTTTGCAAGTAATTAATGAAAGTTACCGTATTGGTACACATGCTTGTTGAACCTTTATTTATTTTTTTGTACAGACCATAAACGTTGTTTAAGCCATTACTTATATCTGCTGCTTTTAGCTTGTTTGTCATTGGGTCTGTGTTTTTGTTATCTGTTGATGAGTAACTGTGATATGTTTAACATAAGCAAGACTGATCTGATGTAGGTAGAAACATCTGTCTAAAATGTATCACTGCATTTGTAGTAACTTAAATTCTGCTGATTATATTTCAGCTGCTATGTACCTGAGACATAAGTCTATTTTTACTCAACTTTATTAAATGGACATCTGTGTAGTATGAAAAATATAAATTTATATTTTCCCTACCACTTTTTTTTTTTCAAATACAACAAAAATTGTATTAGAACAATGGAGAGTATATATTGTTAAAGCATTTTATTTATACTCATGCATCAAATGCACCATACACACATTATCCAAAAATGTTTTTACATTGTTAACCTTTTATTGACTGTAAACTTCTAGAAAATAATTGTCTCCTGTCGAACTGTGCAGTATTTGCACTACTCATGTTTTGTTTTTAATGAATGGTAGAATGACCCTCCCTTCCTCAGACTGTCTGTATACAATACTGCATCACATGACACTGTTCTCGAAACATAGCTGCAGAACTGTAGCTCTGGGATAGAAAATTGGACAGACATATCAGATCATATGAAACCATATGGTTGTCTGTTTGAATTTTCTGTCCCAGAGAGCTACAGTTCTGCGGCTATTCGGAAAGATCCACTACACCATGCCCAGTAATCTCTTACAATAAACTTATTAATATGTGTCTAACTAAACAATGTATCAATAAGATAGGGTAGTGGATAACCAAATACAGGTACTCAGTTGTTTGAAATCTGCTTCAAACTAGCTAGTATGTGTAAATGTATTGCTTACATTGCTACTTTAAATATGTATTAACCATATGTAGTTCTCCACATGATAAGTAGTTATTGGGATAAAATGTACATGTGGGCAGTATTCTAGTTACTTTTGCAGGATATGATCAAAATAGATATATATGCTGTTGTAGACTACACTAGAATCCTATATCATATGTAGGAGCAGTGTGACTGATAGTTTCTGCGGGTATATACATGTATTAAATGTAACTGTTGAAAGAATTTGCCATAATAACTTGCTTATATTTTTTTAAAAAGATGTTTTACATTCAGAGTTTATATTACAGAGCTCTAAATAGCATCTCAGTTAAATGATTACTAGCTTTATTTTTTGTTATTATTTATTTAAGACTTTACCCTTTGTCATTCCGTAGTTAGAAAATCTCGCATATCTACTGGCATGAGACATCTTCTTATCCATTGTTAGTTTTTTTCTTTCTTTTTATTTTTTTATTTTTTTTTTAGAATTTATGAATTATTTGCCTCTGTTATTTCCTGTGCTTAAAGATAATGGTAATTTGTTTTATTTAGTAGTATGTGAGCCTCACATAGTAGGTATATTACTTCATGGAAGAATCTCTGTAAAAAACACCTCTGTGTAAATGTATGATGTGAAATGTTGTTATGAGGTGAGAACTACGCATGAACGTGTTGAAGAATTAGAAAATTTAATTTGTGGTTCATAGGGAAGTATAAGCTGATACTATGATCAGGCCCCAAGACCATAAACTGAGAACAGACTTAAGTCAAAATTTCGAATCAATATAACTTTTGAAATAATTTTCATAACGAAACAAAATTTTCATCATATGTTTAAATTAGAATACTTTACAAAACTGCCAATTTTAAAGCACATATGTTAAATAAAACTCAAGATATTCAAAATCAAAATTTTGACATAAGTTTGTTCTCAGTTTATGGTGTCAAGGCCAGAAATGAATGAGCACCAATGCAATTTATCAAAAAATTTTATGGCATTGCTATAAACTAGTTTATTTATTATTAAATCCTGTGTTTGATGATATTTATTTTGTCTTGGAAGTTTTGGTTATTAAAACAATCAGAGGTAACTACCGGTGCATGGCATTCATTTCTTTGATTATTAGTGCAATAAAATATTTTAACATCTATTTTATTATTCACATAGAGGATTTAACTACACTGTTTTTTGATTAATTATTCATTTGAACGCTTTAACTTTGCCAATAAAACAAATATTTAACTTATAAATTAAGCCTTTTTTTTTTCATTATTTAAATCATGCAACAACAAATTGCGTGCAGGATGAGGATGCATGTAAGAAGTAACGAGGAAGGAATCAAAGTCAATTCTTTGCGAATTATATGCAGTACACTTCAGTCTTACCTTAGTTTAACCATTTTGTATATGATGAATCTGTGGGTGTTCAGATTAATGAGTAATCCGGATGCTGCATGAGACCTGTATGATATGTTTGAGAGATTCGGATTAAGGATGACTTTTAGATGTTTTCCTAGCTAGGTTTGTACCTCCGCTTGCAGTTGAAACGGAGACCTCTGGCATCCAAACAACGCAAAATGTGATAATGCAAAGTGAAAAAAAATCTGGAATTATTACATTTTGCGTCGTGATAAACGTAGAACGTATCAGCGCAAAATGGTATAATCACTTTTGGTCATAGACCTAGATTCATCATAAATATTGCGTAAATTATACTTCCCGTCAAAATAACAAATCACAGTCATTACTATGTGACAATACACACGATTTATATTATTTTGCGTTATAAAATTCTGCTTCTTCATCAACACAAAATAACGACGCAAAATGTAATAGACTGGTATTATTACATTTTGTTTTATTAAATTTACATACTGTAAAAAGTAAAGGAAGCAGAAAATAGTATACCTATATCATGATCTACCGTATAATGTAATAAAAGCTATTTAAGTCCACATAGGGATTGCTTTTTTCTTTAACTGAGTTTGGGAAATAAATGCGCTTTCAATCAATGAACATTTCCTAAAATTCGATCCCCAAGATAATGTATTGTGACGTTATGTTTTTCGTTGATCCCGATGCAATAGTTTTTACACATTGCGTTATAACATTTTGGGATCTGGACGCAGAATGTAAATAACGCAAAATGTAATAAATTATCTTAGTGTATCCACATACAAATTCCTTTTTTATATAATATTCGCTATTAAATGCCCTTTTTGGGGGGAGTGTGGGCAATATATATATGAGCTGTCTGGAAATAAGCATTTCTTAAAATTTGATCCACCAAGACAAATGTGTGAACTTCAACCGAATGAAAATTTTGTGTCTGAAAACTCCAAAAGGCGACGTCCGCCATTCGAACGGAACAGCTTTCAACCTTTCAAAATTTAAAGATAGGAGAGCTAGCGCATAAGGAATGTGCTTAAAACAATTTGTCGTTCGCTGCAATTTCAATATTGATTTGAAAAATGCAATAATTTTAAGAGATTGGCAGAATCAATGAGCGTGGTACTGTTTGGTAGCTGTTACGTCTTCGGCTTTCCCAATATGGCCGAAAAACTTTTACATCACCACATGTTAAAGGGGTCGCTTCCTATCAATTCTATAATGCCGATATCTGCTAAACAGAGTGAGTTGTCTCTTCTTAGCTCCAGACTCTATGGGGACAACCATTTGATTCTGAGGGGAGGGGCTGGCAGATTTTGTGAATAATTGATTTTTCCTGAAAAAATTCTCCATAGATAGAAAATAGTTTTACTCCACTAACCAACAATGCTAACAAATTTAGTAAAGTTTTTAAAGGTATAAACCTCTAATGTTCTCGATTACAAGATATTGTCTGGACAGGAATTCGACATTTTTTCTAAAAATGACCTTGAACTTGATCAAATGACCCTGATTCAAGGTCCAGACACAACTACCTTCAGGTCATAAGCAATCTGTGTATGAAGTATGAACTTCATGTTTCTACATATTAAAACAGGGACAGTTTCTGATAGTGACCTTGAAATTACCAGAATGACCTTGCATCAAAGTCATGACACACCGTCAAGACATAAACAATCTTTGTACTAAGTATGAGCTTCCATGCACTGATCCTTCATTACAAAGTTCAGTATACTGAGAAAAAAAATCACTTTCGGTCCGGAGTTACAGTAATAAAAATCAGGGAAAAAAAACTTAACATTTCATTTAAGCAAAATCAAAAGATTGACATCATATTTGGTTGGATCCATTATGAAGGGATTGCTGTGTGACCCAATATTGTTGACATTATTTAAAAAAAAAACAAATTACATATACAAATACTATCTGCTCTTTCCTTTTGAAGATTGACTTATTAATCATTTTGGGTCGGTTAACACTGCATGATCCTACTTGGACCATACAGTCGTTACCAAGCAGGCAAGCATTAAACTGGAATATCTTCATCCTAATTATGAAGAGGAAAAAAATCAACATCGACAAATTTTTTTCATGACTAACTTTCAACTGGTTTTAAATATTTATTCCAAATTATGGCTCATTTAAGGTATTTAGGTTATCTTAATTTAATCATATACCCATATTTTGCAACATTTTTTTTTTTTCTAAATGATACATCGATAAAATATGGTTGGAAAGATAAAACCTTAGCCAATACAAATATTTTCATATCAAAGTCTTCACGTGACGTGTTATCTCCAGTTATTACAAACACGATATGGACAATTCAGCTTGTACGTATATTGTTTTCTTCTGTATTTTTGTAGCTTGATATTTTTCATGTTTGTAAAATCTTCTTCTTTATTAATCTGTGATGAAACTGGTGTTTTCTGTTTCCATGCCCTTGTGTCACTGTATTTTAAATGAAAGAGGAAGTCAGCTGGATTTATTTAATGTAAATTGCATACGGGGCATTCAATCCCCCAAACGCACAACTGGATACTGTTATAAAGTCAGCATAGAAAAGTTTAATTTTAATATGTTCTAGTCTAAAAAAAAAATCTCATTCCTTTAAAGTAGAAATACAGTTACCTATGTAACTAGTGTACTTTTATATGACACATCTGTTTCATATTTGTGTCATATCATTTATTTTCGGTTTTACTAGAAAAAAGATATTGATGGCAGACTAACAACTTAACTTTTTGATTATTAAACGTGATGGTTTCAACTTTTCTATCGTCAACTCCCCTTATTTATGTAGTTCACCTCTGATTTTCAGGGACACAATTCGAACTATGTTTAAGCATTTAGCATATGTTTTGATATTATCTTCCCATATTGTAAATATGTTGTGTATATGAAAAAAGTTGATCGTCATTTTGCTGAGAAACGATCGTTCTGCTATATGTTTAAGTTTAATCAGTTGAAAATCAAACGGAAAAAACTCATTCAGAGGAAGAATTGACAAAAAACACCATTATCACCTGTATATGGGGTTTATGTTTCCCAGTTGAGCTGATACACAAGAGTATGTTCTACATTCGATCAATTTCTAAACGGAGACAGGTTACTGAGAAATAAGTTGATAGTACAAGGATATCAACAATCTCGTTTAAAGCCAACATTTCGTAAATTCTATGGTCGATACAATGACCTTGTTTGCAAATACAATCCATCGTTAGGCCGAACAGTGACTCACACTTTTTAAAAAAATTGTTAGGCCCTTATTTTCACACTGAATTGTCTAGGGTTTTTTCCGATTACACGATCACGACAAGAATTAAGCACATGCCGGATGTGACCGGTCGACAGGTGATGCTCACACCTTCATAACACCAGATCTCAGTTCATTTGTTTTCAGAGGACCGTGCTTGTTCCGCTCACAATTTTTACTGTTGAATTGGACTTTTGAGCATGATCGCTGTTGGTTATCTTCACATTACATGCTTAAGAAATTTGGGGATGATTTAAAGCTGGAAACATAGAAAAGGTTCATATTAATTTTTGTTGAAAAGATAAGATCTGAGATAAAAGTCAGCATTTAATTTAATGTATTGTGGCTTAGGAAGACTGTCTCTTTCTTTTAAATGAAATTAATAATAACACGATCATAAAAAAGGATCATATGTTTTATGTGCAAAAATGTAAAACATTTTTTTCTGAAAGCACTGTCTTCGAAAGGATGGCTCTTTCAAAACGTTGTATATACATATAATTTGTAGTCATAATCGACAAAATGAACTAATTTCAAATAGGCCTAAAGAAACAAATAAGTTTAGAGTTTCTAGTCATAGGTTGAGTATAGTAATGGGTCGTCACAGGAATGCTTTTAAGATTCCAGGGAATCTGTTTGCTATGTGCACATAACAAAATAGAAGAGGAGTTCCATTCCATATAATGTCCATGCATTTTACTTTAATATATGAAAACTGTACAATGTATATTAAAATTGAAAATAACACAGATCAAAGATGCTTAAATTAATCGATTAACTTCGTTCGAAAAGTGTGAACTTTTAACCAAATCCACTTTTCTACGAAATAATTCTACAATTGATTGAATTATTTATGTATTTTTGTAATCTTTCACCCTTTGTCAATTAAAATTTGAGTATAAACAAAATGTATATTAGTATATTTTAGAAATGTGATAAATCTGATAAATCCAATAAACCGAAAGTGGTTGAAACTAGTAAGTGAACTATCAAGCTTTTCAGGTTGAAATGATAGTCTCGGATTTATCAGTAAAAAAAAAAAAACAGCACGAAGGGGGTGGAGAGCCTTAATCTATGAACTGTGTAAATGTTTGATTAAGGTTCCACTAAAGGTATTTTTGTGTGTAACATTCAAACTTCATATAAAAGGCACTATCTTGACTAACTCAGGGATATAGAGATTATTGTCTGTTTTATCAAAACAGCCGAATTACAAGAAGTTTGATTGATAGTTTGCATGCAGTTCATAAACATATACAGGTATGAGAGAATATGAATATCATTTAGCCTCTGAATATATATTCGTGGATAATAAAGATAGATTTTTTTCGAAAGAAATTCGTTATTGCAAAGTACATGTACATATTAATTTGTTATTTTGTACTTAAAATATCTATAACATAGAAAACTGTTAAATCAAATATTTTTTGTCAACTTCATAACACTGAATAGTTTGCTGGGATGTAACTCTCAGGCCACAACATATAGGAACATTACCAAAATTTGGCCACTGTTAACAGGGTCTCTATAAACCAAAAAAATACCTATAGCGGAACCTTAAAGAACTACTCCATCTGAAAACATGCATTCATTATTCAAAGTATCTTGTTTACCCATCACATGATGATGTCATCTGCAGATAACCAAATATGTAGGTCTTAAAATACAGTGTACACGTACGTAATATTGCATCAGTGTACGACATCAGGACCAGGTGCGTCACGAGAATATGATAACATGAATATAAAGCACACAAAATACTTGCCTTAATAGTTCTCTGTATTTTTATATGTTTGAATATTTTTCATATTTATCACCGACCACTGTGGTTTGTCTTGGATTTATCTCTCTCTCTCTCTCTCTCTATTCTATGCCTAATGCCTTTTAAGCCGGAGATTATAACCTTTAAATCAAAAGGTTTTGAAGAACACTAAAATACAATGTCAAAAAATTGCATCATTTTGGACACTAAAGCACAATTTTCAATTAAAACAGTTGTTTATAGATCATGTTCTTGCTAACGTCAACCTGCAAGATAGAACAGATAATTTTTTTCTTTTCAGTTAAACAGCAGCAGTATCCACCTCAGTACGGCCAGGTCCCCCCGTCTCAGTATGGCCAGGTCCCCCCATCTCAGTATGGTCAGCAGTACGCACCCCAATATTCTCAACCAATGCATCATAGTTCATCGAATGTCACCGTAGTGGTATGTTTACTTATAAAATGTAACAGATATGGATAAATACCGGTATTATATTAATATTCATAGTATTATGAGGAATCCACATGATCCAGTGGCGGATCTAAAGGGGGTTACGGGGGTTGCAACCCCGCTTTGGATTCGCTAAAAAATAAAATAAGAGAGAGAGAAGAGAGTCCAAAATATTTGAACTGTGTTTTATTGTTCCGGAAAAAGTGTTTTACCAAATACTTTTTCGTGAATCAATGCTTTTCCAGTTTTAAGTAAACACCATAAACTAATTCAGATCTGAAATAAAAGTTGAGATTTACATTATCTAATCAGTTTCTTAATGATAACAATGTTCTTATTTATTGATAGCATTCATATTAAGTTGTCGTTTAACTGTGTAAACGTACATTATAACAACTCTCATTCCCTCTGCAACACCCCCCCCCCTTTTGAAAAAAATCTAGATCCGCCCCGATGATCCAATATTGCTTGCATTCTCTCCACTCTTTTTCTTCGCAAGAGGCAGATATTTGTCAAGTTTTGTGGACACAGGAATCTATCACTTGGCAACAATTTACATCTAATTGGCCTTGGGGAAGCAATGACTATGCCAGAGGAATTAGAAAAACTGACCAGTCCGCAAGGGCCCCGCAGAGGGATAAAGAGTGGGGTTAAAGGAATAAAAAATGTGATCATTTGATTATCAAAAAAATAAAATAAAGGAAGAAAGATGTGAAATTTAAAAGTATTTCAACCAAAATGAATTTTGATAAATGTCAGCCTTGACAGCCTTAAAGGAATGCAGAGTCTACTGTCCTGAACTATATATTTAAAAAAAGCACTTGCAGACAGAAGTGTTATTCAATCTAAATGTAACACATTAGGCTCAGTTATTCAATCTGAATGTAACACATTAGGCTCAGTTATTCAATCTGAATGTAACACATTAGGCTCAGTTATTCAATCTGAATGTTACACATTAGGCTCAGTTATTCAATCTGAATGTAACATATTAGTCTCAGGATCTTCTGTAGCACACAAGGTATATATCATCCTTTTCTACAAAATTGTACTGGGAATTTCTCTTTGCGGTTTTATTCTTAAAGTTAAGATTTTACTCCAAAACCCCAGCCATGTATGACAAACACAATCAACCTTGAAATCAAAACATGTCTGACCACCTGTTGAAAAAAAAAAATAATTTAAAGGAAATGGGCAAACAATGCATGCAAAATGCCTATAGTTTCAAGTGTATAAAAGTCATGTTCATTTTTTGAATTCATTATTTAAAGTTAAGTTCTTATAATTGAAAGGAAGGAAATTACGACAAATAACACTTTTCTGTGAGGAATTCTTTAATTGTTCACTTTCTTAATTGTCGAACAATAAGCATTTTGCTCGCCTTGGTCGCCCATTAATATTTAGGACAAAGAAAAAAGTTGTTAAAAAGTAGAGGTACTGTGAGCGAGCTCTTTCATTTTACTGAATAACTTGACAGACAAACAAGGTGAATAGATTCCTGAATATATTCAGGTATGCATACCCCCATAAACTGCTGGCAGGGGATATGAAAAAAAAAAGTAAACGGAAAGACAAGTACATGTAGATTACTAAAGGGCACCCACAAATGGCTCTAAAGCCCTAAAAAGAGAGAGAAAGTGACTTTAGGATTCAGACCATTGTATTTAGTATCTTTGTTTTACTTCCCTTAATTCTTTAAAAATGACCCTCCGATACGACCCCCCCCCCCCAAAAAAAAAAAATTAAAATAAAAAATTAAAAAAGACATATTAAGTAACAAGCAAGATAAATGGATACGAAAGCTGTTATAAGTTATATTCTTTTATTTTCAAGTACTTACATTGTGTCAAACAATAATATAAATGGGATTCAACACGCTTGAATTTCTTTTGAATTTTGCTTTCTCACTTGAAATTTTTTTTTAATAATTGTTATTTTTCTCATAAAGACTAAGACAACTGCGACCCTTTTCACAAAAAATCTTACGACTAAGACAAAAATTTTCCCAGTCTATAACAAGTATCTCAGCTGTAGTAGGTCACCAAAAATCTAATATTTCTATTGCATTAGACTATAGATTAAATAATATTTTAGAAAAAAATAATATCTTTCTTACTCAAAAAATTACAGAGGTGTCAAATTTTTATCTTTATTGTAAGAATTTTTGTGAAAAGGGCCACTGAAGCCTTAAAATTGTATGGATTCCAATTAAAAAAAAAAAAAAAAAAACAAACAAACAAACAAACAAACGAGAAAATTGTTGAAAATTTGACGAACTTGTGTTGTTGTTGTTGTTTTTACCAGATTTTTCTAAAAACCTACCCTCCCGGTGACGCAAAACAAAGAATTAATTTACTGTGGCCTTTCTGTTAAATCATATAATTCGTATAAATTACAGACAGCTGGAATACAACCAACAGTTGTCATTCCTGTTAACACGGAAAGGGACTGGACAGTTCCCGCCATTCTTGCTACACTTTTCTGCTTCCTACCTACCGGGATCTGCGCCATTATAGCTGCTGTTAATGTAAGTCTGTATGATACATGTACTTTGTTTTCTACGAAACTTGTAGAATGCATTTTAACTTTGTTAAAAAGCCCTTGCTGAAACTTCTGAAATCCAAGGGCCCGTTTTACAAAGAACTTACGTCAAAGACCAAAAACTTAAGTTGATTGTAAAATTTTGCAAAATTGATGATTCTCTTTAAAATTGCTAGCGTAAAAATATCTTACTACATTCCTTGTTAAAAGATTAAAACCATTTTAATATAATGTAAATTAAAAAGTTAAAAGCAGAATTAAATTTTGGTCTTAGTTGTAAGTTCTTTTGTAAAACGGGCCCCAAGATATTAAAAAGAACTTAAAGAGATTATGCATGTGTATAGCATTTTCGATCACTATCATTTTGAGCCTTGCTTTTGCATAACTTTTAAACCACAATCAAACCACTGTGAAAAAATTGAAAAAAGTCTTTATTTCTTATTTTTTCATACAACAGGCCAGAAGCCAGTTTTTAGCTGGTGACCTAGAGGGAGGGAGAACCAGCAACGCCTGGGCAAGAGGTCTAACCATTACTTCCATAGTGTTGGGGACCGTGCTGATTTCCATTATCATAGCCCTATACATATGGGTGTGGAGTGTGGCTACTTCTTTCAATGATGGCTATTGAAAGTTAAAAACTTAAAAATCTGGAAAATAATCCAGGAATACCCTCCAACTCTTCTAAGAAATTCCAAAAACGTTAAAGAATAATTCAATTAGGCCCATAGGACCCGGGAGATTGGGGAGGCGGGGGGGGGGGGGGGCTGTGCCCCAAATTTTTGCCAGTATATATACTTACATTAGAAAACAAAGTTAATTTACAGTGGTGCTTTTTCAGTAATTTTGTAACTATGTACTGTACAATAAAGAAAAATGGTAATATACGATTGTGTCCTTCAAAGATATCGTCTGGTGAACTTTTTTATTACTTTTTAAAAAATAAATATATATTTATTAATTGATTTATTCTTTTATTTCTTGTTTGTCAAACTTTCCATCAAGCTTTGACCCTATATTGCTCCCTATATGGGCCTGTTCAATGTGATCATTCATTTTTATAAATTCAGTCTTTTGAGAGAGAAAAAATACGAACAATAAAAATCTTAATTTTCATTTTTTTTTTTAATACTTCAGTCATCTTGTCATCTTATTAATCTAATTGATTCACGAATAGCAAGTCAACCATCCATTTATAAAAAAATAAATAAATAAATAAATAAAAGAATTTCATTGTTTTCGTTATATTGCTTACATGCCTGTGAAATGGAAAAAATAATTCTTCAATATATTGAAGAATTGCCAATTTTATTTCGGTGGCAAAGAACATGGGTGAATTTGGCAAACAATAAACCTATTCATAATTGGGCACTGAACACGAATCGGGAGTTTGAATTCCACTTTGATATTACCTATATTTATAAAAGACATAGTAACACACCAGTAACACAACTGTGTAAAACGAGTGGCTTCCAATCTTTTTGTGCGATAATTTTACGAAATTGAATTGGCATAAAAACCATTTAAGATCCTTGCTATGCCCTACATGCTTTAATTCCTTAGTATCTTGTCACTCGTCGGCTTTTCAGAAAACATTAGGTTGGAGCCGCTTTCAATTACAATGCAGTTTTAATAACATAATTGAATTAGACAATACAAATTGTACCACACCTTAAAAGTGACATCATCATTATTGCTCCTTGAACTTTGATAACCAACTTTTTTTTATTCAAGACTTACTCAAACGATCACCTATGCACCTTTTAAGAAAACCTTTTATATATGAAAATGAATCCCGTTTCATAACAAGTGACCCATGAACCACATCGCTCACCTAAGCACTTTGGCTAGAAAATTGAAATTTAAATATGAAACTGGCCTCAACCTACCACCCAAAGGGGAGGGGGAGGGGGTGATTTGAACACACTTAAATTTGCACTTACTGGGGATGCTTCCATATTTCTTTGACTAATTATGTCTTTAGAAGATTTTCACAAATATATTTCTATGTAAATGTTTCATCTTCTATCGTGGCCCCGTCCTATCTCCGGAGTACATGATTTGAACTAACTTGAATCTACATTTCTTGAGGATGCTTCTACATAAATATGACTAATCATGGCTTTACTGTTCTTGAGAAGAAGATTTTTAAAGCCATTTCCTTTATATTCTGATGTATAACTTTGATCCTCTGTTGTGGTCCCACCGTACCCCGGGGTCATAATTTGAACAAACTTGAATCTACATTACCTGAGGATGCTTCTAATATTAATATGAGTAATCATGGATTTGCTGTTCTAGAGAAGCTTTGTCTATTATAATCATTTGTAAAAATTGATTGCCCATGGTAGCCCCATCCTACCCCTATGTGTCATGAGTTGAAAAAATTTGAATCTACACTACATGTACCTGAGGATGCTTCCATTTAAATATGAGTAATCATGGTTTTACTGTTCTTGAGAAGAAGATTTTTAAAGATTCTTTCTTTGTATTCCTGTGAAAAACTTTGATTGCCCATAGTGGCTCCGCCCTATCCCTGGGGGTCATGATTTGAACAAACTTGAATCTACATACTACCTGAGGATGCTTCCATGTGAGTATGACCAATAACGGCTTTGCTGTTCTTGAAAGGATTTTTAAAGATTTTTCCTGCATATTCCTAAGTAAAAATTTGATTGCCCATTGTGGACCCACTCTATCCCCGCGCTCCAAGATCTGAACAAACTTAAAGAAAGCTTTCACATAAGTTTCATGTTTTCTGGCTCATGTGGTTCTTGAGAAGAATTTTTTTTTAAATGATCCATCCAATTCTCAAAATTTCTTAATAATCTCCCCTTGGAAGAGGGCGTGGCCCTTCATTTGAACAAATCTAAATGTCCATCACACAAGGATACTCTTTGCCAAGTTTGGTTGAAATTGGTCCAGGGGTTCTGGAGAAGATGAAATTGTAAAAGTTTACTACAACGACAAAAACGCCAATACCGACAACGAAGACAGACAACCTCTCGCAGACAAATTTGGATCAGAATTAAAAGCTTACTTGAGCCTTCGGCTAAGGTGAGCTAAAAAGTAGCTAAAACCCTTCTACTATAAAATTGCAAACAAAATAAATATGTTCATGTATTATACCGGATGTTTTAGTATTAACTCTTGTTATCTTCATTATTCTCGAGGGTCATTCATAAAAAATGCAATGCAATTGACTGTGCATCAAAAAAACTAATTGCATTCAAAGTTCAATACGAAGACAACACAATTCATTGTTTTGAAACAATCCTTGGTCGCCTCTGTAAATGTTTTCCAAGCTTCCCCAGTTGCAGTAATTATCAGAAATATGTTCTTTGTTTTCTGTATTTGCTTGCACAAAAAAGAGAGTTGTCATCATTTATCGAGAGGTTCCATGTAACTGTTTCTTGCAGAAATGCAAAACGCGTTTAAACGAAATTAAATGCAGCAAAGTACACACATGGAGTTCATCTCAACGAAAAAGAACCAGACTATAAGGTGATTTAGCTCGATGCATATTTGATTTTCGAGACATGTTTCATATTGTAAATTTTGAATATTTACCGGGTGGTAGTAACAAAATTTACAACAATAATTTAAACGTTCACTCATATCTGTATTATCTAAAATTATAATATTTTCGGAATTTATTTCATTTAAATCTAATTCTAAAATGTCATTTGTAGTAAATAATTAAAGTAATAAATGTATTAAAATAAATATATTATGGGTAATAAATATATATACTTAAAAATTTTGAATTTACCAGGTGACAGTAAATACAAAATTTACAATATGACACTACCAATGCGACGATGTGTGGTATATTTTCTCGTACACAGCCAGAAATTCTAGAAGCATTTTATATATTCATTTATTTAGTTTGTTTGTTTGTTTGTTTATTTATTTATTTATTTATTTATTTATTTATTTATTTATTTATTTATTTATTTATTTATTTATTTATTTATTTATTCATTTATTTATTTATTTATTTATTTATTTATTTATTCACACGTATTTATTTATTTCATTTATTCACTTTTTCAATCTTATTTATTTTTATTTTTAATATTTATTCATTCAATCTCTCTTTCAATCATTTTAATTTATTTGATTGATTAAAATTTTAACGAATATTTCCTCGTACAACTGTCTCCAAATTATTGGAAGAGTACTCTCCCGTAGAATTCATACGTATCCCAACATGCATCAATATTAGGTATTTTTAGCAGTTAGAAACCAAGCACTTGAGCATGAAGTTGAAGCGATTTCTTCTACGATATTATCCCCCTGGTAAGTAAATAGTTCTAAAGATTTGAAAGATATTTCAAAAACTTTCCAAAAATATGGTATTATTAATTAAGTTTTTAAGGGATTTGCGACAGGAAACAGTTTCGAGTTTGGTCGCGATGAACGCCAAGATGATTCATCATGGCTGAAAAGCACATGCCTGGACATTGCTTGGTGTTCTGTTCACCTGTTTCGATAAATTGTGTTATTTTCGGCTTTTTTTATTTTGATATATGCCTGCTGCTACTTTGAAGGACTTTTTAAACTATTTTAGTAGATCTACTGTACTCGCTCTTCTCTGTATATAAACAGCTTTTCAGTAGGAGAAAAAGAAAACCTTTTGCACTGTATCAATCAATACATTTGATATATTACTTTCATAATTTTTCACAGTTCGTTACCTTATTTTCTTAACTTTCTTCCTTTATCATAATGAGATTTCTCTGGGCTGTCTTAATGATAAATAATCTATAGCTGACACATTCACTGAAAATCAGAGCAGTAACTGCATATGTTAGTTTAATAAATTCTACGATTGATTTTGTTCATGTAAATCTCATTGTGACATTCAGACAAAGCATCTAGAGATAATTCATTACATTCATTGTTGCATATTGTAGCATATACAAAATTCAAATTATAGATGTTCCGAATTCGCTACCATTTCTCAAACATTTGACATTAGATGTTCTGAATCTACTGTTGAGAAGCGGGAGCAGATTTGGAAAATCTAATTTTAATTAGATTGACACAAAATTGAAATGAGTAACAAGTTTAGCTAAAATCTTCATAGAAATTCAAATATCTTGTGTATTCATTGTATATAATGCAAATGAATTGCAACAAAATAATGTAAACCTTAAGTTAATAAGTAACAATATTTTAAGCTCTTAATTATTTCTTGTTCTTCATCATGATTGACTTTTAATTGAATCAATGTATTTCAGGGATCATATTGGAGTATGAACAGGGAGGCAACTTGAAAACCAAATCAATTGATCTGCTTGACCTGAAAGTAGAGTAAGTTTACACAAAACTCTTTGTACAAAAGTCCAATGAATAAAAACACAGCTGGTAAAAATATGTACTCTTCATATTTTACACGGTCATGCAATACTAGAGGGGCATTCTCTAATTCTCTAAGCCCTGTAATTATTGAGATGATAAGACTGTTGACAAGTAATCCTTAGGGAACTTAAACTTCTTTAACTGGTTCCAGGTTAGTCTAAAGCTCTTCACATCATTCTTGTCAAATCAGTACATCATTTTGATCACTCCACTTAATACAGATATAAATTTAATACATATTGAACCATCTCATCTATAAACATGTTCTTATAATAATTTACTACAAATGAACTTAAGCTTTTGTGTGCATGGTACATGCAGGGCTACATTTAATGATGTGCACAAATAGGAATAAATGCCCATATATTATTTTCATTTAATCTGTTTTGTATGTAATTCATGTCTAAGTATATTTTAGTAAAATTATGCTTTTAATTTTGGTTTGGATCTTTAATATGTGACAGAGTAGGTTAAGCTTTTACAGAGTATTGACAGAACTGCTTCTAAAGAACTGAAGTTGATGTAATTTATACTTTTACAGAACTACATGATGTTGATGTATTTTATACTTTTACAGAACTGAAGTTGATGTAATTTATACTTTTACAGAACTGCATGATGTTGATGTATTTTATACTTTTACAGAACTGATGTTGATGTATTTTATACTTTTACAGAACTGATGTTGATGTATTTTACACTTTTACAGAACTGATGTTGATGTATATTACTTTTACAGAACTGATGTTGATGTATATTATGCTTTTACAGAACTGATGTTGATGCTGTGGTTGATGAGATAGCCAGGAAGGAACCATTAATTACAGCATCTAAAACAGAACAAGTTAGGAAACTTGTACAAAGTATGTATACCTACTGACTCTCAAGAATTTGAATTAAGAAAGAGTACAAAAAAGGGTGCACAGCTGCAAACTTTTCATCAGAATTATCTACAGATGTACAGAATTTAGAAGAATGGTCACCATTTTTTGGACAGTTTTTAAGGGATAGTTTTTAACAATCTAAGATGTTTAATCCTTTGTGCACAGAATATGTCTTAACAATGTACCAGTATATTTTTTGTCAGTGAGAGGTATCCAAAGGGATAAATAGCAATTATAATTAATGATATATAATCACGATTCAATTAACATACGGTAATTTTGCTACCGTATTTATTATAACATTAAACGTCTAATACTTATTAGATGTTTTGACAAAATTAAAGTTAAAAAAAGAAAACTTAAGATATTTTCTTTGACAGTTAAGTTCAAAAGAAAGAGACATAAACTGAATCATTTAATTTAAGGAGTTAAGAGACAGTTTATTGTGCCATTTTACTTATGAAGACAAATATCATATTTTGAATTTGAACAAATACGTGATTTTTGTTTCTGAGATATTGAATCTATAATGCTAGTTTATGGTATTTTCAGTCCAGGAACATCGTAATATAAATTGAATTTTTTTGAATATTACAGGATTACAAGAGAAACTTGCCCAAAAGGATGACCATCACTTTTACTTATTCAAGGTGAGTTTTATACAAAGTAATGTTTTAGCAATTACATTTAAAAATACCTTTCAGTTTGAGCTATCTTACGGTGGATTCATCATTGTTAGTGGGGGACCAATGTTCGTGGATTTCGTGGTTCACCGTTACCAATGAATTTTGAACCCTGATTGTCAACCTAATGGTTAAGTGAATCTTCTGTATGAACAAGTTATGAACAAAATTATCCCATTGAACCAGTAAAAATTTTGATTCCTACAAACATTGACCCGTCGAATAAAAATGATTTCACAGCATTCATTTTTTAATCGTATTATTTGTATTTAATGATTTTCATATTTATTTCTATTCTGTAGGTGCTTAGAGCCCATATCTTACCACTCACAAATGTTGCATTTAACAAATCAGGGTCCAGGTATGCAAAATGTTATATAATAATATATATATATCCGTAATGACAAATTCTTATTTTTATAATTTTTTTTTTTTTTTTTTTGTAATTGCAAGTTAAATTTAAAAAAAGAAAATTTCAGTGTAAGTGAGGGAAATATAACTTCAGTAGCTTCAATATTACTTAAAAAAACAAAACAAAGGACAGCCAGGTAGTGTCATATTAGATTTATTATGTATACTTCTTTTTCTAGTTGAGGATAATTTATCAAGTAAAATTTGTGAAATATATCTAGTCAACACTCTCTTTCAGTTTTATCACTGGGAGTTATGACAGAACATGTAAGGTATGGGACACAGCTTCGGGGGAGGAGTTACATACCCTGGAAGGACACCGTAACGTAGTGTATGCTATTGCATTCAACAACCCATACGGGTAAGAGGACGGCCCAGGCTTTGTATTTCTGTTTTTATCTATTACTGTAGAATGAAAAAGAATTTCAACTTTCAAAGTAGAAAGTACAAAAAAATAAAAAAATAAAAATTTTCACTTAGTCTTGAGTCCGAGGGAGTACTTGACAGTTTTTTTTTTGTTAACTTTTAGTCCAGATATTTATTGGAAGTAATTATACTCAAATTATACTTTTATTTTTAGAGACAAGATTGCCACAGGTTCCTTTGACAAAACTTGTAAACTATGGAGCTCAGAAACTGGGAAGTGTTATCATACATTTAGAGGACATTCTGCAGAAATAGTAAGTAAATCTGATCAAGAAAACTATCAGATAATATTTAAAAATTGTTTATTAAAAAACCTTTATTTACAACAATTTCAAAGGTTAAGTAGACAGTAGAAATATTTAAAGTGAATACATCAGCTAAGCAGACAAACTCAGTTGATAATAGAATACACCACTTGATAACTGGATTTATTATACCTTTATTAAGAATAATCAAATTTGATTGGCTTGTTAGAAGGCTTTTAAACTCAATAATGACTCCAAAAAGTACCGTATACAGCAATAATGACCTAGGAATCATTGCATGTGGGGTATAATGACAAGTCAATAAAAATAATGACCGCTAAAAATGACCTGTTAAGATTGTACATTACAAAAAATGCCGTTATAAAAATATGTAGTATTTTTAGGATACGGAACACATTTGGCCTTTAGATGTGTCATAACATTTATTGTTTTCATTGAAACTTTCGTTACAATGTCAAATTCAACGAATGCAGACTCAGCTCTCTTGTACAGTAAAAGTCTGCACCAGATTGTCATTGTACTCGGGAATGTTATTTGTGAATTTATAAAAATGCATGTTACTGACAATCACAGAGTGTTTTAATAAATCGGTGGTGCAAAAACTTACAAGACTTGCAGGCAAAAAGTAAACTACTTCACTAGCGAATCCCAATCCCCATGGAACACTGATAATAACAGTTCATTGGTCTAATACACAATCGATTATTTTAGTAATTAAGCCTACAAAAATTGCATTAACTTATATTGGTATAATAAAACAATTGATTACCCCTTATGAGGTCAACATGGTGAAATAAGGACCCTCGACCTGGCCACTTGCTGACCTGACCTGACCTCAGCCGCTACGCGGCCTCCGTCAGGTCAGGTCACCTTGTGGGCCAGGTCGAGGGTCCTTATTTCACCATGTTGACCTCATAAGGGGTAATTAATTGTATAATATTTGATTTGTTAATTCTGTTTATTATGTCATTTATGTTATGTCTTTTAGTTGATTTAAACACAACTGTAATATTGTAGGTGTGTCTGAGTTTTAACCCCCAGAGTTCTGTAGTGGCCACTGGGAGTATGGACACCACAGCCAAACTATGGGATGTCCAGACTGGTCAAGAACTTGTCTCTCTTTCTGTAAGCATCATGTACCCTAAACTTACATTGTGATATATGTAGGACATTTGAGATGAATTGTTAAGTTTCAGATTATGGTAGATATAATTTTTCATTGTATTTTCAACTTATAGCCACAGGTCAGTAAAATTGTGTGACACAGTTGCGTTAATTCTAAATTTGTCACAATTATGAAAATATGGATATTCTATCTTATTTGTGCCCAAGTTTGTGTTTATTTCACCCATGTGAGTGTGTATTAACATGTCACAAGTACATGTACCACATTTTCAGTTGTTAACGGAACTAGCACAACAAATAGCTAAATAAAGAAGCCACAAATTACTGTCATTTATTTTTGATTTATTTACTACCTAAAACATTGAAAAAATCCCTTTAAACCACTTGTCACAAATCATGCATATACAGTGTATAACTAGACTCTTTTCTGTTTCAGGGTCATTCTGCTGAGATTATCTCCCTTTCTTTCAACTCTACTGGTACACAGCTAATAACAGGATCCTTTGATCATACAGTGTCTGTGTGGGACATCAACTCGGGAAAGTAAGTGATAGAGTTTATATAAAATATACAGGAGTAGTTAGTGTTCTCAAATAATGGTAGGTGAAAAAATCATGCCATAATGTAATATCCCTCTGAATAGATGTAAAGCACGGTTCTTCATCTGATGTTTCTTCAGTGGGGTCAAAACATTAACTACATCTTTCAAAAGTCTGAAAATAAATGCAATAGAATGTAAGGAAGTGATTTGGATTAACACAGGTTTTTTTTTTTGGTTATAGGCGGATACATTCGCTGATAGGACACAAAGCAGAGATCAGTAGTGCACAGTTTAACTGGGATTGTTCACTTATTGCCACAGGATCCATGGACAAAACCTGTAAAATCTGGGATCCACCCTCAGGTTAGTAAATCTCTAACCAAACCATATTATTCACCCCCCCCCCCCCCAATATTTTGTTAATAATGCCCTGTTCACATGGAGAGTTTAATTCGAATTAAACTTAAGTTACTGCGAACTAAATTTGACCCGCGTTCACACAGAGAATTGAAAGCGAATTAGTTTAATTCGAATTAGTTTACTGCGCATTAAATTACTTCGCATTAGCTCTGTGTGAACGCTAAGTGAAGCTAATTGGAATTAAATTTTGACGCATGAGTAAGGACAGAAATAAGCCACAGGTCACATGTCGATGGTCAAATATAGGTATTTGTGCTATTTTTGAGTGGAAAACAGAGGAAAATTATGTTCATCACTAAAATGTGTACAGACACTATGATATTATGTCAAAAGTATATCTCTTCAGCACAATATGACGTGATTTGTAAATGACGTCATAATAGCCTCACTGAATAGCCTTGTTGTAGAAATAAAATTATAATTCGCATTAGTTTACTTTGCATTGGCTGTCGTGTGAACGCAATTTAATTTGCATTAGTTTAATTCGCATCATTTCACTTCGCATTAATTTACTGCAAATTAAACTCTCCGTGTGAACAGGGCATAAGACTACATTTGGTTATGTCTATAATTGAAATATGATAACATTGTTTTTATGCATTTACAAAGGTGATGTCTTCAAGCTTTTGAAGTACGAAGAGATATCCTCATGGAAAACATTCATTATGTAAATCACATTTTTTTTTCTACACAGGCCGCTGTATAGGTACCCTGAGAGGCCATGACGATGAGGTGTTAGATGTGGCATTTGACTACACAGGTCAGATGTTACTGACTGCATCAGCTGATGGGACAGCCCGGTGCTACAATGCTGTCTCCCACAATCTCATCTCCAAGTTTGAGGGGCACGAAGGTGAAATTTCTAAGGTAAATAAGGGGAAATTGTGCATACTGTAGTTCAGACATATAAAATATTTCTTTATGTTTCAATTTGAAGTGTGAAATCTGTCTCATAGTGTTAGTCAGGGTAATATTTTATATGTATGAAATCAGGTAAAATATGTTTCAATCTCGTTTAAGCAATGTAGCTTATTTTAAACTAAATATTTAACAGCTGCTTTCTCTGTAAAATCTTCTTGGAGAATTTCAAAATTATAAGTAGAAAGGGCCTTGAATTTATTTTGATTTAAAAAATTTATTTCAAGGCAACATCTTAAATATTAGAAAATTCTTGCTTCACAAAGATAAGAAAAGATCAAACAGATTTTATACATTTTAAAAGACTCACTTCAAAATTTTTCCTAGGGGTATTTTGATTGCATTCTTTATTTCCTTATTACAGATAACCTTTAACCCACAAGGAACCTCAGTGTTGACGGCAAGTTCTGATAAGACAGCGCGACTGTGGGACCCAGAAACGGGGCGATGTAAACAGATCCTGGAGGGACATACAGATGAAATCTTTAGCTGTGCATTCAACTATGAGGGAAACACCATCATTACTGGTAAAGAAATACATTTATACTAACTGCTTTGTAATTTATTTATAATACTAATTTTCAAGAATGCTTCTAATCTGTTTTATTGTAAAGCTGATGGTAAGTAAAAAAAAAAAGTTATTATATGTTTTGAAGAATTGGTTTTGTTATGTTATAAAGTTTTGATGATTTAGAATTTTAATTTTGTGTCATTTACATGATTTCAGTTGTTATGTTTTACTTCTCTGATCCACATTAAAATTGCTATTGTACTACATGTAGTTGAATTGCCTTTACGTACAAAATATAAATTACTGAGCTTCGATCTTGTTTTCTAGGTAGTAAAGATAACACTTGCAGAATATGGAGATGAGAGTGGTCCATAGTGTCTCATTATTAAACAGTATTATGGTGCCAGAGCTTGATGCCTCATTTTGTCTGTGTCATTGTATGCCCTTGGTGGACTTAGAAGCATTTTAAAAATATCAACATGTTAATTTTGCACAGAGGAAACTCCAAGAGTTTGTGTCATGGAAGCCATCATCTGGAATTTAGATATTTGCAAAAAAAAAAAAAATGTTATTCTGGTGAAGATTTAGGGGATGTTATTTGAAAGAACTTATTTCTTTGCATCTTTCATACTCTAATTTGTGAAGTGTCCAAGTCTTGAAATCCTTTTTTTGTGGTAGAAAAAAAATTGTGGTTCCCAGAACCAATAATTTACACCTGTACGTAATTATTAACGACTGTTTTTGTCTATTTTACTGAAATCCATTCCTTCCAGCTTTATTTACTGATATATATATATAATTTATTATATATTTCTTTTTTATAGTTTTCTTTATGATTTTTTTCCCCAATTTTACATTTGAATTGCCGTCCAGTAATTATTTATGATTGATGGTAATGGATACCATTTGTAACATTTAAACAAAAATATATGATTGTTGAATTTAAAGACATATTCACGACAGAGGTTATTTTGTGACTTTATACATAAGATTTTACATTTATTTTCAATTCTATATACTTGATACATTGATTTTTAATGCACATTCCAGTATGTACCGATGTAATGTTTATAATGTTGTGTTTTGAACCAAAAATATATAGTTCCATGTAAATTTTTTAAGTCCATCTGCAGACTTCAATTCTTATAATATTTAAATGTTAATAATTATAGTTTATATATGCATGAATAGAATTGTAAATGATATTTCTGATTTTAAAATATTTTCAGTTTTGTTACTCCCAGACTTGGAAAACACTATACTTGACAAAGGAAGTGGCATTCTTAATGACAAATATGTCTGTCGAATAGATATTAGCTTTGAATAACTAATGTAATTTTAGTTTTCGTGATAATGAATTAGAACCTGTTACTTTGTAATATTGCACATATATTGTCACAGAAAAGTTCAAGGTCACAGGAAGTACTGACAGGATCTCGGTTATTGTTTTGATCATTAATATTATTATTCATAATTGTTTCATTTTTGTATCATTTACATGCAAACCATTAGCAGAATGTCAGCATTATTGATAGGTTAAGAAATTTTATCTTCTTTAGATCTCTAGCAATTTTTAATGTGTACAAAATTTAGAAGCTTACTTGTTTAATTGTGGAACTACAGTTTGATTAATTATGTATGAAGTTTACTGAATTTCTATCTTCACAAAATACACTTTATTTTGCCGTTTTGAATTGCACAGGAATTTATTGTCACATTAATTCTGTCACAAGACATTTCAGAGTGAAATTTGATTGTCCGAGTCTTACATGACAATTTAAAACATTTGTGCATAATGAAGGTTGAAAATTCTTTGTTGTTGGGCTTTTTTTTATGCTTGTGTGTACTTAATTTATTATTATTATGTTGCATTTTTAATAGAAGAGTGTGGTAAAGAAACAGTAGAAAGACCATGGTTCAGAAATGGGGTTTTACAAAACTTTGAATGCTAATAGACTATTGCAAATACACCTATTTATTTCTCTGCTCCATATAAAAATAACACATCAAAAGAAATTTTTAATATATTTATTAATATTTCTCAGTGTATGCACATTCAAAGGTAATGTAAAAAGCAATTAGCAGTCTTTGTTATATTAATATTTAGCACTCTTTTGCTTAAAAAAAGGCTCAAATTACAATTAAAAGAGATGAGTACATTTACAGTAATGGATATTTGTTCGATTGAACATCTAAAGTTGTTAGAAAGTGTTGTCATTTGCATGAAAGATATTTAAGTGTGTAGTAATTATAAGTGCAGATGGTTTTGTTGAAGAGTTTGTCAGTTTGCCCTTGTTTTGCATATGCATGCTGGTTCTTTTGTATTTGCCAGTGCATTTTTTTTGGTTAATACCATAGAAATGCAATAAAAGAAGTACAAAATATCTGAAGAGTTGAAATCTTATTATATGTCCAGGCATTTTTGAATAATTATGAAACAGTACTTGAAGTTTATGTTCTGATGTATGAATTCTGTTTATCAGCATTTTTTATTATTATTATTATTGACGTTAATTGAGAATAGAAACACTGCACCACTCTGAGGCAAACTGAAAAATGTCTTTTGCTACAGTAACAATGTATAAAATCAAACCGCCTTTGAAATTGTCCCTGCAAAAAAAAATTATGATGCAAAACATGTCTATATTTACATCCACTTAATATTATTTCCTTTATTTCTTATAAAAACCATTGCCGTTAATCAGTCCATAAACAACACTAAGCAAGCCAACTGCATAGATTTCTTAAGCAACGGCTGTTCCATCAATTATGCATACAATGATATACACATCTATAATACAATATTTAACATATTTAATTTACTTTGAATGTTTTTTTAAAAAAAGATATAAATATAAACAATAAAATATATTTCTTTGTTTGTTAGTACGGGAATTAACGTCGCAGCTACTGCAGAAAAAAATTCACATAACCTGTTTACGCGGGTTATGTATTTTTTCTGCAACAGCTGCGACATTAATTCCCGTACTAACAACCAAAGAAAGCATTTTATTGTTTAAATTACAGAACATCATTTATGTTCCACATAGTCATAGTTATCAGTAAAGTTTGTGAATGTCACCTAGGAGCGAAATCAAAAGTTCCATGTCCGTCAAAAAAGTACCGTAAATTCACAAACTTAAAGGTTTCATAAGACTCGCTGTTCCCTCTGAAAACTAAATGTGATGAATGTTGATTGATATTGATAAACAAATACTAGCTTTAGTATATAAACGTATATTTCCTTTGTTTATTATAAAAAAAAAAGACTCATTTCAAATACCAATATCATAAAGTCTCATGCACAATGTGCACTTTTTGTTTAACGATGTCAGACAAGAAAAACTTGGGGCTCTTGCCCCCCCCCCCCCCCCCTTTGCGCTCACAGATACTTGACTTTCTTTATAATTTAAGAAAAAAATCTTTACTATAATACAATGTTGTAAACTTTGCCAAATTTTAAAACTCTGTATTGTTAGACTCAGAGGTTAAAGAAATGCAGCTAAATCATTTGAAAGATGGAACAGAAAAACCAAGAGCAATGTCCCTTTTTCAAAGATTTAATTGGAATAAAACTTGTAGAAAGAAGAGATGGAGCGTGGGGGAGAGGTACTTGCTGTTTAAAAAAAATGAGGGATTTCAAAAACCTATTTTTTTTCCTAAATCTAAATTTGGTAATTCAAACTACATGATTGACGGAAAAGTTCAAAGCAAAATCATTTTTTTTTTTTGGTTTCAGAATAGCATAAATTTTAGATGTACACATTTGAGAAGGGACACAGCCTCTTATGTTCCTACAGATTTCATCATTGCACTATACTGTATTTACCCTACCTTAAAGTAATAGCTTGAAGTCATGCAAATAATGCATTTTAATAATTTAACCAAAAAAAAAAATCTTTAAAACATATACAAATCATTTCTATATTACATGTAGTTGTAAAGATTAAATTTATGAATCCGCCTAATTGTTTTCTGGTCATTAAAGATTCGGCGTAGATATTCTGTGATGTTTGAAAGTAATAAAGGTATCATTTAAAATTCATGGATTTTATTACCTACCAGAAAACTTGAAACTTTTCCAATTCCATTGTAATTTCACGCTGAATGGGTTCTACCACCATCCGCATTTTAATCAATAGTGCACATTGCTGATGTGTGACATCTATCCACGACTGAACCCAAACAAAACATTTGTTACAATTATGTGATTTCGGAAAGAAACGTCATTTAATTCAGTGATGGAGATTTCGGCTTTTCTTTTGTTGACACTGGTATTCGTCTTGACTGAAGGTATAATATAGTTTTTACTTTTTGTAAGTATGATGATGAATTTCTTTTTTTTTTTAATTTATAATTACTCAATATTTTCTGTTTCCAGAATTCAATATTTAAATGACAGTCCTACCTGGCCATGTTTTTTGCATTGAGTTTAGAGCGAAAATAAGTCACATGATACGTCCTAAAGATAAATGCAAAGATGTAACCCCCCCCCCCCTTTTTCAGCTTGACTTCAATTTTTATTTATTTTTAACTCGTTAAATTACAGTATGGTGAAACTGTGATGTTATCGAAATACAGCTGAGGATCCGTCTGCGAAAGATAATTTAATTATACCGTACGAAAGAAATTCAATTTTTTTCTACGTGAAAACAAATTTATTTACAATGCATATGATTAATATGATTTTCATCGTATATAGTAAAAAGAATTCTTTCTATTCTAATCATGATCAATGAGAATATCGCAGATTCGTTCCCGGTTAGGGCTACTGGACTGAATAGAAAAAAAAAATCGAAGGGACGTTAAACAATCAAACAAACCAATTAGTCTAAGTCTTTGGTATTAGATACTCAGAATAAATAATTACTAGAGTAGTTCTCAGTATCAAATACTCAGGATAACTACTAAATTGTCAATATCAGGTACTTATTATTATCAGATACGCAGAATAACTTTAAAATTAATTTTAAGTATCAGATATTCAGGATCAATTATTCTTTAGTATTAGAAACTCAGAATAACTCATTAGTCTTCAGTATCAGATATGCGGAATAAATAATTACTATTAGTCTTCGGTATCGTATACTCATGTAATCGGAGAGAAGAAAAATCCGACGAACCAGACCGGGATTCGGACCCGGGCCCCCTGAATCTCCAGTCTGCTGCTTTACCAATTGAGCTATCTGGCCACCGGTGATCAGACCCGTCTGACCGCAACATTCCTCCCTCTTTAAATGTCTTCGGCCCCAAACACACCAACTCAGGTTCTTTCACCAGTGTAACATCCTGGTCGCGGCACCAAATGTAACCGGAGAGGAGAAAAATGCGACGGACACCGGGATTCGAACCCGAACCCCCCCCCCCCCCCCCCCCCCCCCCTCGAATCTCCGGTCAGGTGCTCTACCAACTAATCTACCCAGCCCGATATCCACGCCCAAACCATTACACTCAAAATAACTAACGCGTCTTAGACTGATCAGATACTCAGGATAATAAGAAAGTTCTCAGTATTAGATACTCAGAATAACTTATTATTGTTCTGTATCAGATACATAGTGTAAATTATTAGTTTTCAATATCATATTCTCACTACAGGACCAATTAGTTTTCGGTATTAGATACTCAGAATAATTCATTAGTCTGCGGTATTAAATACTCAGGAAAACTAATATAGGCCAAGTGAATTAGTCCTAGGTACCTGACCCCACCTCTGGAATCTCAGGGGTTCGTGTTTTATGTGCTGTTCACAGATTTGTATTGCTTGTAGATTTTTTGAGATCTATCGCTGTTCGTTAATTATCTTCATTTTTCATTACAAAAAGGTATAAGTGTAATCAGAACATCATTCATATTTTTGTACGTCTACTTATTTTAGTTGTAAACCTCGCTAAAGGATACGAGTGCCCTAGAATCACCTACAGAAGGGACAGCTTTGGATTTATTTACAAATTACGAACTTACGTTCATTGTGAACATGGCTGCTGTGGACAAAGGGGAGACTACTGCTGTACAGCTCCAATCACCACAACAGAAAAACCTATCTACAATGACAAGTAAGAGCGTAATTGTTACAAGTCTTTATTCATTAATGTCTGTAGCTCAAGCGCTAAATTTCAAAGGCCAAACTTCAAGGTCATGAGGTAAAAAAAATCATAGGACATTCGATCACAGGTAATGCAAAAGTGACCCCACTTTCAGAGGTCCGTGTTGACTCTGCTCATAATTTTTTTTTTGTTTAAATGGACTTTTGGGAATTATCACTGTTCGTTATATTCACAATTCACAAGTGAAATATCTTTTCTCAGTCAGAAGTTATTAGCAAATTTGAATATTTTTAAAAGTAGGTCAAACTTCAAGGTAATGAGGTCTACAGTCATAGTATATTCGGAAAGGACTTGTCAGAGGAAATGCACACGTCGTGTGAAATATGAAAGCCCTATCTTCCCTTACTTTAAAATTTATTACCAAAGTTATTTTTTTTTTAAAAGAAGGTCAAACATTAAGGTCAAGGTCATGCGGTCAATAATCATAGTATATTCGGAAAGGCCTTGTTACATGTACAAGAAATGTACATGTGAAATATGAAGGCCATATATCATCTCATTCAAAAGTTGTCACCAAGGTTAAAGTTTTTGGTGTCAGACAGGCATATGAACGGACAAATAGAATTTAACGTCCTCGCGCTTTTACAAAAGTGGGGGACAAAAATTAAGGAAATTTTAATCAAGTACATGTATATATATATATATATATATATATACAAATGAAGCATGGAAGCTGAGCAGAAAGCCGTTTCTATAGATTTCTATTCAATGTTCAGGAAAACGAAACAAATGCATTATTTTTACAGTCAGCTGATTTTGATACAATATTTGCATGTAATTTGATCTAAAGGTACATTGAATATAAACAATTGTTCTTTTAAATTGAACAAAAGAGAGCGATAATTAATTGTCAAACCCCAGCGGGCCACTTTTAAATAATCGATATCCTACTGACAATCGCAAAAATGGTTGGAAATGGCGATTTGCCTTGAAGCTGTCTTACCTTAACTCCCTCTGTTTCCTTCCTGCTTGACAGGTTTTCTTAAACGCCCCCCCCCCCCGTTCATATGGACCATTTCATGTTTGTAAATATTCATTTACAGATAAACTATGCACAGTCCTCACTGACGACGACGGTACCTTCCGAGAAAATGTACACTGCTCCTCCTAGACTTTTGTCATTCTAGAAGTTGTATTGTTTCTTGTAGTACATTGAATTTACGTCCAAAATGGTCATAACTGAAATTTCATAGAAAGCCGCGAAAGAAAAACAAAATCAGATCGATGGCAATTACTAATCATTAAAAAATGGTCGGAAAACACCTCATTATCTGAAAGAGCATTAAATATCAGTCAAATACCTCATAATTATATCCAGCAAAAACTTCTGGAAAACAAATATGTCGCCTGGGGAGGGGTGAAGAAAATAATAAAACAGGCCTAGATTTCACTATTAGTGAATTAAATTAAAAACTAACAGAAACTTGGTAGGTATTCAATTATTCCGTAAGGCGTTAATAAAAAGCAATAATGATTTTTTCTCTCCCTCTTTTCCCCATATAATATTTGTTTTAGCTTTGGGAAGTCTGTGTCTATTTTCCACATTTGAGGACCAAATTACTGTTTGTGGCTTATGGCGGAAGTTGGTGAGTGGCCATTAGATAAAATGTCGAGCGCATGACAAGTATATGGGAAAAATCTTTTTAGCGCCCCTTTTTCATGGATATTTATTAGTTGTTACGTGTGTTTCTAGGAAACGTAAAATATAGAAATGTTGCTATGGCAGGAACACCACCAAAACCAATGCACTGTGGATAATTAGTGTTTAGAGAGTGGGAAATCAAAGAGTTTCTCATGACGTTATCATGATTTTATCTTCATCAAAAAAGTTAAAAATTAACTTGAATTGGATAGAACTTGAGCAAAACTTTATAGTGAAATATCACTGATACAGTGTGGCTAAATTGATCTACTCATTTAAAAGCTCTAGTTTGTAAAAAAAAAATGTGCATGTACCATTCTTTATTTCTAAATTAAGACCATGCAAAGCTTTACGTAGAAGCCATTCTAGAAAATTACCGAAAATGTAGAGCATTGCCGTGACATTGTTAACCCAGATTGAAGAAAGAAGAAAATGCCACGCTTTTATTATTGATAAGATTATCAGGAAATTTATAATTAAAAGTCGTCCATATACTGGATAATAGTTATAATCAAAAGTACTTAATTAACACAAACAGATTGAACTTTGGCATCTCGAGCGCCATTTAAATCGCACAATAAAAATATGTCGAAGTGAGTCCATGATCCCAACTAAATTTTGAGTTCGAATTTGAACACCCTGGTATCTCCATGTTTATTTAGAATTATATTTTGCCTTTGAGTTCGAAACACCGACTCGGAGATTAAACTGTGTTAGTTTACTTCTTATAGCAAGTATCATTATTTTTTTTTTTGTTTTTTCCCCCAATTTTGAAATCATGTATGTATCAATTTTCGCACATGTATAACTATTATGCCTCAGTGAATTGTTAAGAGTTTAAATAAGATCAGAGACATTTTCAAACTACCAGTGATCTCTCTTGACTATTTTGAAATCATGTATGTATCAATTTTTGCACATATAGAACTATTTCCTCATCCTAATACTCCTACATTGTCTTCCTCATCTTTGGACTTCTAAAATTGTTTTTTTCTTCATTCTAAGAGCTCTATATTGTTTCCCTCATCTAAAGACATTTGAAGTGTTTGTCTCATTTCAATACTCCTACATTGTTTCCTCATGCTCCTACATGCTTTACGCCCTGTTTACACATTTGTCTTGTTTGTAGGTTTATTGACATCGATCACTGATCGTTATCTTCACATTTTTCATTGTCTCTAAGGTCCCTATATTGTTTGTCTCATCCTAAGACTCCTACATTGTTGGTCCCTATATTGTTTGTCTCATCCTAAGACTCCTACATTGTTGGTCCCTATATTGTTTGTCTCATCCTAAGACTCCTACATTGTTGGTCCCTATATTGTTTGTCTCATCCTAAGACTCCTACATTGTTGGTCCCTATATTGTTTGTCTCATCCTAAGACTCCTACATTGTTGGTCTCTATATTGTTTGTCTCATCCTAAGACTCCTACATTGTTGGTCCCTATATTATTTGTCTCATCCTAAGACTCCTACATTGTTGGTCCCTATATTGTTTGTCTCATCCTAAGACTCCTACATTGTTGGTCTCTATATTGTTTGTCTCATCCTAAGACTCCTGCATTGTTTGTCTCTATATTGTTTGTCTCATCCTAAGACTCCTACATTGTTGGTCCCTATATTGTTTGTCTCATCCTAAGACTCCTACATTGTTGGTCCCTATATTGTTTTCCTATTCCTAAGACTCCTAATTTTTTTTCTCATTTTAATACTTCTACACTGTTTTCTTCTTCAGCACCAGTTTGTACCTTGGAGTCGTGTCTGGTACTGTTCTAGCGATCGTGTTTATTATCTCCGTTACTTGCTGCTGTATCAGCAAATACAACAAGAAAAATGTGACTGTTGGCGTCGACCCTCGCCGGTCAGATGGATCTCGAGCAGGAGTTTTGACAGGTAGAAAGCCAACATTTTATAGCCCAGGTCATCTTAAAAAAAATGTTTGTTTGCCCTCTCCCGACCGGCTGACTAAAAACGACTCAAAACTTTTTTTAATCTCCTGGAAGCAATGATTTTTTTTTATTCATTCTGAAGTTTTATCATCCCATTAATAACTACATGTATTCTAACTTCCTATTCGCAAGTATTTTTGAATAATTTAATTCTGGTTGTAACGCGTCATTTGATTGAATAAAAAATTAGTTTATATCGTATAACCTACGTTGCCTACATCACAATGACTTACGTCAAAAACGTATTAATCCGCTTGACCTTACTTTTAAAATATGATCAACTTGAAGAAATTTTTGAGGAGAAATTGACTTAATTTCAACACTTCATGATGGAAAATTAAATTATGAGGAATAAATTTAATAGCTACCCAAGTTATACTGGTATAACCTGAGTTGGAACAGTTTACGCTTTTTAATAAACCGCTTCGCGGTTTATAAAGCGTAAGCTGCCCCAACCCTAATTATACACTATAACCTGGGTAGCTATTAAATTCATTCCTTAAATAATAAAAAAAATTTCCCCCTACCTACCTACCTACCCATTTTTTTAAAATCCTGAGTCGGGAGAGGACAAGAAAACATTTTTTCTTAAAGATGACCTCAGTGGTAACGTTGCTTTCGAGTACGTTGCGTGATTGTTACGAAAACAGGCATACAGATCTTTTAACTTGTACTTAATATACCGTATAACAGACAATTTCTGCTATGTTTTGAATATAATTTTATCTTGTTTTTTAAATTTTTCATTTATTTTTTATTTACTTTATTTTGTTGAAATTTTAGACTAAACCATTTAAATTCCGGGAAAAAAACTTTTGCAGAAATATAACCATTAGATGGTATTTCAAAATCCATATTCATTGTATATACTGAGTTATTCCGTGGTTTTAGTTCAGGATCTTGAAGACAGAGTTATGTCCCCTCCACCTGCATATGAACATACCGTCTCCACAGCTGCCCCGCGTTCAGCACCACGTGACCCTTCCGTCAGATATACCAGGACCAGTGGAAAGTTGTTCACATCCACATAAAAAAAACTACACTTTTTTGGACAGATTTTGATCTAGCTTATTTGAGAGATGGGTATACGAGATAACTGCATATTAGATTTGCTTCAACGTTTAATCTTTTTATCATTTATTTAAAAGCTTATTTTCATTTTAATTACGGTGTATTGAAGTGCATGCTCATAAATTTATGCAGGGTAATTTAAATTTAATCGTTCTAGTATCTTACACGTAGTAACATGTACAGGTAAATTTAAAGTTGACTCTATTATTCAAAATTTGTTCACCAAAGCAGTTGGTTTTCTTTTTATTTGTATGTACTTAAGATTCCATGTACTTAATTATTTACATGCATGCATTTGCAGGTTAGGACATGCATGCATGTAAAGTGCAAGGTTTTAAATGCAATGAATATAATTATACATGTAAAGTGCATGTATTTTTGGAATTTTTTTTTTAGGTCTGTTTTAAATATGTTTTGCCTTAACACATCTATTTTTGAAAATATCTTGCCTACTTAAACATCTTAGCTTATCCACACTACTCAGTGTCAAGTGCTTTATTTTGTGTATATGCTTCTTTTTCCTGATCTATATTATGTTTCTTTTCTATGTTAATATTAGGCCTCCTGTATGACAAATGAACTTAATGTCATGTTTTGTTAAGGTTACAACTAGAGCAAGGCGATATTGTTATCATGTTACTTATGTAGTGTGTCAAAAACATGAATTTGATAATCTGAATAAAATTTTATATCTTTGTGTATTGTTGACTTACCAATAATAAAAAATAACTGAAAAATAATTTAAGTTGTCCATATTTGTCCATTGCTTCTATATGTTGTAAGATGTCATCAAGATGCAGTGCCATTTTTTTAAAATAAAAATTCCAAAATAATGGTTGGCGGCGTGTATTTTTGTAAATATACATGTAAGTAACGTTTGTCTTTTTTGCCAAACCTAATTTAACTATACATTTCAGACTTCTAACTAAAAAAAATTAAAAAAAAATACAAACAAACAAACCAAGACTTTCCCTTTGGTGCTGTTCTATTTGTTGACAGCTTTTAAATGCCATGGTCTTAGGACGAAAAGAGCAATTAACGAAGAACATTAATAATTGGCTTTCCATTAGCTAGCGAGGCAGCGCTGAGAGTCTCCGAGGAAATTTGCCCGACTCAATATTCTCTCTTACATTAATTTACCAGGAGTATATATCTTCCTGGTTTAAAAATGGCACTTCGTGATTTTGTCGTCCTTATTCTGAAATATACCGTGTTTTGTTTTTGAAACGATACTATGTTCGGACCCACAATTGACAAATATTTTAGTATCTATCATAGATACTGAAAAATCTTCAACACTAAATGACGTACATTAAAGAACTCTATATAAGACGTAAACATAAGTAGTAACTGCTCCTTCGCCAAATGACAGGCATTGGGAGTGAAAGGCACAGGTCCCATGTCATGGTAGGCGATAAAGAGCCCTCAAGGGTCTAAATTTGAAGCCCTTCACCGGCATACGGCGACGACTCTTTATGAGTGAAATATTCTCAAACGGGATGTTAAACAACATACAATCAATCAATTAATCTTGACTACTGGACATCAAACAGTCAAATTGTTGACATAATAATAAGCCTCTTCCAAGATTGCGAAATTCATAGATCAAAAATATGAATATGCATATTTTTTTCAAAAATCTTCTCTCCCCCTTTATTTTTAGCAGACAAACTACATGCATAGATATGATGGGCAAGAGTGCCTCTCCCATGCAAACCTGTGATATTTATGGCCCCTGGCCCAAGGGCTCTGTTGTCAGGGCAGGACTCTAGTTGTCATTTAGTGAAATGCATTATTTTTCTCTGCTGGGTATTTAGCATACAAACTAAGTGAACCGTTATGAATAGCAAGAATGCTTTCTCCAAAATTGTGAAATTCATGGCCCTTGGGTCAGGGGTTCTGAAGTTAGGGCGGGGCTCTTTTATGATCATTTAGTGAAAATGCATTGATTTTTTGAAATCTTTTTCATTGCTCTTGAGTATTTAGCAGAGAAATATATTGCATGACATTGATGAAAAAGAGTGCCTCTTCCAAAATTGTGAAATTCTTGGACCCTTAGACAGGGTTCTAGAGTTAGGGCGGGCTCTATTATGATCATGTATGGTAATGTTTACTCTTCTTTAAGAGAAATTAGTCCACTTTATAATTCACTTAAAATAATTAATAAATGTAGATATTGCACGTGACTGAGAGGTAAATTGAATAAAAGAATTATACAATATATTTTAAAAAGTACTTTCTTTTATTTTTTTTAACAGTCAGATAGATTTGTAAATAAAGATGAATAAAAATGAGACAAAAATACCTTATATACATGTACATGTACATTAAATATTAATCAAGAGCCCAAGAAAGACCATTATTGTGTGAGGATTGTGCTGGGTGTATTCTGTGAATTTTGTGTGTCATGTGTAAGCACTAATGCCTCATGTTTGGTGGTAGTGATATAGCGTATAGATAGTACTGGCATGTACAGCAAGTCTCTATGTTGTTGCTGAGTATCAGCTAATTACTTTGCTCATCCCTGATCACCCTAAGTCTATTGTTTTTGAAGTCTCGTTTATTTTTTTTTTTTTTTTTGTTATTATACAATTATTTACCATTTCATGGATGCTTTAATACAGGGTTGTATTATACTCAGGTGACTGTTAAGGCCCTCGAGCCTTTTGTTTATTATTATTATCTTTTTTGTTATTATTTTGCTGTTTTATGTTTGTATAAAGCTTTGCTTCATGAAAATGAAAGTGTAGAGCAAAGATGGATTAAGTAAAACACAAGTCATGATTTACCTACAGTGTACAAGAAACATGGAAGTTATATATTAAGTTTTAAATACGCGTTTAAGGCATACGGACAAAATATCCATGTCAGGATACTTATATGTCTTCATTCCGTTGTAGTCATGTCTTCATTCCGTTGTAGTCATGAATGGATTCTCTTATAAAGAGCTGTTTTGTAATAATTTGTTATAACCGATTACATTCAGCTGTTTGATGCAGTGCATCATTCAAAATTACAGTGTATTTGAAGATATATACAAGTATGTTTCATTAGTTATTTTCACAGACCATACACCCACTGTAGCCATGAATGGATTCTCTTATAAAGAGCTGTTTTGTAATACACCCATTTCAATATTCAAATGAAAAATTTCCTGCATAAAAATGAAAAGCAGCAATTATCTTTAAACGCCTCTGAATGGCTTGTTAATCGAAATAATTTCTGAAATGAAAGTCCATGTGTACTTATATAGTTATGTACTTTTGATAAGGTATCAAGGACTTGCTTATGTTGGATAAATCTTAGATAATTTTCATTGTACTCTTAATGCATTTTGGGAAAAAATGTGAATCGAACATAATTATTAATATAATGCATGCATGTTTATGGTGGAAGCACAGTACAGGTCGATTAAAATTCAAATACGTTAAGGAAAACCAAGATTTGACTTGAAAAAAACCCAAACTCTTTCAAAATACATTTTCTCTGAAAGATGAAAGTAACTTCTAAGATCTGTTGAGCAAAATAAGGTTTAATCTTGGTGTAGGGAAACTAACTGTTCCAAACTACATTACACTTTAATTAAAAGGGACTGTGAACTTCTTATTTACATTTATATCAAATATAATCATGCATGAGCAAAAAAAGTTAAACCCCAGTTAATTAACTAAAAAAAAAATCGAGCCTGCGCACAAGACAGATCTATGCAAGCTAGGCGCTGTATGCAACGTAGTGTTCTCGGGTACATTTGTTTCGCCTGACTAGTTATTGGGAATTTAATCTCGTTATTCCACCATAATGTAAAAAAACAAGTAAGATGAAGGCTGTCAGATATCTAAAAATCAGTTGTCTGCTTTGTATAATATGGATAGGATATGGAGGTATGTTCTTTTTTTCACCTGAGCAAGCATGCATCAAGGTATTCGTGATTTTATTCTCACCTCTGATTTCTGTGTCAGAAATTCTTTACTTTTTTAAAAAGAAAAATATATTAAATTCAATATAAATACAGCATTCAATTGTAATTGTTATATCTGAATGAGATACATATGTAAATATTGTATAAAAGATATACTTTTGCATCACAACATCACATTGACCTAAATTATACCAAATGCAATTGATTTTCTTTCTGGTTACTGAGGATCGTATTTCTTATTAAAGACCATGGATATTTCCGTCATTAAAGAGAACTGAGCATAAACAAAACGGATTCAAAACTGTTAATCGAACAGGCAGTTTTCTTTCTTTCATTGTTTATATGTATGTTGGTGAGAGGGAAGGGGAATCAACTCCTAGTTTACATAAAATGCATATTGTTTAAAATAAAATATGGAAAATTTGTCTCTTTTTACTTTAATTTTTACATATACACTGCTATAAATTCGGATATAAACAGATATACCATGCTATTAATCTACTTATAACACTGCTATGTTACAACGCACTTTGAACAATTATGCATTTTGAAAATATTTTTCAAAGTGCGTTGAATTTGGGACCATATTAACGCACTTTGAAAAAAAAATGTGCTCGGCTTGGTAAAAATTCTTACAAATTTTAGGCATGATAAATTATTAATTGAATATTGCAGCCCATGATAGTTTTGCTTTCTCTGCCTTTTTTATACCATTATACTGAAACTGTCTTCCAGCCACTGCTGAGAATTGAAAACACCAATTTTAACATTTGTAATTTATTGAGAAATCACATCATACAATGTTGGATGGAAATGGCCGCAAATTTTGTAGGAGTCAAGGGAGACAACTAGGATACCATAAACAAACGGGCAAACTAATTGCCTCGCTTAGATGCGAGTGCCATGGAGCCCCATGCCCGACACACATGGTGGCTAGGCACAAAACCTGCACAGCTTTTACACCCTACCTCTGGCTTGCTACCTGGTTTAGAATTTTAACACCAAACGGCCTGTACCCTCTCCTAGTTTTATATAGGTAGAGGGGGTCTGAACACTGAAATACTGCAGATCCCAAGCAGTTTACAGTTATTCCACACATTTCCTCAGTGGCATTTAACTTCTATGTTAACACACTGCCATGGACACCCCTCATGCTTTGATACAGATGGGCAGAGACAAAAAGTTCAGCATGTACAAGATGTCTCCCTTGACCCCGCCACTAACATCAATATGATGTTCCCCACCAAAAATTTGCTCCAAAATCGATATACGTATCAATACTAAACTAATGACAGGTCATCGCAATTGAATCCTGAATGATGAGGTTAAGGAAACTACTGAGGCGGGAAAACTTTGCCCTTACCCCCCAAAATGAATTCCAAACCACCTAGGATATTATTTAAATAAGCCTTATTCCCCCTTTCAGATCAATGGATTCCATCATATCTAAATAAACTGCTTTGATGAACATTGGTATTTTTGTCGTGAACAATGCAAGCCCCATTAACTTCGGATGTAATTAATTTTCTAATGGCCTTGTTAACCTTACACCGTTTTAAATCAATCTTAGCCCCACACTTGCCTAGGCGCTCCATGCCAGTAAAGACGGGGAAGCATTGTTGACCAAATGAGCAAGGTCCTAGGAAGCCATACTTTATAAAGATATAGACTACATTGAATTTCATGTGAAAATCTTAGTGCATTATGGCCAGATGTTGTGAGATCATTTGACCCTGCATGAATAATCAATGTATCTGGGTATGGTTGATGCCTGAGTTCTTCTGTTAACACTTTGTCAAGATCTTCCCTTTTCAGCCCTCTTATTCCCTTCCAAGTGATGTGATTCCAAGATTAAGGTTCTTTCCGCCTGGTCTCCTCCCTGCCTCCACATCAGCCCGATAAGGTATTGAAGATCCTACTATCCAAATTGTCTTGAAACCTGGAATACTTTTGGCAAATTTAGCTTGTGTTCCATTTAAAAATGCAATCACATTATAATCTGATGTAGTTTTGAATAGCTTTTGACTCCCACCTGCCCAAAGATTTAATTTCTGAATCTGGAAAGATCTGTAGCTCTACCTATTCTAAAGCTATGTGGTCTAAAGAGTCCCTAAATGTTATTGAATTGAAGTGCTTTCTGAAGCATGCAGTTGAATTGGTATCTTGTTACGCCTTTGTTATCGATATGAATGAAGAATAAAAAGGAGCCACTGTTAGGGCGCAGACGTAAAAACATGATTGCCCACAGTACTGGACAAACATCAGAATTTGGTTGTTTGCAACGTTGTTGTATTTCCAATTAGGCCAGTTTTGGACCTGGGAAATAGAATACTGATCCTGCTCTAAGTAAATGAGATGTGTGCCCTATGGATAGTCAAAACTTCACTTACCCTAAGCAAGCCGTGAAATGCAACTGAAAAAAACTGGAAAATAACACTGCCTCCTAGGGTGATCTACACACTGATGGCAATGCTGATACTACACGTTGCAAGATTGATAAAGTTTGAGATTCGAGAATCTACAGTGATACCTCTCTTTTGTTTGCCCCCTCATTCTTAAATTCCCCACATGTTCGTGGGAAGTGGTGTTGGCCATGGATCTGCTGTAGGTGCTAGCCGTCGGAATCTGTCCCACTGTGAACGAGAAAAACAATCCGCAATAGAATTTGATTTAGATGATATGTATCTTGCTTTAATAAAAACAAGATGTGTTTGTGAAGCACTGATGCCCCCGCATGGCAACTTATAGCAAAGGTTAAACTTTCTCAAATGCAAATCAAATAGTTGGTACCCAAACTAAGGTCTTGTGTCGAGGAATATACCTGTGAAATATGAAAGCCCTAGCAGCAACCATTGAATAGATATGGAAAAGGTTAAAGTTTCTTCCAAAGAAAGTCAAAAATCCAGGTCAAAGTCAAATGGTCAAAATTAATGGTGCCTAAGGAAAGGCCTTCTCACAAGAAATATACTGGTGAAATATGAAAGCTGAAGCACCAATCGTTCTAAAGTTATGACCAAGGTTTAAGTTTTTCAAAAGAAGGTCAAACTCCAAGGTCAAGGTCAATGGATTACAATTGTTGGTATCCAAAGGAAGGTCTTGTCACAAGGATTATATATGTGAAGTATGAAAGCCCTAGCACCAACGGTTCAAAAGATATGGCCAAGGTTAAAGTTTTCCAAAAGTAGGTCAAACTCCAAGGTCAAGGTCAAAGGGTCAAAGTTGTTGGTATCCAAAGGAAGGTCTTGTCACAAGGATTAAATATCTGAAGTATGAAAGCCCTAGCTGCAACGGTTCAAAAGTTACGGACAAGGTCAACGTTTTTTCAAAAGTAGGTCAATCTCCAAGGTCAAGGTCAAAGCGTCAAAGTTGTTGGTATGCAAAGGAAGGTCTTGTCACAAGGATTGTATATGTGAAGTATAAAGCCTTAGCATCAACCGTTCTAAAGTTATGGCCAATGTTAAAGTTTTTTTCAAAAGTAGGTCAAACTCCAAGGTCAAAGGGTCAAAGTTGTTGGTATATAAAGAAAGGTCTTGTCACAAGGATTACACATGTGAAGTATGAAAGCCCTAGCACCAATTGTTCAAAAGTTATGGCCAAGGTTAAAGTTGGGTAAAATTTTGCAAAACTGGGTCAAACTCCAAGGTCAAGGTCAAAAGGTCAAATATGGTGGTACCCAAAGAAAGGTCTTGTGACATGGAATACACATGTGAAATATGAAAGTCATAGCTCCAACCAATCAAAAGTTATGGGCAATGTTAAAGTTTTTGCGGACAAACAGACAGACAGACGGATGGACAGGGCAAAAAATATATACCCCCCGAATCTTCAATACGGGGGGATAAAAATTATACTTGAGACATGTGAGAACCATTTTCATGACCCTTTATGACCTTAATGTTGTTGTGTTAATGACCACTACCATATTGTCGATGTAAAACAAAATTCTACAGTTGTAAAATTGATGCTTCCACAATTCAATGCCTACATGGACTGGAAAAAGCTCTAGAAAGGTCATATCACGGGTTATGCCTTGTGCAAACCTCGAAATGGGCCATTGAGCATATGTCCACTTGCCTGCAAAAAATATACCAAACCCCCCCGAGTTTCCCCCTGCACTATCGTGTAAAGTTGTAGAGTCTCATTGATAACCGATATGCCTTCTGTTATGACTGAAATGCCATTAAATGATTGAAGGAAAGCAAGCCAGACTTTGAGGTCAGCTTTCATTTCTAATGTTACCCGGGTATGGTGATGTGGTTTGCTAAGGCCAAATATTACACTTTCATGTAAATTAATTGAATCTGATTCGTCGAGAAACATTTCTTAAAAACACTATTACCCGCTGAATGATGAAGCCACGCCCTCCAGCGTAGCAACAGTCAACATTGCTTGACGACGGGTGATATTCCAAAAAAAAAAAATTACAGTGTAACTGCGCAGAACATGCAATATTTATGTACTATATATATTGTTGCATCAGTCAGTCGTCGACAGAAAGTCCTACCTGGAGCTATGACTCAAGCAAAATTACTACATGCAAAATTTAAAAGCCCCAATATAGACTGAAGTTGAAGTGTTACCTTCTTTAGTGTCATAAAGTCAAGAATCTTTTGTTTGATTTCATCAATCTTTACCAATGGTAATTTCATGATCATTTTCACCGTATCGAACTCAATGCCCAAGAAAGTAAAAATCTGGGTTGGATATACTGTTATGTCGTTTCCAGTGTTGACCCCCCATATCAATGCACAGGGAAAGAAAAGTGTCTAAGGTGTTTTAGCAAATGGATTGTTCTTTGCCACTGAAGAGAAAGTCATCTAGATGATGCAGAATGGAGGCATTTTGTGAGCGATCCTGTATTAGCCAATGCAGAGAGCAAGCAAATCTGTCCCAGATTGCAAAATTTATCTTACACCCAAATGGTAGCATTTTGTCATAATAAAACGCATCATTAAAGTGAAAACCTAACAAATCGAAATCAGTGCTGTTAACTGGTAACAACCTAATGGCTGATTTGATGTCTGACTTAGCAAGAAAGGCCCCCCTACCTAATTAGGCAGTAATGGCAGCAGCAGCATCTATCGTTGAATAGGTTACAGAGCTCTGTTCTGGGTCAATAAAATCATTTATAAAAGCAAATTCTGGATATGATAAATGGTGAATAAGGCGGTAGTCACCATCTTTTTTAGGGCAAGGCCTAATGGAGAAACTTGCAATGTTGGAAAAGGTGGTTCTATAAAGAGGCCCGCAACTCTCCCCAATGAAACCTCTTTGTAAATCTTTTGCTCCGCCTTAACCCCCCCCCCCCAGTTACCAGTTATGTAAGTACATAATATATACATGTTTTTGGATAGGAAAGATAAAGAGTTTTGCTGAGGGACCTTCTACCTGTCTTCTCGATATCGATGAGGGTAGATCAATTCATCAATTTTTCGAAGAAATATAACAAAACAATACTGTCTATTACTAATATACCTAAGTCCAAAATTGTTGTTATATTTATATATTTTTTTTCAAAGTGCATTAAGTGTCTCCATGGTAAAAATGTTGATGTACACTCTTAATGCACTTTGACAAATTTTTCAAAGTGCGTTGATTCTGTCCCAAATTTAACGCACTTTGAAAAACTTTTCAAAGTGCGTAAATTTTTCAAAATGCGTCACCATACTGCTATTAAATCAAATTCAGTGCTATTATCTTAGTAACACCGCTGCTATATTTGAAGCTTTACCACTGTAAATAATTTTAGCTATATTAAATTACTAGTAATAATTTCGATCTTATTGAAATGTAATTTTTTTTTTAGAAGCGGACCATTTAAAGAAACCAGGCACATGCCCTGCTATTTCGCCTTCCATGACCGGAAGTTGTACAAATTACTATTGTACATCAGACTATGACTGCGTGGGAGAGGAGAAGTGCTGTAGCGATGACTGTGCTACCTATAGCTGTCAAAAACCGGTGACTAATGGTTAGGATATATATCCAAAATTGATATAAAGTCTCAGTAATCGGAAAATAATATTTAAAAAATCTGAAAAGAAATCACAAAAATCCTCCGTAAATCTTTGGCGCTTTCATTTCAAATCCTCAGAAGACAGTGTACTTACATGTAATTAAGCATCACTGATTTGATTTTTTGCCTTACAATAAAGGCATTAGAATATATCCAGCATGTACATTGTATATTGTATCTAGTGAGTATTTTAGATTTTTAAAATGAAATGTCTGATATATATTGAAGAGGCACATATCAAAGGAGCCGAGTGCCCACAGGTCTCTTATCGGACAGACAGCTTTGGGTTCAAATGGCCGATGACGTCATACATTTACTGCTCTACGGGATGTTGTGGTGTCAGGAATAATCACTTCTGCTGTGAAACCAAGCATCAGTAAGGGTCTACAAATCTAAAGTAAAATAGTTTTAAAAAATCTAAAAATGTTGAAAAGTGTACACGTTTTGGAATCCTTTATTGTTACTGCAATTGCTCTCCTATGGTAGCATATTTTTGCCCCCACATGCGCGAAGGGCTTTATGATAAATTTGATCTCGTACCAACCCGTATTTATATCCCGATAGATGTTTAGAAATGATACCTTATTACTTATATTTATATTTGGGTGAATTAAAAAAAAATGACCACCAAAGTGAAATTTTTTAGAAAAAATTCAACTACCCATAACACATTTTTCACCAATATCATCATATTGTACATACATTCTAGTTAATGTTCCTGAAGTTGCAATAGAATAGGATAAAAAAAAGTTTAAGAATTTTTATAAGTAACACTTTATTTGAAAAAAGAAAACACTACATCCTAAAAGACTTTCTAAAAGAAATTGTAGTTTTTATGCTTCAAAATGGTATCAGGGATATAACTGATTAGATCTAAACCTTGACTGAGTTTCTTCTCTTGTATATGTGGAAAAAACTGGCTTATTTGATTGTTATTTTACATTATTTTTTCAATTCTGGTTTAAAAAATTTTAATATGAAAGAAATATGAACCAATAAAATTCCTCCCAAATCATTATTTTGTCCATTTAAGTCAGTTCTTTAAATTTAAACCAAAAGAGAATTTTGAGTTTTCTTACAAAAAATACTAAATTCTGAAGTGACCCTATGTTACATAATTGTGTTGCACTCCTGACATCTGATATGTATTTTATTTAACTTTGTTTATTAATCAGTTCGTTGTTTTGATATTTTTTATCATTTACGGAAAGTTTTTCATATTTTCAAGACTTCAAAACATGATTATTTGCAACGTGTTATATATATACATTGTATCTAAAAATATGTGTTAAGTGATGACAACTATTCTCTGAATTGACTGTAAATTGTATGTAATTAGTTGACAGACATAATGTTTTGAAAATCAAATAGTATCAAACATTTTTTATCAATTTATTTTTTAGTAAAGATAGATGAAGATAATTAATAATTATTATAAAACAGTTTTGTTGCACTCCTGGCTGCAGTAAAATTAAAAATTAAAGCCACACAACACAAAAATTCATAAAGTGTTGGCAACATCAAGAAATAACGAAATTGTGCAATATTTATAGTCCAATACTTCATAACTGAAACAGATGAAAGTATTTAAAGTTGGCTTTATATCTTGAATTATTCCCCATTTATGTCAAAAAACTAGCTAAAATATATGTTTTGAAGATAAAATATATCTTATAGTATATTTTCCTTCACATGACAAACACTGTAAGCAACTGCGGTCAACCAGAAACATTCTACTCATCAATATTTTCTTTATATTTATCCATATTTGATCAGCAATAATCCTAACATATTTGTTGCACTCCTGACCAAGAGCATAGCAGTCTTTATAAAGTAGAATTGTGAAGCAAAAGTTATATCATAACTTGTTCTGTTGTTTCCTTGAAGTTGAGGTGGAATTACTTGAACTTTCTAACAATTTTTCAGTGTGTTCATTTTTCACATTCTTAAAAAAAATTAAAGAAAAGATAAAACACATCTGCTTTGATAAAATTGAAAAAGAGAAGGATTTAAATAATAAAACTGTCACTAATTATTAATAAACTATTCAAATAGATCGTTATTAATTTAAGAATATGTTATAGTATGAGTAGAAGTCTTTTCATCATATAACTTGAATCTTTAAAAAAATGTGTTGCACTCCTGACCATGGAAATATAGTTTTGAAACACAGACATACCCTGTAATTGATAAATCTATTTGGTAAAATGTTCTTTGTGTCTTTATTTTCCAAAATAAAAATCAAAGAATCATATATTGATAGTTTTTTCATGCTGGGGGAACAAAACATCAAATTTTGCACTCCTGACTTATTGGGAATGCACAGATACTTGACTCTCATAAATGCTGCTTGTGATTTATATGATATTTTTAAGTTTTAAATTGTATATCAGTTATTGTTTTACACTTTGAGAATTCTTTTTTTGACTTAATTGTCTTTCAGATTTTTTACATCGATGTTTTTTGGCAACATTACATTTTTGCTGTTGCACTCCTGACATAGTACATTTTTTTTAAACATCAGACATGGCCACAACTTAGTCCAACAAAAGTTGCTACAGTCTACATTTAAAGCTCAATACTTTGAAAATTATCAGGAAAGTCTTTATTTCCAACATAAACCATTATCATTTATATCACAGATCTTAAAAAAATATTGAATTTTAAAAATTTCACAAGAGATGTTGCACTCCTGATATTTTTAGCATCATTTTTGGGCATAACTTTTTTGTGAATTGAGATATCAATGAGATATTTGGCAGGTATTTAGACACAATCTAAAGACATATGCTGAGACACAGAATTTATTCCCAATGCCTGCACTTTTAATACAGGTTGAAAAATACGTGTTTGGTCTTTTTTTTTATTCACCCATTCGTGACTTATTTATATTTTATATTTGCCTGATTATAATTTTTAACGTGTGACGTTATGTTGCATATTAACATAATTTATCTTGGGTATTTATAGGGGGCAGAAATATGCCACTATACAAACCTAATGCTTCCAGATATTTTAGCCTCGTGCTTTTGTGTTACATAAACATTAAAACAAATGCAATGTAATACCACAGATTAATTTGTTTTAAATATTGTAATTTTTAAAGATACATGTATTTTGTAATTTTATATAAGAGAAAAAAAAAACTACAATAAAAGCAGCACATAAACATACCTAAGGATTCGTAATACTTTATTTATATCACACAGAAGAAAAGAGAATTATAAAGTTCATAACGTATAAAGAATATCAACTGGAATGGACATAAAAAAAATCAAAGCACCCTTAAATTTATACAGCATTGGTATTTATGTCGGGATCGCTGCAGCCACCGTGGTGTTGGTCGTATTGATCGTCTCAATCTCATGTTGCTGCATCCATAAATACAACAAAAAGAATGTCATCGTCGGAGTCAGTCCAGATTCGCACAATCAAATGTTTGGTTAGTACATGTATGCAAAGAATTTTGCGAATTGAAACGTTTACCTAACATAAATATTTTATGTAGATTAATCTAAATATTTCTTGTAGAATACATAATTCATATTAAGATAGAAAACGGAAAAAAATCTTTGTGAGCTGATTTTTTTTATTTCCAGCAGCTCAAAGGACACAATATCAGTGGCCAACGGCTCCTCCTCTGTATGAGCAGGCCATTTCTACAAGAAATCAAGCACCTGCTGCCAATGTTAGCTATTCCAGAACTAGTGGTGTTTTGTTTGACAGTAAGAACTAATAAAATACAACTCCGGTATATAATTTTTTTTATGTAAATATTTTGTAAATTATACAATTAGTTATTTTCAAGTAACTAATAAATCATTAAATATATTTTGTAAAATCCATGTTAATGTACCGGAATTCGAATCTTTTTCTGATAAGAGATGCAATACTTATATATAATTGCTATCTATGCATTCAAAGATTTTTTAAATCCCGAAATGTATTTTTGGAAATTGAAAAAGTTCTATAACCATTGACATTTTATCTTATTTACTGTAATTAATGTATTTTGATTGTACAGACTTTGACAGTTTATGTAATTACCGATTAATTGTTTCTGTTTATCATATTAATAAAAGACAAGAAACACAATTTAACTTCTTTGTTTCTAAAGTATGAAATGCATTTGTAGGACTTTTAATCTTTTTTATAGGCACTCTAATACACTAATGACCTCCCCCCTCCCTCCACCCCCAGGAGACACATTCAAGCAGATGAACAGAAATCACTGTTGCATACTTAGATCGGCATTGTTTCAATTTTAATAATTTTTTATAGGTTTGGGCATTGAAATAATTATCCCCTACTACCCAAACTCCGTCACCCTAAGCGGAGAACACGTCAGGTTACTCTCTGAATTATTTTTTTGATTTCATTCTTGTCAACTACACTTAGTAATGAACTTAAACATTGTTTTCAGAACTATTTAAAAAATCAGTTATTGGGCTTATTTACATTACACATGTATATCGCTTATAAAGTGTGTGGAAACCTACAGCATTCAAAACACCATAACACGGACAGGGGGTCAAAAGTTTAAGTATACGTTTTATTTTGACGTCACAAACGTTGAACGCCGTGGAATTACAACGTCATAAGCGAAAATCAAAATTCACGCTCACATTGAACAGAAGCTGTTGCAAAGGCTTTTCCATTCATTGTAACTTACTCGAAGGATAATACAGGGATTTTGAAATTGTAAATCACATTTGCAGTCAAGGCAAGGAGTTAAAAAAATTTAAATATAAGCATTGAATCATTATTTTTTGAAAGATATAGTCTCATAACTGCAACGGTGTGTGAAAACAAATTTTCATAACGCGCTAACGCGCGTTACTCAATTTGTTTACACACACCGTTTCAGTTATGAGACTATATCTTTCAAAAAATGAGTCAATGCTTAAGGAAATCACACAGACTTGTCACGTAGGCATATTTCATGAAGCACGCTGCAAATATGTGTGATTTACACACCAATAATTCACACTTAACTTAAAAACAATCCTTATACATGTATTTACATTTTGCATGCTTAAATTCACCAAGCTTATACTCAATGTTTGAATTTCTCGCTGCCCTTTATCGTCATATTTTTAGTAACGTCTCTGTAGCCTCATTGTGACGTCACTTTAGCGCGAGTTTCTCCGTGTATATTTCTACGCCTGAATATACACAAAAATGGCTTTCAAAATCAATTTCACAGTTGGCTTAAAAGAAAAACATAGCAAGTGTATATATATCCGTATCCATTACGTCCAGTGAACCCTAACTCCGTCACCAGGGCCCTCTACAATAGTTCAACGTATTAATTAGATTTCTTTTCCAGTTTAGTTTTTTTCTCCCTTCATCTTAAACTTGTAAACATAGAAAATTAGTTTTGACGATTTAAAATAGTATTAAATTAGGGAATAACTATCTTCTAATTTGGTATTTGCGACCGTTAATGCTGATTTAATGGTCGCAAACTGAGTTTTACCGGCGACGCGTAAGCGGAGCCGGTAAAACGGATGTTTGCGACCGTTAAATCAGCATTAACGGTCGCAAAAACCAAATTAAAAGATAGTTATTCCCATTCTAATGCAATATATGCTTTTTATTTGATGTCCATGTCTTATTTTGTTGAGTTTTGTTATATAAAATACGTCATGGAGCATTGTGTTTTTGCGTTGCTTTATTATGACGTCACAATGAAAAGCTTTCATTCTCGTTAATGCTCGTTTTACTGCATCAAATGTCAATTTATTACCCAATCAAAATGTGTTTTACAAAACAATTGCATTAGAATTGTATTTTAGGAAAAGCATCAACAACACAAAAAATAACATTAATAACGTATTTTATATGTAATAACGTCACGCTACGTTATCTCCAAAATTTTTTTTTAACGTATTCAGTATGGGATATTTACATTCCACATGTATTTTGCTTAGAAAGTGACGGCATTCAAAACACCATAATACGGACAGGGGGTCAAAAGGTTAAAATATGCGTTTTATTTTGACGTCACAAATGTTGAACGCCGTGGAAGTACAATGTCATAAGCCAAAATCAAAAATTCACGCTCACTTTACTTTACTTTAAACATATTTTATTGAGTAATGCAATAAGGATTGGGCAACAGGCAAAGCCTATGCACACCCTCTCCTTGTATAATAGGTCAAGACACAGACATTGATATTAATACTTGAACATGGTAATAAACTTGCTAATAATAACAAAAATAAAGATTCACAATCAAGCATTATTCATCAGTATTATATATAAAAAAAGATGATAACCCAGTATTATAAAAATTATTTACATACTGTTCCAGCTTTAATATAAATATTGTAAAAAAAAATATACGTTCAACAGAGTATCTAATATTACAGTGTACTCAACTACGTCTCTTAGTAGATTTTATAAATTCATGTACATATGAAAATATTTTACAGTTTGTTTGATAGGATTATTGACTTTTTCCTCTTAACAGAGTGTCGAGTTCAAAAACAACATCAATATCATTTAATTTTTTACCAATAAATTTCTTTCAACAATATATGATGGACATTTGATGAAGTAATTTTCAGTATCCTCTGTATAAAATCCACATTTTTGACATGATTGAACATCTGATTAAAAAAAAAATGATTTTTTAAATGTGCATTGAGATTGCTAGCATTGTTTCGCAACTGACAATGTAAGATATTCTCTTTTCTATTACCAAAGTTAAAGTACCTACATAGTTTATTAGTTACTCCCCAACTTTTAAGCTTTGCTTTAAAGATAGATAATGATAAAGAGTTTTTGATATTCTCACTAAGACTGTTCCAAAGTTTTATAGTTGAGGGAATAAAACTATTATAGTAAGACATTGTTTTACAAACTGGTATATACAAGTTATTACATCCAGACCTTAGGTTGTATGCATGTTGAACTGGAAAAAAAGGTTTGAATCAATTCATACAAATAATCAGGTGCAGAATCATTAATTATTTTATACATCAATATAAGTTTGTGTTTTTCTCTTCTAAGATATAATGGTTCCCATCCTAGTTCATCATACAAGCAAGTTCTGGAAGAATTTACTCTAAGCCCTGTAATAAGCTTCTATCTGAACTTTTTCAAGCAATTCTGCATTACTTTGGGTACAATTATCTCACACAATGTCTGCATATTCTAAAATTGATCTTATGAAAGCAAAATGAATTTTTTATTAGTGAATTTCTATCTATACTGTGTTTCAATAACCTAAGTATATTCAATCTTTTGCATGCCTTTTCATATATATTTGATATATGATTATTCATATATATTTGATATATGATTATTCCAAGAACCATCTGCCTGAAATTGTATTCATAAATGAACATGAGTTTTTGATTGTTTTATATAATCACCTCCATTTCCAAATTCAATGCCAGGATAACTTAAGTGTTTTCTTGTAAAATCAACATTAACAGTTTTTTCACAATTAAAATCAACAGCCCAAGCTTGGGACGTATTTCTTATTTTTCAAGATCTTGAGTAAGGGACATTGTTGTATTAGTATTATCATTGTCTATAATAGTAAACAAAGAAGTATCATCAGCAAACAGTCGAATATTACTTGATATATCATTAGTTATATCCTTTATGTATAACAAAAACAGGAAGGGACCAAGAACAGACCCCTGAGGCACCCCAGCATCTCTGGTTTTATATGCTGATGAAAAACGCTCACTTTGAAAAGAAGCTGTTGCAATGGCTCTTCCATTAATTGTAATTTACCCAAAGGATAATCCGGGGATTTTCAAATAAAAACCACATTTGCAGTCGAGGCAAGGAGTTTAAAAAAGGTAAATAAATGTTATCCGATTAAGTCTACATTTTGTAACACTTGTTGTGTAAATTTCAATACAAATACCATGGGTATTTTTTTTCTTTAAATGAACACCGAAAAATAAATGAACTCGAAGATTTTAAACTCTGACAGTCTGACCGTCAAAAGCTCTGCATTAAACAAAACCATTATCTGATCAATGTTTTAATACATGGGCATTTAAATCTAAACAGACATCATTCATGATAATTATTTAACTTAAATTAGGTACATACGTTTGTTAAGGCTGTTTACAATATTATGGGGACACAAAAAATATCGGAATGACAAGACAAAATGTTGTTTTAGCACAAGTTTTGATAATCATATCTGGTAAGTATTTTTTCTTTTTTCCTAAATTTTTGACACCTCCAATGAAATGATATTATTTTGTTACCTAAAAAACTCACCTTTATTTTTACTCTTTTATATTAGGAAGAATTAGTCATAATGATGAATTTATTTTGTTAATTAATTTTTATTAAAAATTAGCAAATACATGTATAAAGACTATTTATGTTTCAGGATGCTTGGGAGGAGAGTATTGTTCCTATAATTACAATGGCGGAAGTGGTGTTAAATACATGTACTGTGACGTCACATGTTGTGGTTCATACTATGAGCGGTACTGTTGTGCCCTAACATCGTAAGTATTATATGCTGTAGAAACTGTAATGTTCTTTTCTGACCCTTTTTTGATCCCTGGAGTGTCCTTCAAAATCATATACATGTACATACTTCTGCAATTTTGGCAACTTTTAGAAAATTCATGATGAAAGTTACCGAAATAAATGTGTTGACTTTTTTCCAAATATATATGTAAAAAGCAACGATTAATATATATATTTTTTTCTGAAGAATGTTCATAATATTATAAATCTGAATTTCATGTCATATATTTTAGTAAATGTTTTGAGCATGATTTATGTATTAAATGATTATTTGCAACTAATGGTGCTTTAAATCAAACAGTTGACAAGTGGTTACAATAAGCAAAAATAAACTAACTTACTATCTACTTTCTTTAAAAAAAATATCTTATTTCTTTTTGCAATGCCTTTCCAATTTATATTTATGTAATATTTATGTTACTATATAGAAAACAACCTAAATCTAAACTTTTCTTAATCTGTCAATTTTTCGCCTTTTTATCCACAGGACGGCCCTATATGTCGGAGCAATAGCAGGAGGAGTGATATGTGTAGGTCTCATCATAGGAATCGTAGTTTGTTGTGTATACAAAGGGAAAACACGTGTCAGGCGACATCGCCACATTAACAACGGTAAGAGAAGTTAAACATAAAAAAAAAATATTACTTAATCTAAAAATAAGTAAAGTGTTCAAAATTGATATCTTGGATTTAGGAAATATCCGCTGATGTTCCAAACTGTACAGAAGAATGATAATTTATACAATTATAATTTTAGATGCAACAAATGTACGTTTTGAGTGTTCAAGGATTTATGGCAATGATTCTCCAAAGCCCCCACCGTACGAATTTCAGCATCACCCCAGCCCACCAGAATATCACTCAGATCCGCCACCACGTTATTTGACGCCTTTACCGGGGTCAGAATTTCATCACTTTCCGGGCTCGATGGAAGACAGTTGATTAATCTGTATAATCTTGACAAGCAATGAACACTGAGTAAATTGTATTAATTCTCTTTTCATATTTACTGCTTGAAGTCAGGTGTTTATATGAAAATATATTTTCACCCTTTTACAATACAAAAACTTAAAGATTTTCTGAGGTCTATCATATCACTTTATATAATAATGTTCCAAAATGACTTATATTCTGTACATAGTCTGGTTATATATTTATCATTATTCCAACTGAAATCTCTGCATTTTATTTTAACAGCTACAAAACAGCATGCTAGTTTTAAGGCTATGTGAAACTATTAATCACATGGACACTGTACTTCAAAATTTTAATGATTTGGTAAATTAAAAAAAAGGTATGATTTACCTTTCAAGATATTTGTATTTCAAATGAATTTAACGTTTTTTAGCACGAGCTACACTTTGATAATCAATAATAAAGGATTGATTGTATGTTGTTAACGTCCATTAGAGAATTTTTCACCAGTGTAGAGGCATCGATCAGCGTCTGCTGGTGAAGGGCTTTAAATTTAGACCTATATTCAGAGTCATTGAGCAGTGAGGGCTATTTATCGTGACAACGCCTACTGCGTCACGGGACCTCGGTTTAAACCTAACGAAATGGACAAAATTCTAATTTCCTCTGTGTAAACAGTGTTGATACGAGACGTGCTCCTATTTTTCTTGTTATTTGTAGTTAAATGTACATGATACACAAAGGTTGGTTTTTAATTGATTATCCCTCTGAAGATCAATTTTTATGAATTTTACTTTTGACCAGGCCTATCTGATGTGTCCGAGAAAGTTGAAGAGTAGCTTCATCTCCAACCCGTTAAAGTTTAAAGGTTTTGATTGAAGTGATGGTGACCTGTTCCTACCCTGATATGGTGACCTGCTTCTATGATTAGGACAGTCTTTGGCAAAGTACACTTAAAGCAAGTTTGTCTACTTTGGTTATTATAAAGAGATCTAAGTCTTGCTCTCTCGCTACTGATTGACTTTTAATTGTAAATTTGACTTTGGGATTTGAGAAATTGAGGGCTCTCTTGAATGTTACTTTTGAGTTTCCTTTTGTCTTCTTCTAGTCTTTTGACTCTTGATTCTAGTTTGGACACTGTTTGTCGTGTGTTTCATTCTTTGCTGAAATGACTGTCATTGTTTCACTGATTTTATTTTCATAATACGTTATTGTGTTTTCTATTTCTGCTTCAAATTTTATTGTAATTTTTTCATTTGTTCTTCATTTTCAGATCTACGTGTGTTCACCCACAATTCTATTCGTTTTTAGCTAACAATGATTTTTTTCCATCTGTGCAATTTATGTGTCTTTTCTCTCAATATCTTTGTCTTTCAATTTGTGATTGTTACATTGTATCTTGCAATCTGAAACAATACATCTTCAAAATTGTTTATTTTTGCTCTCTCTCTCTCTAAAAACAATTACACCATCGTTCACCGGGGGATCCCAGATTGTTCTTGGGATTGATGTTAAGCTTTTAAGCCTTCTACAGTAAGAGCCCTTTCTCTTCTCTTAACTCATTGATAAGCCCTGGCCTTTTTTCCTCCAATGTTTGGGGGGGGGGGGGTTAAAGCCGGCCCCCCTTGCTGGCATTGTTTAAGTCTACAGGGTTTTCCTTTGATGCCAATAAGATTGAAATTTGATGTTACTACGTTTCAAATATTCGTAATGACAGAAGAAAAAGGTATGTTGTTGGTTATTCTATCAGAAAGTCCAACGGAAAATCAAGAGTGGAATACATGTATTTTTTATTGTTACCAGAAAATTCGACAAAATATTAAATGTATTTGAAAAAAATTGAAAAATCGAGAAAATAGTCAGGAAATGATAGAAACCGCCAATAAATTTATTCTAGAAAAGAAAAATTATTTGAGAAAGACGACCATTACATTTCCATTGCTGATACAGGTATGAATTCATGTTTGAATGTTTCACACATTCATTGTTCTTTATTTACATTTCCAATTATTTTCTCTTAAGATTCTTTACAAATTAGAAAACGGTTCATTTTATCATGTGGATGAGCATGTATATTAGAGAGGGTGAGATTTCATCCATGTACGTGTACGGGTACATCTAGTAGAAAAATTCCCTAAATTTCTCGCGTATTATGTCATCAGTTTTAGTGATGACAAGTTTTCTACGCGTTTATTTAATCTACACGTACGTGTGAAGTAGCTTTTATTATAAAAATTATTCAATTTATGTGTGAAGATGTGATTGTTGTATCTTATTTAGGATGTTTAGTTTCATAAATACTTATTTAACCATGTTTATTTACTAATTGAGGTCAAACTGATGTCACAAAACTACTAAATAGTTGAAAAAGAGACATCGATCGAAAGGTACACGTTGAAGAATCTCATCAGACAAATTACAAAAACGTGTACGTGTACGTCAACGTATAAAGGAAGAAATCTAGAAATTACAGAGGGTGTTTGTTTTTTTTTTTTTATTTTACTGCGTTGAATTAAAGTTTACATAATTACAGAATTAAAATTTACATAAAGCAATCGCTTGAGGTGGGGAAGGGGGGATTTACATTTTGGGTATTACCCTCAAAGCACAGTACACAAGGAATAATAGCAAGACTTGCCCAAGAGAGCATATTGAACAACAAAATGAACACAACCAGGTAAACACTTTAGTCTTTCTGAATATGAAAGAAACAAATTCTCTTAATAATGTGTGATTAAGACAAGATTATAGCATTTTACCCTCTTCGGACCTTTAAATATAAGCGAACATTTTCTAATAAACGGCGGGCCTTTCATGTTATAGGACTTTGAACAACTTTAAACAAGGACGACCAAACATTATGCAACAACAGATACGTTTACAGTTGTTTCTCAGAAAATCTTTTAGAAGCATTTATTACTGGAAGTTATTCGTTGTGCAACGTGTGCCCCTGCAAATGTAGAATTTGGAGACAGTATTTAATGGTAAGTTTGATATGTATTTTAATCTTAGTACAACTGTGAACATTGCACATGGAAAAAAAAAACCTCCTTGGTCCTTAGCAATTGAATTTTGTTACATGTATTTTAGGTGTTTAAAAACGGAGAATTACTCAATCAAAAATATAAGTACAAATTCATGATGCAGATTGATATGGACTATTTTTATTTTAAGATACATAATATATATATATATATATATATATATATACACTTTACTTTACTATATATACATATATATATATATATATATATATATATATATATATATATATATATATATATATATATATATATATATATATATATATATATATATATATATATATATACTTTACTTTCAAATTTTAAAGCGTTAATCATTGTATAGGGTTAAATAAAAAAAAATATGACGAGACACATATTTATCAACCTGCACTAAAAACACAGGCAATGGGAATAAATTTCTATATCACAGCATATGTCTTTATATAGCTAAAAAAAATATCTCATTGATATCTCTATTCACAAAAACGTTTTGCCCAAAAAATGATGCTAAAAATACGTGCAACACCTTTTTGTGACATTCTGAAAAATCAATATTTTTTGAAGATCTGTGACATAAATTATAATTGTTTATGTTGGAAATAAAGACTTTCCTGATAATATTCAAAGTATTGAACTTTAAATGTAGTCTGTAGCAACTTTTGTTTGGCCAGGTTGTGGTCATGGCTAATGTTGAAAAAAAAAATGTTATACCATGTCAGGTGTGCAATAGAAAAAAATGTAGTTTTTCCAAATAAAAAAAAAAAAAAAAAAAAAAAAAAAATTTAAAAATGTGAAATGCAATTAAGTCAAAAAAGAATTTTCAAAGTGTAAAAGAATAACTGATATACAATTTTAAAACTTAAAAATGTTATACAAATCACAAGCAACATTAATAAGAGACAAGTATCTGTGCATACCCAATAATGTCAGGAGTGCAACATTTGATGTTTTGCTCCCCAGCTTGAAAAAACTTTCATCAATATATGATTATCTGACTTAATTTTGGAAAATAAAGACACAAAGCACATTTTTACCAAAATAGATCTATTACAGAGTCTGTCTGTGTTTCTGATCTATATTTCTATGGTCAGAAGTGCAACACATTTTTTCCAAGTTATACGATGAAAAGACTTCTATTCATGCTAAGAAATATTCTTTAATCAATAATAATCTATTTGAATAATTTAGTACTAAATTATTGATAGTTTTGTTATTATAAAATCCTTCTTTTTTTCAATTTTATCAATTCAGATGTGTTTTTATCTTTTCTTTGATTTTTTTATGAATGTGAAAAATAAACACACTGAAAAATTGTAATAAAATTCAAGTAATTCAACTTCACTGAAACAACAGAACAAGTCCTGATGTAATTTTTGCTTCACAACTCTACTTTAAAGACTCCCATGCTCTTGGTTAGGAGTGCAATAAATATGTTAGAATTATTGCTGATCAAATATGAATAAATATAAAGAAAAATTGATGAGTAGAATGTTTCTGGTTGACTTCAGTGGCTAACATGATTGTGTGAAGGAAAATATACCATAGAATACATTTTGTCTTCTAAATATTTATTTTAGCTATTTATTTTTTTACATAAATAAGGAATAATTCAAAATATAAAGCCTAATTTAAATATTTCATGTGTTTTAATTATGAAGTATTGGACTATAATATTGCACAATTTCGTTACCACTTGATGTTGCCAAGCCTTTATGAATTTTTGTGTTCTATGGTTTTAATTTTTGATTTTACAGCAGTCAGGAGTGCAACAAAACTGTTTTATAATTATCAATGATCTTCATTTATCTTTACTAAAAAATAAAATAAAGTTTGATATTATTTTATGTTCAAAACATTATGTCTATCAACTAAATACAGAATCATCACTTAACACATATTTTGTTAACGGAAGGGTAGATGGTTCGCATTTCCCTCTTAGTTTTCTAATACGAATCTTAATATATTTCTAAAACACTTAATCTATTCTGACAAAGTGTTCAGGTCTTCCTTTACATATTTAGCCCAACGTTTGACAGAATTCATAATGGAAATAAAGTTCTGTCGCCAATTGAAAGATCGGAGCTCCCTGTATTTAGGACTTTTTACAATGATTGCTTTAAGGTCTTCATTTTCAGCCAGTAATGACGTGTCCAGCGGAACTGTAGTTGAAAGACGAAGAAGAGCAAGAACACTTAAGAGGATTTTGTTTAAGATGTTCAATATCTAGGCATTGTAGCTGTCATGAATTCTATCATCATGTTTGACAAATATAGCAAATACATGTATGTTCTGAAAGTCCAGAAAAAATAGCCCCAATTTAAGCTTAAAATTAATACTTTATTAGTAATATATAGAACATCACAGACCCCCACTTCTAATTTTCTTTTCTGAATATATATACAATTTTAATTATTCTGCTTAAATTCAGTAAAATGACATTTCTTTCAAATGATTTTATTGCTTGTTAAATTTTTAATGCCAGGAAAATGACATTTTTTGAGCATGCGAAGGATTTGAAACATTTTTGTTTTCACAAATATTAATTTGTCTATTCAAGATGAAATGAGACTGTTTGTTCTGATAATTTATTTGAATAAAAAATAACGGAGGAAAAACTTTCAAAATTTGATTTATGTGTCAGACGTAATTACAGTGCAAAAGGGTCATATTTTAAAATGCTCCATAAAATGCTCCATAGCGCCAAAAGAAGGGCATTAACCCTCGTTTTGTGTTTTGACTTTTAATTGAGCTATGTGTGTAGATCCTAAAAATATACTTGATAAAAAATTCTCAATACTTTTGATAACAGGATTCAACCTCCTTAAGGGAAACACAATTTTACTCTTATAGAATACTTTTATAGTTCAAAGTAAATAAAAAGGTGACACTAGGTTTTTAATAGTGAGCATGTTGAGTTTTGATATGTCCTTTGTCATGAGGTATGTGGACTGCTGCAACAGTTTGATTAATTTTATTAATCAGTGTAAATTTATTTGAGCAATAATCATTATAAATGATTTCTGAGTCAAAACTGAATCCAAGTTCCATACTTTGCAAGTATTTTCCTTAAACTACAACTTTTGCCTTGCTGCAATGAACAAAAACGTTAATGTTGATTTTCAAAATTGTGTTATACACAGGAGAAACTAACACACACACACCCCACACACACATAGCGCGTTACTATACCCCTTCCGCAACTCCGTTGCGAGGGGATAAAAAGGTGTCACTCTTTTGAGTCTATAAGGGACGCAGTCTCAAGTTCGGTCGATGTACCTCGGAGAATCCTCCGGGATGTTTAAAATATCTCATATGTGCAGTTTTCAGATGACCTTAGGTATAAAACAAAATATTTGTTTTGTGTCTTAAATCAAAATTCAAAACTGGCAGTATTCGTTTAATAAGCATTGATGACAAAAAATATTTGAAAGCTCAAAGCATGCATCATTATGATAATGGATATAATACTAATTTTCCCATACCATTGTGAAACATCAGTCTTTGCTTATGATATTTCCGTGATAAAACAGAACGAAATATATTTAGGTAAGTATTTCTGAAGCAGTCATTCAACAAGGAAGATGTACTCTCCAATGATCCAGTTGATAATCGCCGTACCCTTGAGTAAGGATAATTCATAGAGAATTTTGCTAGCATCATTTGCACAAAAAATTGCTGTTTTAGAGCTTTTTTATGTTTTTGTTTTTCAGATTATGGATTGCTATCTTTTAATACTGTGAAGTATCTTCATACAAACGAAGGTCAGATAACCTCACCTGGATACCCTGATAATTATCCAAACAATGTAAGCTTCACCTGGATAATCAGAACAAGACGCAATGATGCTTATGAAGCTTTTATAATTCTTGACATGGATATTGCCTGTGGCGACTATCTTAAGGTAACATTCTTCTGCAAACACAAATGTTTCGGACTTTTGCGCCGAAGACATTGACATGATTAAATTTTGTAAACGACTACGATTTGCATGTACTCTGATCTCTCTCTCTCTCTCTCTGTGTGAGGGGTGGGGGTGGGGGTGGGGTGTGTGCATGCTGATTATTATCACTTAAGTATTTCTGCAGATTGAGCAGGTCGAGCCATGTTGCTTTAATGCATTTTACGGATGTAGTAACCGTAAAATACATCAAAGGACCGTTTACACTAAAGGGAAGCATTTCAGAATTTCTTTCCTATCCGACAAAAGACTGAGTGCAAAAGGCTTTAATATCTCTTGGACAGGTATCATTCTTTACTTTTTATTTATGTAACATGTTGAATTACCATTATGATCTATAAACAAATACAATAAAAATATGCAAACAGCAAAACTAGGGAGAAAAGCAGTTTCAAAAGCAACAAGGTTGACAATTACTCCTACAAGAACTGTTTCAACAACAAAAGCGTTGACGTCCACTGCTACAATAACAACAATAAATAAGTTGACAGCAACTCCCACAACAAGAACAACTCTGTCAATCATACATCTTGCAGCAACATCCGAGTCAAAAAGATCAGAACCCACAGGTGCAAGGTTTTTAAAAATTACATTAAAGAAATTCAGACCTAATAATGTGCAAGGCCAAAATCTTTAATGAGAGTATGACACACATACGAGGGTTGTTAGAAAAGTTCGCGGATATACTGACTTACGGAAAATTTAATGTCCTTTTCTGTTGCCCGCTTGGCGCAGTAATTAGAGCGTTTGCTTTAGAGTCGCGGAGTTAGGAGTTGATCCCTACGTCGCAGGTTCGAATCCCAATGCGAGACATGGAGACCGATCCTTCGGATGAGACCCTATAAACCGAGGTCCCGTGTCATAGTAGGCGCTGGCACGAAAAGGATCCCTCACTGCTCAATGGCCCTAAGTGCCAAGTATAGGTCTAAAAATTAGCAGCCCTCCACCGGCAAGTGGTGGCGTCTCAATTTGAGTGAAAAATTCTCGAAAGGGACGTTAATTAGACAATCAACCAAACAAAATGTCCCTTTCTAAACAAGCAAACTTTAATATAAGCCACAAAAAGGGGGGTATTGGAATAATAAGCCATGATTCACACCTATCAAAAGTAAAGAAATTAAATATGAATTACATTATCAAATATTATTTTGATTTAGAAAGACATTTGCTATTACTGGCTGCAGCCAGACATTTTGTGTTGTGCAATGTATTCCATATGATTTATTTAGGACTTTAAATAATTTACCAAGCGGGTGAGTTGCAAGAAATACAAACCCCTTTTATTTTAAATATATGCATTCAATAATGAAGCAAATTCATAATGCGCAGTTGTTAATAATTGTTGGCCTATTGAACTTGAATATAAAAAAATGTTTTATTAAATTATTAACACCATGAAGAATAAAGATAGAAAATATTGATAGTTTTCGTTCGTTATACACACATGGAGTATAAGTATACGTACAGGTATATATTTTCTTATCAAAATAAATTAAACGTGCGCGTCCCCTCCTAAAAAGGAATCCAGGATCTACCATGTCATGTAACAATGAGCTCTCAGGAATCTATCCATCTCTTCAAAATCGAACAGAGACCGTTCACAACAGAAGCTGTGTTAGCGAAGGGAAATAAGTAAACCAAACTTTCTTGTTCAGTAAGGTTTGATGAATAGTAAAAACAAATCAGTTATTCAAGAAAATTGCCTTGCTTTATATATTTAGTCTCACATGATATCTCGATACATATTTAATATTTTCCCTTTGATGTATTTGCATTTTACTTGAAAAATGCTTATGATAACATGTCAAGTTCATGATGTCAATTCTTTGTTTTTGCAATATCCCGCGCATGTATTTGGACTTGAGGGATGAAAGACCTTGCCACAAATATAGTCATCTCGATCCTATTGGCACATACACACATGGCGGAAAATGGCAAAAATCGGTAACCCTTACGTCTTGCATAAAAATCATTCTTCAAACATTTGTATCCTTAATAAATGTTCGAATCAAACAGAAAATGAAACAATGTATGGTTCGATGAAGGATCTAAGTAGTGGTTTATGAACATGCTGGGAAAAAAAGGTATTTGTCTAGATTTTTTAATATTATATGTAGCAATGGATGCTATTCATAATAGCAATGAAACTTGAACCAAAGGCATATCTAATGATTATGATATTTAACTGACGTCTTGAATGAGATTAAGATCATATTTATTTTTACTATTCATATTAACAGTAATTGTTGGGCAACATAGGGAAAAAAAACCAAACACCCAAATAATCATTTTTTGAAAAAAGACATGCCAAGAGGGGCATATTTATGACGCCATATTTCTATACACAGATCAGGTCAAGCAATAAAACTTCAACTAAGTTCTATTTTTTAAACAACTTTTCTGTTCAAAGATCTCGGGAAACGCGATCTTCTTTAATCGAAATCATTTACTTTAAAATTGAGTTCAAGCAATACCATACATAAATGTATGTAGAAAAGTAACTACAACTGTGCGTTATATTTACATTTTTGTTAATTTTCTTGTAGATTCTTGATATGAACATGATAAACAAAGTATTAAAAATTGGTAATTAATTGGGTTATTATACCCCTGCTCCGAAGGAGAGGGGAGTATACTTTTTTACCTTTGTGTGTCTGTCTGTCTGTCCGTAACAAATTTTCGTCGAAGTTTTCTCATCAACTACTCATCGCATATGCTTGAAATTTTAGCACATTCTTTGTCTAGGCATGCCATATGGTGGGATTCATTTTTGTACAAATCCGATGTCAACCTCCCGTTTATCCGTGCGTCTGTCCGTACCAAATTTTCGTCGCAGTTTTCCAGTTTTCTCAGCAACTACTCATTGCTGATGCTTGAAATTTTAGCATATTCTTTTGCTAGGCATGTTATATGGTGGGATTAATTTTTGTACAAATCTGGTGTCAACTTACTAAACGCTTTTCCGTGCGTCTGTCCGTACCAAGTTTTCGTCGCAGTTTTCTCAGCAACTACTCATTGCAGGTGCTTGAAATTTTAGCACACTCTTCGTTTAGACATGCAATATGGTGGGATTCATGAGAGCGTATATTCACATCAGAGCGGGGTTATTACTCACAGACTTCTTGTTGAAATAGCAACAGACATGTATTTCTATCCTTTCAAAAATGAAAGTAAAAAAGCAAAGAGGAAAATTGATTGTAAAAGGCTTGAAAATATAGATCGTTGTTACTAAAAAAAACCTAATTGTTTGCTTTTTAAAGATATTTTCTACGGTGTTGTCTCTTTAAAAAGACATTTCTTGTTGTTTTTTTTTCCTGCTAGTACTATTGTTAAACTCATTTTCGAAAAATATGAGATCTGTTTAAATCTTATAGTTTCATGAAATGTTTTTCACTTTTGAATGTCAGTTAATTACTTTAACTTAAAGTATAAATACTATGATTATTTTTTTTTTCAAAATGAAGAAAAAAAACTTGATATCTTGTGCAAATACATAATTTCATGAGTGTTTCACTATCAAAAATAAAATCTAAGTGCTCGACAAATACATCCAGACAAGATGATTCTTTTAAAAGATTTCCTCGTCACCTAAGTACACTTTCTCTGCGTGGTCATTTGGACACTTATTTAATAGTGGTAGGTAGAATTAAGCTGTCAATCTAAGTACCAACTTGTAATATCTTGAACAGACCAATTGTGTATGGCATACTCTCCAATGGCGTATTACCCAAACAAATATTCTTTCATAAAACTTGGCTGAAATTTACCCAAAGATCACTTGTTTACCTCCCGCTCGTACATTAGGAGTATGTATTTCTTCTCTGATTGTACACATTTTTGGGATTGTCTCGGGTAAGCTATAGCATGGATAGGTAATACCTAATATACAGTGGACTGATGTTCCATTGAAGCAAAGTCAATACTCTCAACTGCCAATTATGATAACTACCAGAAATTACATCTTGCCTTACTAGCTTGACAACCAATTATGTTTCTAGTTTAGAATGATGTCACAAATTAACGGATTTTGATTCTCTAAAAATTGTCTCAATTTTTTTTATTGAGCCTGTTTTTTATTGGTAACAATAATGGTTAATGTTATCTCTATACATTTCGTTACAGATATAACAAATATTTGAATTGGATTTTCCTTGTTGCTACTGTTGTCGATGCCGAGTCTTGTGTACCTGTTATTAAAAACTGTTAAAACTCATTCGAAACAATACTGCATCAGTTCTGATTTCAACCGATAATACATTGAAGCTGTTTCTAATGACATCTAAGTCTACCTGAATATAACTTTACGCCAACATTTACTGCTGTTGTTTCGAAGAAAGATTTGTGGGACTTTATGGTACGCAGCTCTAACGTAAACAAGGATTCAAAATCTTATTTTAAAATCTATTAAAGAAGTGTTAAACGTTATTGTTGCATTCAGGTTTGTTTATTATTAATTTTTCATTTCTTCCCATATTACAATCCACGAATTTTGAAAATCTGTTAACAGTAAGTCAGACTGCATTTGAAGAAAAAAAAATATAGAAATCAACAAATGCATAAACTTCCAGTTAATCCTTTGCCTGTACATATATATCCGAAATATCAATGTAAATTTTCGTCAATATTGAACGTCACTTCGATGTAAGAAAAAAATAAGTATTTAAGACACCAATTTAGTTGATTTCAGGTTCATTTAAGGAGGTGAATGACTCTAAAATGGCATCATGCCTTTTCTAAAAAAAAGTTCGGTAAAAGTTCGGAGGGTATTCTAAAACAAATTAAGATTACTTTATCAAAGTTTAGCCTTGGTTGTGGACATGACGAAAACAACTAACAACATGAAAATTATTTCTGTTACATTATTTTAGCTTAAAACGCTTAGTTAACAAGAAGGTTGATTAGCTCAGCTCGTTAGCATCTGGTGTTAACAAACTCAAGACAATGTTTTATCAAATAAGATATTCCTATTGTAACCAAACAGAGGGACAAAACAAAACAAGATGTGTTTGTGAAACATTGATGCCCCCTTATGACAGCTCATTGTCAAGGTTAAAGTTTCTCAAATGCAAGTCAAATTCTAAGGTCTTGAGATCAAAAATGTTGTTTAGCAAGGAAAGGTAATATCACAAGGAATGCACAAGTGAAATATGAAAACCCTAGCACTAACAGTTCAAAAGTTATGACCAAGTTTTACGTTTTTCAAAAGAAGGTCAAACTTCAAGGTCATTGAAGAATTGAACATCAAATCTCCTTCTACGATTCATTTGATGAAAGAGATAGAATACTTTTCCTCCAAGAATGGAAAAGTCAAGGTTAAGGTATTCACGCAATGTATAATGAAGGGATATTGAATAATTTTGAATTAAGTGTGTATTGCTAGATAACGATGAAAGTGAAATGAACCAAATTCATATGATTCAAGGTGCAATTAATTGAACAATAATCAAAATTTCGTAAATTTCTTTGGTGGAGTATTTTTATTTGATAACACCTTCAAAATGCTACCATGATTAATAACATCGGATCATTCATTTATTAGCTACAAAATATGGTCGTTATACATTAATAATAACCTTAACTCAGCCCTTCTTGAAAAAGTGTAAGAAAATGCTAAATATCAAATCGTACTTTTTCTGGTCTAAAAGTGCCATATGAATTTTTTGCAATGAAAGTAGGGAGGAAGTAAGCGGTCAAAATGTTTGTTAGGCCAAGAAATTTTAAAATGTCGTTTGATGGTTGTTTGTTAATAGGTCTAAGATCAACTCCAAAATCAAAATATTTTAAGGCCTGACATCTTTTATTTAGTAGTCATATTCCAACATCACCTGCATATGGTGTTAACGTCTCGCAACTGATTGTTAGGCAAGGGCATGATCTGAGTACGATCAATTTTTAAACCGGGGCATGCTACCGACAAATAATTGATATTATTTTGTACGTTGGGTCGAATAATGTCTGACATACTAGTATCTCATATCAATTGTTAGGTCATTGTTTGTAAACTTGATTTGACTACGGATCACTCCGTCTAGCTGATCAATACATTGAGCTCACGGTCGATAGGGGAAGCTTACTTCTCTTAGGCACCTAATCCATACTCTGGTGTTTCCAGGGGTCCTTGTTTTTTCCTGTACGATCACGATTCGTTTTCTTTAATGGATTTATGAGATTGATCACTGTTTCTTGTCTTCACCCTTTACTTATTAGTAGATTTATCAGAGTCATACATATTGTCGTTACATGAATACATGAAACTCATTTTTAAAAAAAAAAAAAAAAAAAAGTAGGTCAAAGTCAGGTTCCAGCCTAAAAGGATAATTTACATTTTTTTTTATTCTTATGGTTTTCATTGTATATATATAATTAAATACATAAAAGCTCTTCTCCATGGAGTCAATAAATACATTGTAACTGCTTTGCTTTTAAAACTATCTTTGAAAAGAAAGTCAAAGGTCAAGATAATTGTTACAAGTTAGCAGCCTTTGCATTTTGCAATCATCATTTGTCATCCAATATTTGTGCATATTTTCGGATCGCTACTTCTAACAGTTTAAGACATTCAACCTGCAACCAACGGAAAGACAGCTAAAGAGACCCTGGCATAGTGACCCATCAGTTTTGCTTTGTATTGCAGGCTGAATAAAAATATACAAGTTATTAGTAGCTCTTTAAAATATTAACTATGTATTAAATGGCTAAATTATATCTCTTTTTTTATGAACATACATGTAAACCTCTACATGTATTCACAATCATTTAATACTTTCGTTGATCGAAATCACATTGTTAATTTCTAGAAAAAGTTCTTACAGCTACAAATGTAAGCACCAATATTATGACTATAAAGGCACTTGCAAGTAATTCTATTATTCATTAATCCTCAGCATGAGACATAACTTTCAAATATGATGCTACAAATATCATATCTCTTGAAAGTTTTTCATCGATCAGGTAGGCACAATAGGTTATGAAATAACGTGGAGACATTTTCACATAATTTGTTATCAAATAATCTAATATTAGACAACAACGTCTGATAACATTGTCTTAAACGATATTTTACGATTGATACTTAACCTATATGTACCTGTGTATGCTATATCGGTATCATATGATGTCAAGTGGTTTGATTACCCTGATACACATTTTCATCAAGCAAGATGCGAATTACTTCATTTTTAGTTTTTGCTGCCTTTTTTGTCGTAGTTTTTGCTTATAGAGAGGAAATTAAGCAATGTAGATATACCGATGCTTCGGGAAAGACGTATAATTTGAGTCCTTTAATGAATGCGTAAGTTATCTTTTTATGTTTCATTTTTTTGGGAAAAAATGCAGTCGCAGAATATAAAAATATCAGTTTTAACAACTTTAATTATTTTATTCAAAGCATTATAGTATTTTTTTCATTTCACTTTATTTATTTTTTTCCTATCCAGTATCTAAACAGTAAGATAATAAAATGATAAACAATTGATCAATCCCATTGAATTGGTGAAAAAAAATTCACCATCTTCACCTTTTCATTCAATTCTAAAATTGCAAATTATTGTAAGAAATTCTGTAAAATATGATTCTGAAACGATGAACGTACAGTGATCAACCTCATTATTCCTATGTAACGTAACAACATGATAAAGCACGGACCTCTAGTAAACCAGAGGTTAGATCAGATGCCTAGGAGGACTAATCAACCCCTCTGTCGACCCGCCATGAGCCGTCTCTATTGATCAGGTAAACGGGGCAATCCGTAGTCAAAATCAAAACGTGTATGATAAAAAATGGCCAATGGCCTAACAATTAGTAAAAAATCGACCGAACAATATTTGCAAAGAAGGCCATTATTTGCAAAGACTGACTTTAAAGAGACCGTAGAAACCTCTGTAACATCAACTTTTCTGTCAGAAGCCGGCATTGGTTGAAAAATTGACAGTACACAGATCATGACCAGTGATTATTACCAGAACATACTGGAGATATGTAAACCAAATGCAGACCATTAATTCTATACTCAATAAAACGTCTAAATACGAAAAAGTGAACCTTTTCCCGAAATATCTTAAGACACAAAATTCATTTCTCCAAATATATAGTAGATCACAAAAAAAAAAATCATATTTCTATTACATTACAATATATTGTGAATTATTTTTAGAAAAAGAATATCTTTCTCGAACAAAGAAATAACAGAGTTGTTCAATTTTAATCTTACTTGTGAGATTTTTTGGAAAAAAATGGCAATAGATTTGGCAGATACTATGGTGTCTTTTATTACAAGTTCAGTGGGATAAATCGAATGACATAAGAATGAAACTGAAATCTGTTAATTGACAAAACCAAATGTCGTAATAAATGTATCTTAATGTCGAATTAAAGCCATAACAAAATATTCTTCTCGTGTAATTTTTTTTAATAAATTCTGCTTCAGAAAGCAAAACAGATCAATAAAAGAGCACAATCTGTGCTCATGGGAATTCCAACGGATTGTTTAATTTGTGAATAATATATATGAATGCTAATTTCATCCTTGCTTTTCTATATTTCACAAAATTCCAGCAAGCCGTTCATATGGATGCAGACATTGTACGTGATTGGCAATAATAAATGGGACAACTTAGCAGCCGACAGCACCATGAATGTCACAATTCAGCTGTCTGTATGTCGTAATGAAAAACCAATGATTAGCAACAACTGCAGCACCAATGGATCAATATACACTGTAATAATTTATACATACATTATTTTGAAATAATGCAAAAAAGCCTTTCTTTTGAATACCGAAATAAACAACCATAGGTATTTTTCCGAATTGCTTTGAAATAACGGTAAAGAAGAGTAATAGACTCCTTTCATATTAAGTGCTGCTTACAGAATGTGTTAATCATTCTGTATTTCGAAAAAAAAATGTAAAATTGTAGTAATATAAGACAAAATTGAAAAAAAAAAAAGAACTGTGTACATATTTAAGAAAACCTTTGAATTCCACATTAAAAACACAGTAATTGAAATTTCTCAAAATCGGTTTAAAGTGACCGTTCATGCTGAGTCAAAATTGAACCAAGTCGAATGATTCTTCATAAGAATACAAAAATATGCATTCAACAATAGCTTACAGTGCTATCTCTGGGATAAATGTCATAAATCAAAAAACCAAAAATGGATACCGTGATAGAAATTGTGTGATTCAAAGAAAAACTAAATTAAAAAGTATTTTCCGCAGATGTAACATTCTACTTAGTTTCTTTGTGGATTTTGAAGATACTCCTGGTACGTATTGTTTATGTTTAGGGGGAAAAAAGAGCTATTTTCTCATATTTATGTTGAATCTTTATAATATTTATTAATCATAAGCCGCAGTTTTTGTTCTCTTCCCGGGAATTACATCATATAAACAACACATTTTTAGATTCAATTTTTTCTGATATTTTATACATGTAAGTAGCAAGGAACAGCTGAGGTTATACACATGTATACAATATTTGCATAACGAGCGCCTCCATATAAACAAAAACAAGTCATATAATTATATATAACCATGATGAACCTTGCAACTGCTTTTATTTTAGTTTTATTCTTTCTCAAAGATCATTAAATATTTTCTATTTTCGTAATGAAACACTTTTTACTGTTTGTTTGTTTGTTTGTTTTTTTTTTGTTTTGGTTTTTTTTTTGTTTTCCCCTGAAACAGATATGAACGTACACTCTTCTTAGTATTACCCGTTGAAAAATCATAACAGCAACTTAAACTTAACGTAAACTTAAACAAGTAAACAAAAGCTATGAGGAAAAAATTCATTCTATCAATCCGTCATATTTCTGATAGGTGGACCCCACAAATGGTTGTATTACATGGGGAGACGCCGAAGTCGCAGCTTTTGATCAAGCACCTTACAAAGACGGTAGGTTATACTAACTATAGTTCAGAAGTGTTTCATTTCAAAAAATGTTTTAAAATTAAATTTGGAATAGTTATCTGGGAGTTATAGTTTTTAAGATTTAATGACACTAGTGATAATTGCTGTAATGTACAATTCTCAGTATGGTTTAGTTTTTGCGAACTCCAGTGAGTAAGTACTAGCATCGTGTACAGAGGAATATAGGATAATGTACTTTATTTACATTTGCAAATATTTTTCTTAGATGAACCTATTGAAGAGAAAATATGTTCAATTCTGTATGAACTTATTAGGGGGTCAGAGGTCATGACGTGACCGAATCACACAGCGAGATGATACATGTAGGCCTATCTTGTCTACATATACTATTTCTGTCACAGTGACACTGGTTTCGGAACTTCTAAGCCGTTAAAGCGATGAAAAAGATAAAAATTATTTAAACATATGTTGTTGTTTTTTTTCGTGCAACAAATGATCATTAGTTTCTTTCTTCGATGTGAAGAATGTTTTTAATTAGCCTAAAATCACGCTTACCTTTTTAACCCGAAATTCCTTTGAAGGTATGTAAACTGAAGACGATACCACCGCTTTTGACTTCATATATAAAGTCCTCAAGGCATACAGTAATAGTAAGATTATTCTCAGTAGCGATCATTGTTTTTTTCATTATGAACAGCTATTTCCTGAGCTGGACTGCTGAACACCAATGTAAGTATTCAAATGCTGGAGCGAGGCGAACTCTCAAGACCAAACAGCTTCTAGGTCATTGCGCGTCACAACATAGCAATACGGCGGGCCGTTCGTGTAATAAATGCAGTTCTTTTCAGAATATTCGTCTCAAATGTAAATAAAAGTAATAATCAACAATGTTAAAAAGTTCACTGGGAAATGAACTTGGTTGGTACGTGATCAAATCTTCTGAGAAGCCCTTCGGGCTTCACAGGATTTGATCACGTGACCAACCAAGTTCATTTCCCAGAGAACATTGTTGTTTATTTCTTAAATAAACTGTTAAATGAAATATCAATTGGAAGAAAATTTTGCCACAAAAGGGACAAAATTTTTCAGTTTCTTATTTGTTGCACAATAGGCATTTTTCTCGCCTTGTTCGCTCATCTTCTTTAATCCAGTTTGTTAAACCCTATGGTTTCATTTTAAGGAGTATTTTTACAAATGTTCCATGGAAGTGTGATCGATCACCCGACAAAATATTCTTCAAACGTCTACTTCATCTGTAATCCAAAGGTCGGTGTTCCCAAACCTATCATGGAGCATGTAAAAGCTGACACAAACCAGGGTCACTTCCGGGTGGAGACGAAATATGCTTGCTAAGAGAACAGTTTATTCAGAGTTTCAATAAAATACAAACATGGACAAATACAGTGAATGCTATTTAAGGTTAAACCTAAAAATTGCACAACTTGTAAATTAAAATTGTTTATCTTTAATGTATAATTATTACTGTAAACAACATGACATTAAATTATTTGCTTAACAGTTGTTTTTGTTATTTCTGCCTTCTTTATTATAATATTGCATCCCCCCTTTTTTTCAGCTTGTCGTTTTATTTATCTAGCCTTAAACATAAACTATTCTTGCATTCAGACCTAAAGAGAAAGCGTATACGTGGCAGTATATTTGTCATTGTTCTGAATAACGTACTAAAACAATGATTTTAAATGGTTTAAAAGGCCATGAGTTGTTAGCTGAGTTGTTTGAAGTTGTGTTGCATGAGTTGTTTGAAGTCTATAGATAAAAAATGTTTAAATAGTTATAATAAAAGACATATATTCAAGAATTTCAATACCAGTAGGACAAATTATGGATTATACAACCGATGACTATACTGTACCTTTGGATGGTGGAGGCATGGAACCTTTGATAAATTCTCAACGAGGTGTAACCTATTACAGTGGATTTTATGGTAAAACTGTGTACATGTATTTAGTAGAAATCTTTAAAACTGGTTCATTACTCTAAATTGCAAAGTTTAAAGGTCTACAAGATAGTAGATTTTTTTCCCATATGACAGACATTTAAGATTAAAACAATTATATTCTTTAACATAAGAAATTTTTGTATATTTGAATTATGAAATATTTGATTTTTTTAAATTCATACATAAATCTTGCTTGATAAAATCTTGAAAACAAAGAAGCAATGTCTATAATTTATTTAAGAATTACAGCTATATAGAATAATCATCTAATATTATTCCATCCGATCTCCTTTAAACTGTCAGCTCGCCAATTCTCGAAACTTGTTAATGCTTGGTTTTTTGTCAATCTAGTCTATACCCATAGTAATCTTTTATAAAGACAGGGACGTAAAACTTTAATTCCTTAGCGGACATCAATTTATCAAAGGGCCATTTTGAATCTTGCAAATTAGCTAATATTTTTATTCAAAAATAAAAAAAATAAATAAATAAATAAGAAAGTGCAAAACATACAAGAATTCTGAGACAATATTTCATTATTTTACTGGGCGTTTCATTTCTGTGGATTATTTACGATAAGAAATATCGTGTTTAAGTCCTATAGAATACATGCAATCTTAAGCTTTAATCTTTTTTTCTTTTTTTTTTTGTGAACGTGCATTTTTAGTAAATACCAACAAATCTCAGTACCTTTTTAAATAATAATAACAATAATTAATAAAGGATTACAATAATTATTTCAATTATTACTTGACAATGTGAGCAAAATTTGCTACTTCATAAACGAATCATATTTGCATTAGCTTTAGAATTTTAAGTAAATGTTAAAAGTTACGTCGATGGTCCATCCAGATACCAATTAAACTTACTTCCATAAACAAAAGGCAAGAAGATTAAAAATATACAGGTATTAACAATTATTTTGATTTAAAAAAAAACATTCATCATGCTAATTCTGATTAGCACACGATGAATGTGAATAGTAATCCGAATTAACGGATATCCGGGAGATTTATTATGCAAGGGGGAAAATTGCTATATAGTAAAATTGTCCCGGGAAAAAAGTTTGCTATATAGTAAAGTATCCGGAAGGACTGTTTGCTATATAACAATAATTCCGAGGGGGGACTTTATCATAAACATTCCTGAAGAAGGTTTGCTATGCGGAAGGCTTTTATATGAACCGGAATTCAAGATATTAAAAAAAGTTTCCTATTAAATCGAACTGGTAACAATAATTGCTAAAAAAGTTTCATAGTGAGACAACAGTGCTGACTTTTAATACTTTTAAATGCACAAAATAAAAAAAAAATAATAGAAGAATCTAAATGTTTTTAACTGCATACAATTTTTCTTCAATGTCAAGCTGTTCATACTGTAGAAATAAGGTAACTTAATTTTTAGTTTTTTTTTGTTATCAATTTTATAGGTATCAATAACTGATTTCAACTACATGAAGATTATGTTCCTTATTATCAGATGTACAATATATATTTTGCCAACCTCCCCTTCTCTCTCTCTACTGTCATGTTGTCATGCCACCTGTTACAAGATGACTCTGCCGTGTATATTTGTACATATTTAAGGAATAACTGTCTAATTTTTTGGATTCATGATGTGATCAATCGAGTGGCTTGCGTGATAATTTGCATAAACGCCGAAGGCGTTTATGCATAAAATTATCACGCAAGCCAATCGATTGATCATCGTCATGAATCCAAAAAATCTGACAGTTATTCCTTATATTTACATGCTCCTGATTCTGCAAATTCCCGTGCTAATAGCCCCGCTTCTGTCTCTATTTGTCCCGCCCCGCACGTGATTTTTTTTAACCGCGCCTATCGATGAACCAGTAGATTTATGTAGAAATAAAATATTTTTACAACTTGTAATTTTATCTCGGACAAAGACATTGGAAATGTAAATATATGAGTATAAAGCACGACATATTACATTCACAGAGGACAACGGTGAGGACGTTTTGAATCTACACACTTTAAATGGAGAGTCCGATGGCGACACTGATTCAGGTATTGTGTTAAACCTCAAACATTACAGGTATTAAAAAACTTACCAATAAGGAGGGAAAAAAATACGTCAAAAAGACTTAAATCAATCTAGGAGAAGAGTTCATGGAAACATTTACGTACAATAGACAAATAACAAAAATATTTATAAAGATGTGAAGAGTTTACAAGACGTTTGTCAATTTATATACAGTAAATTATCAAATATATCGTGTGGGTAAAAAAATAAGAACAATTTTTTATGACTTTGTCTAGCATTGTACCTCAGAAACTTAAGCTTTGGTTAGTATAGTTTTACTCGAGTAAAAATAATATACCTGGGTACCAGGGCCCTGATTTACAAGAGAACTTATGGGACCAAAATTTAAAATTTGTGAATTACTTTCTTCCTTACATTTATTAAGCTAAAGTTTTTGGTCTTAGTCGTAAGTTCTTTTGTAAAACTTGGGCCCTGACAGATAAAAATTAAAGTACAGTGTGGAAAAAAAGTCTGTATAATTCATTAAAAGATAACTGGTGATCGATCAAGTTGATATCGCTGATTACATTCTTTTTTATGCCCCCGTATCGAAGATTCGGGGGTATATAGTTTTTGCCCTGTCCGTCCGTCTGCCTGTCTGTCTGTTTGTCTGCAAAAACATTAACATTGCCCATAACTTTTGATTGGTGGGAGCTACGGCTTTCATATTTCACAAGTGTATTCCTTGTGACAAGACCTTTCTTTGGGTACCACCATATTTGACCTTTTGACCTTGACCTTGGAGTTTGACCCAGTTTTGCAAAATTTTATCCAACTTTAACCTTGGCCATAACTTTTGAATAATTGGTGCTAGGGCTTTCATACTTCACACGTGTAATCCTTGTGACAAGTCCTTCCTTTGGATACCAACAGCTTTGACCCTCTGACCTTGACCTTGGAGTTTGACCTACTTTTGAAAAACTTCAACATTGGACATAACTTTTGAACGATTGGTGCTTCAGCTTTCATACTTCACATATGTAATTCTCGTGATAAGACCTTCCTTTGAATACTAACAACTTTGACCCTTTGACCTTGACCTTGGAGTTTGACCTACTTTTGAAAAATTTTAACCTTGGCCATAACTTTTGAACCGTTGGTGCTAGGCCTTTCATACTTCACTTATATAATCCTTGTGACAAGTCCTACCTTTGGATACCAACAACTTTGACCCTTTGACCTTGGAGTTTGACCTACATTTGAAAAACTTTAACCTTGGCCATAACTTTTGAACCGTTGGTGCTATGGCTTTCATACTTCACATATGTAATCCCTGTGACAAGACCTTTCTTTGGATACCAACAATTGTAATCCATTGACCTTGACCTTGATGTTTGACTTACTTTTGAAAAACTTTAACCTTTTCTATATCTATTCAATGGTTGCTTCTAGGGTTTTCATATTTCACAGGTATATTCCTCGAGACAAGACCTTACTTGGGGTATCAACATATTTGATTTGCATTAGAGAAAGTTTTACCATTGCTATAAGTTGTCATACGGGGGCATCACAAACAAATCTTGTTTTCAGATGAAACTGATGAAGAAGAACAAAATGAACTTTCACGAAACGAAGCCAAAATAATCATAACAATACTACCAGGTAAATAAAATACGGCTCTGTGTATATTATAATATGCATCCAGACATAAGTTTCTTTGACCTGCGATCCTTCTGTCATATTTTCATTTTACCTCTAGAGGACATCATAGTGCGTAGAAATTACATATTCCTCAAGGAGGAGCTGTCAGCCGGATATATATGCCCTTTTCTGTATCAGGAGGGGATCCTTTCTGATCATGATCTTGACATAGCTTGTAGTCCCAATCCCAGATGTGTACAGCTGGATATACTGCTGAAACTTCTGCTCCGCCACGGGAGATCTGCATGCAACAAATTTGTCAACATCTTATCAGCAAGCGGATATGGTTACATTCTTCATACTTTAAAAAATACAAAGGACTTTAAAACCAAAGAAGGTAATTATGTTTGGTATATAAAATGTGTCTTTCTTAAATTGTTCTTTAGTTTTTCTTAATAACATAATATCAAATACTGTGTATATCTTTACATAAACAGAACTTAATACGCATCTCCTTTTTTATAGATTGCTCACAGTGGCAAAGTGATATAACAATACACCATATAAACATGGAAGAAACATTCCTGTGCAAAACCATTGAAGCAATCTCCATCGCTGATTTCATGTTACAAGAGCTACTAGACGACAAATTCTCTCTTTATGACCATGACGAGATCCAAAATCAGAATTCGAAATCGAGGCGGTCTAGAGCTCTTCTTAAGAAGGTTATAAAAGATGACCCTGTCGTTTTGAACTGCTTCCTTTGCGCTGTCGACTGCTTACGTCATGTGTTACCCGGGGTGTCAGTCATCGAACATATGAAGAAAACAAACCTCAGCAAGACAAGAGGTAAACGTCTAATTACCATAAATTTAAGAGGGGTCGCTATAGTAGTAAAATATAAATTTAAAAAGTACATTTAATTACATGATAAGAAGGATGCTTTATTTGACAAACACGATTTTATTTTTCCCACAGGTGGTAGTGAAAAACATGTCAGTGTGTTATTCCAAGATGAGCATTTGCTGAAAGTGGTCGATGGTAAGACAAACAGGTTCCAAAATCTATGTGTGTTTAAGTGAAAAGTTTTTCTCTAACTTGAGTTCTATAACTTTGTAATCGACAATAGACACAGTGCTTGCAGAGTGTCTATTGACAATTAAAAGATTAAGGAACTCGAGCTGGGAGAAAAACCGGTGACTAACAAGCAGATATTATGGAACCATTTTCTCCCTTTACTTTACTAAAATTCTTCAAAACTTTGCCTATCTGAACATTACTACTGAAAGAAGCAAAAAGAAATATAACGTAGCACAACGGAACCGCATAATAGGTGTAGCTATAGCCTAATGGGAGAAAAATGTTTTTTAAACTTTGATTTACATGGTTATATATGAGTCGCATCTGCTCTCGAGATAACTGTCAAATTTTCTTCCTTTTGACATATTTGACATGGTTTCATTTACAGTGAACTGTGAAGATGACGATGGTGACCATGTACTCATTTTCAAATTCAGAAATCAACATCTGCGGAAAATACAGGAATTGGAAAAGGTGCTAGTGCGCAGAATCCAAAACAATGATTCAAAACTAGATGAACTGGCCATCAGATTCATGCATATGAGCATACAGGATGGCCATGCCGGGTCCATAGTTCTATATTTGAAGGCCCTGACAAGTACTGCAGCAGAGAACCTGGACAAAAACAGTTTGAAGACGTTTATCCAGAAGATTCTCCAGGATTCTCAAATCTTGGGACTCCTTCCATTGGGAACTCTACAGCTTCAAGTAGAAACAATAACAAGTGGATTCATGGAAGGTTCTATCCTGTATATTACTGTGAAATCATCATTGTTCGTGGGGACCAATGTTCGTGAATTTAAACCTTATCCACCATTATTTTGTAATCGTTTGATTCATTGAATCTAGAGTAAACGAGTTACCCACGAAATTACATCACCGCAAACCAGTAAAGTTTTGCTCAACCACGACATAATGACTCCTCACGAACTAAAATGATTCCACAGTATTATGCCTGCACTTTCTAAGAAATTTAGATGTTTTTTTTTATTTCGATACCAGTCACAAGGGTTTCCAAGAGGCAAATATTTGCTTGCCTTTGACTATGTCATGTAGAAGTGTATTCGAATTTCTGTCTCTCTCCTCGAGCTCCGAATGGACCTAAAAGGGTGTGGTTTCTTGTAAAAGGTCGTCTTTGAAACTCTCTGCATTCTGTTGTTTAAAAATCAACTGTTATATACCTATAAAATAGTTGTGCTAAGGATGCAGATATGTTATAAGTATACATGTAGGATGCAGAAGTGACCCTTATTTAATGTTTGATAATTTAGCATGGTAGGTTTAGCAGGTTTATTTCCATTTAGTAATGTTGATAAAACTTGCATTGATTATAAAACTGAATTAAGATTCAGATTCTTCCCCAGACCAGAATATTGGATCAAAAATCAGGTATTTCTTTTTACTACTATATCATCTACAGGTGACTATCGGATAATGGGACAACCATTTGATTCTGAGGAGGGGGCAGATTTTGGAAATAATCTGTTCTCGAAAATACACTTGTATGTTGAAAATAAATAAACCGACCTTAAGTTGCAAGAAATTAAATAATTTAACTCGAAAACATTTGCCATCCCCCACCCCTTCTCAAAATCAAGTGGTCGTCTGCTAAAAGTTTTATGAGCGGCCCTGTCTCTTAGTATTTATTAGTCAAGTACTGACGAATCTTACATAATCCAAATTGAACTTTAGTCCATAGGGTAGGTCCCAAGCCAGAAGATACCAGGTATTTTTAACCATAGTTTACCGCTTGTGTGTTTTGTTTGACATTAACAAAAGAATTTTCAAAAATCTTAAATGAGGTTTAAATTTAATTTCTTTAATGGATTGAAAGGAAAGCAATGGGAAGTCGACAGAAGTTCTCTGGTTGAGTTACTTGCAGACAACAGAACAATATTGGAGGACGAGTTAGAACCATTTCGTTTTCTTACACGCTTCCAACAAGATGGCATATTTTCAGAGAAAGAGGTAAACTGGATTAAGAGGCTGGGTAGTAGGCGAAATAGAGCAAGAGGATTCCTCAGTTTATTGCAAGGCAAGAGAAAGTCTGCTTTGGAAGTCTTTGTGGACGAATTAAAAATATCAAAAGAAACTTTTATATTGGAGCAGCTATTTCCTTCGACACCCACAGCTTTTCAGTGCAAAGGTAGAGTGATTAGAAATTGTTGTATGTAGCCTGAATTTGGTTTTCATTATTATATTAACTTTATTTCCTAAAAGTGAAGTTACTGCAACAAATTCTAAAGAACTTTTATTTTAAATTCACAAAGAAAAGTCATACAACAGCAAGACCTTGCGTCCAAATGAACTTGCAATCGGGATTTAAAGTCATTAGCCCCATTTCCTAGCTAAACTTTTAAAAGAAGCTGTGTACAACTATATAATTGTATTACAGAATGCCAACGTAGTACAATCTTAAAGAATTACAACGAGATTCGCGATGAAATAGATGTGAGAATTTTAGACTACACTGATCCGCCCTGTCACTCACACCACACGAATTATAAAGACAGCAGGGGACGGTACAGAACGCCCCAGGCCCTCCTTAAGCATGTGCTGGAGTGTGACACAGCTCTGGACAGATTCAGTAAGGTCTCTAAATCCATAACATCATTGACCAGGTTTACAGAATGCAACTGCAACTGTCCAGGTATTATACTGAGGCTTTGGGCATCTTAGATTGTGTCTTATCCACTGCATTGGGAGATTACATCCGACTTTTCTTAGCAGGTTACAAGAACTTTACAACTTTAACCCAGAGGAAGCAAAATGTTTACAATTTTCGGATTTCAACTGTATTACGGAAGAAAGGTTAGTTAAGCACTCTACTTTCTACAAGATCATTTCCGATTTTCTTCTTTGTCGAAATGTGTATTCTGGCTTTCATTAAATGACTTTTTATGTACTGCATAACCAATTTCTTAACTGGGTATATGTGAGCCAGCACACCCGCCCTCTTCCACTCCAATAATGATGTTGACCTGTGCAACTTACTTTGTGTCAAGTTACAACTACCTTATCAGGTACAATATTTCAAAGTTTCTATGTTGAACGATATGAAAGTCCATACTTTTTCTGCACAATTCCTTTCACTTGTCCAAATGGCGTTTCTCGGTCAAGGTCAGGACACATATACATATCGTTCATACAAAAATTACCATAGTTTTAGCTGGCATTTCCTCAAAATTTATTTTGGAAGGTGTACTACATCATTTAGCAAAACAAAAGTTGCACAAAGGTCCTCCATTTATTGGAACTGCAGTAGGGAATTACATATATTTTTTTGTGATCATGTTCTTGCACTTAAGTCAACGTCTTGATGCAACTTTGGAGCGTAAGCAATCCCTATCTAAAGTATGAGCTTCGTATCCTCGACACAAAGTTAAACACTAAAATAAAATATATCACTTTTTGGCCATTAATCTTCACCTTTTAAACTTGGGTGTTGGAGTTGATTAAGCAATTAAAACTGAACGAAACTTGAGCAGCTCTTGTCCACCAACATTGGAAAATTTATTTAGCTCTCTGTCTCATATCTTAATACAGAGAAACCAACTGACAAAAAAACATTACATAACTCTCCAGAAAAAGATTTACCAGTCCCTGCATTAAAAAGGGAAAAGTCCTCTCTAACAAACAGTATGTATTTTAATTCAAGAATATTTTAATTAAGTGTACTTTAATTCATGAACATTTAAAAAAAAAAAAACCCTCACTTTTTATCTATTAGCATATAAATTGTTCATTATAAATGCTATCAATTATCTCCCTTTTTTCTCCTGCAGAAACAGTCAAAACAAAAACCCCCTTTACATCTCTACAACCAAAGATTGTCACCTTTAATGTAGAAGAATTGCCTGTCCATTCCTACACAACAGAAAATAGAGGACTTCATGATACCAAGATTCAAGAGAAGAAAACAAGCAAACGTGCAACAAAAAAGATGGTGAAAAAATAACCAGCTGTTTAATGCATTGACTGGAATATACAATAAGATTGCTGTGATCTCTAAATTGGATACTTCTTTTTTCTGAAATTATACAAGAAGAATTGGCTGCCGCTTTATTTGATTTTATTTTAAATATAGGTAACCTCTTTGTAAGATCAATTTGTGAAAAGTTGCCTAAGATAAATGAAATCCTTAAAAAAATTGGTACTTATTTGTTAACAGAATTTATAAAACTACATATATATACATGATTGTAAACATGTTTTTTTTAATTCATGTATAAAGATTGAATATTGCATAAGCTATATATCCATTCCTGGAAATGTCCCTTTCCCCCAAGAAATATAATATAAACAACTGTCATAAGCCCAGAATCACTGACTACTGTTCATCATTAGAATTCTCCTTTTTCTTTCTGTCTCCATAGTTTTAGCTTTCTCCCATACACTTTGTGTTGGGGCAGTTTCCATAGCACTTAGTGACAACAACCTATCGGTGAATGAAAATGAATATTGTTAATTGATAAAAACATTGTTGATATACATGTATCTAAATAAGGCCAGAGCATGACACTTCAAATACTAAAGGGCCATGGGAGACATCACTCACCTGAGCACTGTGGCTAGGAAAAAAGCAAAAATCAGTTCAGTATTGAAAAGCTTAAATGCATAAGTGGTCCCAACCTACCCCTAAATGGGGGATTGGGGAGGATAATTTGAACAAAATTGAATCCACACTAACTAAAGATGCTTACATATTTCTTTGACTAACTGTTGCTTTTTTCCCTACAAGTTTGAACTTTCATTGTGGTCCCACTCTACCCCTGAGGGTCATGATTCATACAAACTTGAATCTACACTACCTGAAGACGTTTCCATATGACCAATCATGGCTTTGCTGTTCTTGAGAAGAAGATTTTTCCTTTATATTCCATGTAAAACTCTGATCATCGACTGTGACCCCATCCTATCCCTGGGAATCATGATTTGAACAAATATGAATCTACACTACCTGAGGAATCTTCCATATAAATATGACCAATCATGGCTTTGCTGTTCTTAAGAAGAGGATTTTTTAAGATTTTTCCTATGTACTCCTATGTCAAACTTTGATCATCCATTGTGGCCCCACTCTTGCCTCAGGGTCATGATTTGAACAAACGAATTTACACTACTTGAGGATACTTCCATATAAATATGACCAATCATGGCTTTGCTGTTCTTGAGAAGAAGATTTTTAAAGATTTTTCCTATGTACTCCAATGTTAAATTTTGATCGTTCATTGATCCTATACCCTATCCCGGGTGATCACGATTTGAACAAACTTGAATCTACACTATCTGAGGATGCTTCCATATAAATATGACCAATCATGGCTTTGCTGTTCTTAAGAAGAAAATTTTTAAAGATTTTTCCAACATTTTCCTTTGTAAAAGATTTTTCCTTTATACTCCTACGTAAAATTTTGATCGTTCATTGTGGCTCTACCCTACCCCAGGTGTCATGATTTGAACAAACTTGATTATCCTTCGTCCTCTTACGTACATTCATAGCTAAATATGCAGTATCCAGCGCATGCGCAGATAATGACCACTAATTCATAGAAACAATAAAAGTTTTCCCGCCACTACCCATCATAGTTAATTCAGTGCTCGCTCAGAGAAGACCACCCGCGTTGTGTATCCAGTTTCTTTTTGTTTTTTACGTATTTGTGGACATTTTCATCTGTTATTTTTATTTTATTACTTTATTATGGATGAAAATCAGGAATATATTATAATTCAACATCGTTCGGACTCACCAAGTTCACGTTCTGAGAAGAAATCGACGGCGACGGACCAAGAGATGCTGGCGCCATTAGTTAACATGGCAGGGCACGCTGCCTCAGAGCAGTTGACTAAAGTGCCCACAGAGGCTTCAATGCCAAACAATTGTGGTTCAAATCCCACCTTTTCTGTGGCATTGCCACAACTGAGCAACGCTAGCTCAAATATTGGAGTTCATTTCTCGCAACAAATTCAGGCAGAGGATGGGTGTAATTCGATTTTTCCTTTATACTCCTACGTAAAATTTTGATCGTTCATTGTGGCTCTACCCTACCCCAGGTGTCATGATTTGAACAAACTTGAATCTACACTATCTGAGGATGATTCTTGAGAAGAAGATTTTTAAAAGATGCCAATAATTTTTCCCTAATTTGTAATTATCTCCCCTTGAAGAGGGTGTGGAACAAACTTGAATCCCCTTCACCCTAGGATACTCTGTGCTAAGTTTGGTTCAATCTGGTAAAGTGGTACTGGAGAAGATGAAATTGTGAAAAGTTAACAACGACTATGACAATGACAGACAACGGATAAATTTCGATCAAAAAAGCTCACTTGAGCCTTTGGCTCAGGTGAGCTAAAAGTGTTAAAAATTCTGTATTATCAATACCTGACTAAATTCAACAATGTGTGAAAGTCATCCACTGACATTGATTTTGGATCTGTCTTCCTTATTTCTACAAAGTCATCTTGGATTGACTGAAATGTTAAAAGAAAATTAGCATTAACTTGCATACCTCTAAGAAACTGTTGAATGCTAGTAGATATTCCAGTTCTTTCATTCTTATCATATTATTTACCTTTTGCATGGTGTCATCAATTGTGTATTCCAGAAGTTTACAAATGGTCAGATAACTCCTCAAACGACCCAGAAATTCCGCAGTGAGAAGGACATCAAGCTGTGAGAAATGTCGCTGTAGATTTTCTATTTTACAGGCTGGGTTCATAGGTACCAAACAATCACTCTGCAATGATAATGATGTATTTAACCATAACTATTCATAATTTTAAACATGGATTTTGAATTATTAAAATAACACTTTATTTCTAATTATTTTATCACATTTGTTTTTTGGTTGACATCAACAATACAAAGAGCAGTTCCAAAGTTCAAAGTCTAATAAAGTAAAAGTCAAGGTCATACGCAATGTACATGTGAGAGAGGTCTGCTAGCAGATGTTGCCTTATTTTACATACTTACTGGTATCAAGATATATACTTACTGGTAAGATAGACTTTGCTTCAGATAAAATCAGAACGGAAACATTGGATAAGAAATCTTGTCTATGGAAGCGAAAATCATATTCCACCTTCTGCCAACTAATCAGGTTTCCAAGAGCTGTAATGTTCCTCACTCCTGAAAAGATGAGAAAATTAAATCAACAATTGAATATCAAGTAACACTTCAACAAAGCTATGTTTGGATCTGAATTTTGTAATCTTGCAGAAACACTGAAAATTTGCTTCAATAATGACCAAAGTACTTTGAAACAAACTATTCCACAAATCATGAAATTACAACACAGATATAAGTGGAAAATCACATCACTTTTATTTGTCACGAATTTGATATAAAATGTATTATTCACCAAGACTGAATAGTCTAACATTGCCAGAAAAAGGCCCCTTTATGAGCTTTGGTTAAGTTCGTAAGAGTTAAGATTTCTTAAGCTTTGAAGTATAACACTGTGACTGACCTACTGCTTCCAGCTGTCCTGGTTGTAGCTGTGTCTCGTCGATGATAAGAGAGGTATCTGCAGCCAGCTGTAACACACCACTCTTCAGCCTGTTAGCCGTGTAGTCCTTCTCTGGACACAGTCTCAAGCTGTTCATGTTTTCAATGGACAAGGGAAGAAAGTGACACTGTAAATCATGAGATATTTATTTTAAAATATATTTCCCAAATGCAAATGACATGATCAACCCCCCCCCCCCCCCCCCCACCCCCTTTCCCCCATTTTTATGCCCATCACTCCTTTGTATCATAATTTAGGTCAGGTTCAATTTTTCTGACCAAAATTTCATACAGTATTATATACTAAATGCCATGAATTCTCTTAGATAATGTTATCCAGATCATCAAATTATTACCTTAGTAGTAAGTGCTTCCATGAAAGTGTGTATTAGTTGTCCATATTCTTTACTTGGGGGACAGTGGGTGATATTCAAACTAAACTTCCCTAATGGCATCACATCAGCTCTTCCATACCTGAATACACATACATTCAAAATGAAAATAATTTTTTTTACACTTAATATATATTTTTTCTGAAAATAACACTTGTTATATTATAATTGGAATAAATATGCAATAAATCAATTACTGCCTTACACAGAGGAGATCAAATGACACAGGAAGTATTCCGCTGCCAGCGAGTCTCCCAGCATGACCTGTTCAAGAGCTGACAAGATCTGACGTCGTAATGTGAAGATCTCTGTCCTAAGGGAACTTACATCTGTAAAAGATATAGAAACAAAACATAATATCAATACCACACACAAAAAAAATAAATATATTTATATTACTTAAATAAAACCTTATACGTCTTTACCATTTCAATTTTTCAGCCATATTTAAAGAAAGAGAAATGGTTCTTTTCAATACTTTTGAAACTGTACCTTAATAACTTTTGAAACTGTACCTTAATATCTTTAAAAACTATCTATGCCACAGAGGAACAGACAAAAACCTTTAATATGACATTTAAAAAATTTCATTATTCTTTTACAGAGCTCAAAGGCATTGCACACACTTTAAACCAACTATTATTCACGTCATCTTTTATCCTCGAATCGTCAGTTTGAAACCAATCCGCAACAATTGATTTTCGCGACTGAGGAAACATTTTCTACATATACAAAACAATTAGTTTGGGGCGATTAATATTTGCGAGTTAAAGTATGTCGCAAAACTCGCGAATATTACTCACACACGAATAAAAGTTGGTTTACAGTAAATGATCCCGTTACCTGAGTCTAATTTGATTTTCTCTGTCGATACATGGGGGTTATTATGCTTCAGTTTGTGGTGAACCAAAGCGTGAAGTCTTGGCACCAGAGAAGGGGGCGGGGCATGTGCGTTTTTCTCCTCCATGGGTTCCTCGTAACCATCGATACTACTCTGTAAGCCATCGGATCTGTCAACATGAAATTAAAAAAAATTCTTCACTCCACCTCAAATTAAGCTGAATTTTTTAAATTCATTTGATAAAATAATGCCAAAACCATTCATCTAATTTATGTACCTATTTTCTTCATGGAAATGCGCCAATGATGGATCAACTGACAGAACCCCTATAAATTCGACCATATCATTAACTGCAAACCCGTCCATATCTTCATAAATCTGTAGATTGAATAGCATAATTTGATAACCATGTTACTTGCAAAAGTTTACACTGACTAATAAAATAAATGTTGAAATTTTGTCAGATCTTGCTACAATTTTAATATTTGGTTACAAGAATTAATACTACAGAATAAACAAATATGAGGATACCTTCACTAAACATGGCAGTCCCTTTTCTCCATTTAAAGGGAAATTTAGATCCGTGTTATTTCTAGGTACTGATCCTATAACCAGAGAAAACCAAATTTTATTAGAGCTGGACATTTAGCGATTTATGCCATTTGTGAAATTACATTGTGCACTTATACACAGGTCAGAAAAATTTGGTGGGAGTCTAAACAGCCATTTAAACAATATGTTTTAGAATTACAAACTCGCAGACAAATGAATTGAATAATGGTGACAGATTAGATGCTACATGTGCAATAGTTACAGAATACTGAGTAGCATTTAAATTGAGTTATTAACCTTCCACAACATCTGCCCTTGGTCTTTTGTTGGCAGTGTCCTCAGATTTACTGTCTGTCCCCTCAGTGTCCTCCTCCATGTGAGTGTCTGACTGATGTTCCTGGTCCTCCTCCTCCAGGCCTCGTTTTGACCTACTGGAGGCCACAGAGGATGTTGGAAAACTTTTCTTTCCTGCTTTGTCTGAATATCCGTTTCGAAGTTAAGGAATCTTGTACAATTTTTCAAAATGCCCACCAGGCTTGCTGTGATTAACTTTTTACAAGCCTGACAGTAATTTTTTTTTTACATGCCTATAGTCCAGTACTGGTATTTTGGACACAGAATTTAGCTATGAACTGAAACTAATATTAAGACCGAAGGATATTGACTTGACCCATTCAGTTTCTCCTGGAATTGGGACACAGTACAGGGTCTGCCTCTCCATTGTTACATTTTTATCTGAATCCATGTTAATTTCTTGATGTTTCTAAAAACATAAAATTGCATAACTTTTCTTTTTTAATTAACATTCAATCTTTGCTCAACCTGGAAAAAGGATGATCTCATCCATAGCAGAATTTTTTTTTGTTTTTGTTGAATGACATTCACAGTTTTCTTATTCTAACAGTCTTTTTTTTTTTTTAAATTAAACTAGATTGTGCTATTCTAAAGTATGATAATTTACATGGTCTATTATGATTTCAATCATATTGAAACTTAATTAGTCTGCAGGCCTACTTTTGCAAATGTCTGAAAAGGAATTATTTGCATATAGAATATGAAGTGTGTGTATTACATACGGCACATTCTGCTATATCCTTGTACTTCCCCGACTTCATCGAGGTAGTGTTTGTATTGACGTCCGACACTTCATACTCCCCCATGTAGAACTCAGGGTCAAACATGTCCTGGACCATACACCTGTAGCGCACCAAGGAATTCGGCAGGAGACAGTGAAGAGGTGTATCATTTAAACTGGGTATCTAAAAATGTGAAAATAGGTATTGGCATTTTTAAAATCTGTTATAATTGTTGGAGAAAATGTTTTAAAGTCTGTACCTTACTAAACCTAGCTGAAACATAGGAAATATAAGATCCCTTGATCTTAAATACTTCTCATCTTCAAGGTCTAAACAAAATCATTTTTAAATTGATCTTACCCAAAGACGAGCTGTTTCAGAGTTTGTCTTGCTATGAAAGTATTCTTGGACCTTTTCAGAACTTGCTGATCCATGTTTATCTACAATATACACAATCATTCATTAATAGAGTCATTAGAGTGTTTATGAGCAAGTTGTCTTGACAAAAATTATCAGTGTCACATTTGCTCACTTTTGAGATGCATGCTCCAATTTGTACCATTCACTTCATATAAAATAAATTATTTTTTATTTTTGCTTTATATGACAGACACAGTAATATAATTTCATTTTTTTAACTCTTTCCCCCTCAGAGCTTTGAAGATAAGGCGTTACTGTATACTCCCGTAGCAAGCCACTGCTGCAGCCTTATCTCCACAGCAGTCTAGCATCAGTGATAACCCCATTTACTCAGGCATTTTCAGAAATAAAGAAAAAAATCACAGTGCTTTATATTTATTCTTATTACTCTCAAATTATTGGGTAAAAGTATATAAAACCAAGTATTTTTATTTTCAGCACAATCTCATCTTTACAATGATGATAATTTAAAGCCAATCCTTTATTTTTAAACTAAGAAAAAGTTTGGTAAATGTCATGAGTCAGTGTATATACACACATCATTCATGACGAAATATTTAGAATTTAATCATTTTACAGTCAATAAAAAGGTTTCAATGTCTATTTTGGTATGTGAAAAGATCCACATTTTGCATAGATGCACACTGCGAAGTTTACACAAACGGATAATCTTTTTAATTTCTTTTTTTGGCCAAGTAAGCCTTCTTTTCTGCTTCAGTGATTTTGTACCAGACACGGTCTTCCTTTCTCTTCTGTGCATTTATTCGCCGTGCACTTTTATTTTTGTGATGCACATAGTCTATAATAATGTTTGGATAAAACATATCACCCAAGAAATCTTTTGTTGTAGTTGTTTTTACACAAAAATCGGCTCCAGAATACTGGCCATGTGACTTTCAACTCGCACGCCATGAAATGTCGAAGGTTTTCTGGCCAATTATAATGTTCCAAATTAATTTTTTCTGCACAAATGAATTCTTTAGGAATATATGTATTCAATTCAGCATCCTAAAACCCATAAAGTTTATCTAAATTGTCGCGTGAATAGAAATAATCTCACCGTACATTGTTCGTAATCCGCCATTTTGAATTAACAACTTTTGTTTTTCCTACCATACAAGGTAAAAACCATCTTTATTTATAGGTACACGTGAATTGATGACAGTGCACATACTTTATTTTTGTAGGCCAATAATAACGCTTCAATTTGATACCTGCCCCAAAGTTGCCGACGTCATAGTCTCGTTTTCACATAGTCTTAAAATAACAAGACGTCGAAAGGCGCTTGTGTGGAAATTCTGTATAGGCGTCGAGAGACGCTAGTGCGGTAATCATGGATGGGCGTCGAGAGACGCTTGTGCGGAAAACCTGGCTAGGCGTCGAGAGGCGCTTGTGAGGGGGAAAGAGTTAAACCTTAAACTTACAAATATTTCAAACAAAGCACAGCGCTTTCAAAAAAAAAAAGGCAGAGTAAAGGACAGTTTGAAAAAAAAGAAGAGATTATTTCATCAGGAAATGTAACCAAATTTCATTGATTTTGATACGTCAAATATTCTATATATTTTAAGAAAATTTATAAATGGAGAGCAATCTCCACATTCAGACCAAATATCCAAACATCACACTTTGTCAATAATGCCTGAAACAACACACTTCCAGACCTACATACTTCCAACGCTTGGTCCTTGAATAGTAACTATGCACCTTTAACAGGTCCTGTGCAATCACCACATTTAGCTATGTAGGTCGATTTTTCTACATAGCTTCATTTAGCCACTTAAATTAGCTTTATTTAGTTATTTTAAAGCAAGTTTTCACAAGTTTGCTTCTTATTTAAAATAAACAAAAAATTGCAACTATATGACTACTATTTGTACTCTAAAGTTTTAAAAAAGTAACCAAGAGCAATTATAAACATTGCTGCTTTTTGAACATTTTTAAGTGAAAGATGCATTTCCACTGTTTGAATTACTGTACACCACCTTGTGTGTGGCTATTGTATGGATAATATTTGTTATCCAGGTTCAATCAAGGGTGTACAGTGATTTACTCCAGGTTTTATTCCATACACCCTGAGGCTGAAGGGTGTATGGAATAAAACCCAGGGTAATCCCTGTACACCCTTGATAAAACCTGGATAACTAATATTATTTCCTATGAGTTTAACATTAGATTTGATTGGTTTGTAGAAAGACTATTTCTACCTATGTAGCTATTAATAGCTACCTAGGTATTTAAACCTACTGCAAGTATCTACTTCTACCTACTTTCACCTGTCTTTCAAAATAAAATCAAATGATGATTATGGCGCATCTTTAAAACAGGTCAAACTTTTATTTATCATCTTGTGCATTTGCACGGCAAAATTCAGGGTGTTAATTTGAAAACTTTATGACGGTGGAGAATGGAGAGGAAATTCATTAAAAAATCATTCCAAAAACATTCGCGATTATATTTCAGAAAGCATGACGATAAGATTTAAAATTGATACAGATTTGTGAGATATTTTAGACTTAGTTTTGATCCTTAGCTACCAGAAAATGAAACTGGGTGTAGTTTTTCATGCAAAATTAATAAGTCAGAAAGTAATTATTTTGGGGCCAAAAACTATGTCATATTCATAAGGGTGCAACGATAAACCGTTTGACGGTATATCGAGGTATATTTTTCCACGGTTCAATTCACGATACGCTAGACTGATATCGCGGTTCAGTTCAATCGGTCCAGAATCATCCGTTTTGTCCGTGTTATTTCCTTTTTTACTATTTCAAAATGGCTTCCGCGCAAAACGTGACGTCGCCGATAACGCATTTACGGCAGTTAAACTCATCTCCAGCATCTTACAGACGTCAGATTTAACACGGAGAAGGACTTAATGTGATTATAAGTTATAGGTGTTAAGACAAATGATAAACCCTTTAGATCTAAACGTATTCTTTGGTAATACACGATATTTCATCACGGTGTGTATTTCGATGAAAATTAGCTGCCTTGTCGACTAAAACATATTAACACGAGAAATATGACAACTGGTTTTCTACGTAAATAAAAGGAATAAAAGAATGAATGTCTTCCTTTTTCATTCCAATTTAAAAGGAAGATTATTAGGAAAGGTCCCCAAGTTCCCTGTAAATGTTCATTATTGGTTTAGAATGTTGTCACAACTCAAAGATCTACCTAACAATCCAATTCAAGTTAACAAAATGTTATTTTAATTATTATTAAAAAATATGAACATTTTGTATAACCCTGTCAAGTTTAAAAAAAATATGATGACAAACTTGAAAGACTTTTTAACCTTGTCATGTATCGCGATACGTATCGTATCGTGAACTGAATACCGTGATACGTATCGTATCGTGAGGTTAGTGTATCGTTGCACCCCTACATATTCATTTTTAGTGTGATTGTATTACGTAATTTGGTACTAACCATATTGCGATGTTTTTGTGTTAGGCAACAAAATGCAAGTATAGCAAAAAGTAGGTAAAATAGCTACCTGGAGTAGGTTGAAATACCTAGGTAGCTATAAGTAACTACGTATGTAGAAAGAGTCTTTTGACTAGACCTGTGTACTGCCTGTGCCATGCAACTTTGTCACTGGCACTGGCCATGCAATTTAAACACACATCTGTATATACTGCTTAATTCTCAGAAAATAATCATAAAGGGGAACCCTACCATAAATACTCTGAACAATTCCTAAAGGATTAGTGGTCCAATCTTCGACACCAGGCATGATTATCTTTTCTTTCCGTTGTTTACAAACTAACAAAGAGATGAATTATGGCGGGAAATGGCCAAATCACGTGGGTTCTAGATAAGTCGTTCTTTTGATTTTCTTACCAGATGCATTGTACATCAAAAAATCTCTAATAGATTTGGTAAAAATTGAATAGGAAGAACATTTCCCAAAAGCGTCATTCGAAACCGCCGTTTTGTTTTTTTTTTTTAAAGGACACACCATTCTTTTTCCAGGTGCTTTTCTTATATTAAAAGATAAACAAGACAGATAATGTCCACGAAAGTAAATTTAATACAAGTATTAGCTTTCCTAAAAAGCTTGTCTGACTTGAGCAAATTTATTTTTACGTGAAGAATCAAGAAATGTTAAATACAGTGTAATCAACATGAGTCTTAGTCATGAAATGAATTCTTTTGCTAAGAAACAAGAAAATTTCAATTCAGTGGCATCAACATAAAATAAAACTTGTCATGAATTTATTCTATGTACATTATATTACTTGTAATATTACTTGTAGGAACCGCCCCCCCCCCCAATAATTTTGTCGATTTATATACATAGCTATTTTATGATTGTGTCACCTAAATCATGTAAATGTTAACTTCTGATAACTTTTGTATGCTCTATAAGGAATTTTTCCTTGATAGTGTCCACCCTAAACTGCAAATTTCTGAAATTTTCTTTTCGAAAGAAAAAGTTGCAACATATAAAAATCTAAAACATCAATTGGTGAACAATTTTGATAGTTAAGAAATGTCTTATTTAAAAAAATGAACGTAGCTAACATCTTTGCATTTAAGGACAAATGATACAAACAAAAAATGGATGTCTGGATGTCTGGATAGGTGTATATTTTTGGACCTATTTTGATTGAAAATGCAAATAATAAATTTCTAAATTATTAAGAAATTGTATACTTTCTATGGTGTTCAAAATTCTACCTGTCTTCAACCATCCTTATTAATCCTTATTAATCTATACAATTTTTGTCACTTTAAATCTTATTAATGTGAAATTTCGAATGAAAAATTAAAAACTATGCGGTTAAATTTATTCATTTTACTTATATAAACATGGCATTAGTTGTTATTTTCAAGATATTCAATAAAAGTTTGTTTGTATCATCTGTCCTTAAGCAAAATAATATTCAACATCTATCCTTCACTTTGATAATTTTTGAACTATGTTATAGTTACATTATAGATATTAACTGGTTATTGGTAAATACACTCACAATTTTAATTCACGCGGGGCGGAAATCAAACATCTGCAAGATATGAATATGTGTAGATTCATAAAAAATCTAAAGGTAGAGAGTCTTAGTATGTATTGAAAATAAACATCCATTAGTTAATCTGATAAAGATAATCGACAAGTGTTGACCTGATCAGCTTCATTCCTGCTGTTTTGCTGGACATAAATGATATGCATTCGAGAATGGCCAAATGTTATGTAACCTGTAATGTATAATGTGATAATAAATAGGTCCAGTACTCTGGCTTGTTTGGGTGTTTAGCATGATTGTTTTCTGTACTCCCCATGCTCTCCAACTGAGTATGAAGTTTCCAAGATCAAGTTATCACAAGAATTCTATTGAACGACTTGACCAACAAGCCTTGGCTAAATCTAATACTGTCTGACGCCATGACGTCAGACAACAAGCTCATATAAAAGTCAGGGCTCGACATTAACGCTTGTCCGCTTGTCCGGTACCAGTGGAAAAAAATTACGGACAAGTGGATATTGCTGGGCACTTGTCCGATTGGACAAGTGTATTTTAATGTAAAGACGTCTCCAAATAATTTAAAAATGACTTGAAAGTTTACCGGTACTTCAGATACGGAAACAGTACATAAAAACCGAACTTCGATCCCGATATGGTTCGTAATTGAGTTCACATTCGATCGGGATCGAAGTTCACTTATTGCATACTCAAAGGCATGAAACTTGCGAATTTATGTTGACAGTTTCACTTGTGAACATTGATGTTGTTGTCAGGACAGAAAGTCTAGATAAAATTTTGTTTTATGTGTTTGTTGTATTTATGAATAATATCACGCACATGTAATGGACTTTATTTAGTTTTCCAATTGACAGTATTAGATCTTTATTGAAAAAAAATCGGACAAGTAAATGTCTTGGTCACTTGTCCGAATGGACAAGTAGGAAAAAAAAATTAATGTCGAGCCCTGAACAGCTGTATAAAGAGTAATCTCCGCCATTCTTCTTTTTTCAAAAAAATTAAAATTGGAAAGCATTAAATTCTCATGCATACCAGGGTTCGAAATTCACTATATACAACTCGCAAAACGCGAGTTAGAATTCCTAAATTGCAAGTTAAAAATTAGGTAACTCGCAAAAACTTGCGAGTTGATTTTTTTTGCATTGAAACTATAGCAAAATTATATAATATGACAGAACACAATGATTTTGATTTAAATCAGTAATTTAACTAAAAGTCACACTGTAGTTGTATTTTGTGTATTGTACAGTAGTTACTTTTTCCTTAAGTTACATATTTAATTTACATAAACTTAACTTTATATGAAAATTGCGAGTAGTCTCATAAAATTGCGAGTTCACTTTCTTGGTACTCGCAATTATTTGCGAGTTGTAATTTTAGGGAGTTTCTAACCCTGCATACTTGTACATGATCGATTTTAAGGATCACCCCCCCCTTTTCAACACATAACACGATTCAAAATTCAATATGGGCGTATTTCTTTTGCTTAAAAAGTAACACAAATGAACTAAGATAACAAGTTTTGATAATCCAAAACCACGTTATGGAAAGAAAAATAATTTCCTTCTAAATAATACGGATACTCTATACTGGAATGGGTTGTTAATTAGTGTCGCATATTATTTTGAGACTCTCTTATATTCAAAGAAATGAACTTTCATTCTATTTTCTTAAATAAAAGATAATCAAGTCCATAAAGGAACCATTTTCATTTAAATTTTGATAAATCAACTGAGATATGATTATCTGTGCTGTAAAGACAGAGGTTCCATGCTGCATTAATTTTTGAAGCTGGGCTTTAGTTTGAAAAGTATGCCCATAAATCCAACACATCTCGATGAAACAAATTCTGTATTTTAATTCCTGCACAGTCTATGGATGTAAGTATTTCCATTTTTACCTTAACCTAGTAAATTGAAAATTTACAACATGATATTATCAGCAATATATTTGGAACATCTTTTATGATTGACCAGTGAGTTTAAAATGCATGGCTCGAAGACCGACTCTAAAACTGGACTTCTGATGTGTCCGGTCTCCGCTCATAAGAGTGTTCGATATGAAAAGTCTCAATAAAAATAAACACATGTCTGTTAAATGTTTGATTTTTGATTGATGTCAACCTCAGAAGGATTTCAAATGCAGCGGCAAACCGGAGCACAGACGTTACATTGCACAGTCAAACCTTGTTATCTCGAACTTTAGGGGAACGAGAAAAAAGTCGATATATCCGAGAATTCGAGATGATGAGTTAAAACACATATAGTAAATGTGGATGGAACTTCCAACTCACTTTCACTTATCCATGGTATCCTAAAGATATCGATACTCAAAATTCAGAATATTTGCACTAATCTCAGAGTCCTCAGCAATTTAAACACATGCCATGGGAAGGGAGAGAAAGGGTTTACATTTTAGTTTAGGATAATTATTGGATAAGATCAATGAATCATTTCACTGTTACATTAGACAAATTTCACAACATAACACGACTGAGCAGGCAAATCAAAAATACTTACCGTAACATAGTCATATGTAGATCAAGACTGCTATACAGCGTACCGTATTTTAAAACCATAATGATGTTTTATTAAAAATTTATCTATTTTATTTGCTGAGAATAAAAAGAACGCCAATTCTGGCTTGCCATTTAATTCTTTATTATTTTTTAAAAGAATATGTCTTCAATGAAATCCCTCGTATACATCAGCATTATCATCCAATAATTGTCTCCCCAAAGTTTAAACTGCAAATTACGTTAAAAAATATCATTAATATTATTAAGACTATAGGGTAAAACTAATCTCAATTATAACTTGAACAGAGAAAGAAACATTGTTGATTCAAATGTATAGTCTTGAAATATTTCTCCCAAGAATAAAATATACTCTTATTTGATTACTGAGAGAAAAAAATGTAACGAAATTGAACAATCACTTACTTTATTTCGCAGATTAGATGTTGTTTTCGATCACAGACAAAGTCCCCAAAGAAATACTGGCCGCCATGATACAAACCCCCGCAGTCCTCCCGGGCGAAATAATTTGGGTTACCCCCTCCCCATTTGAGGTAAGTGGCTTGTGTGTGGGTCCGGCTCCACATCCACGTTCCCCGGTCTGCCGCATCGTTCAGGTCAATCCAGAAGTCCTTAACATCGAAAGAACCTGTACAAATATTTGGGTCGCGTATGAATATTAAATGCATTAATAAGTACCACACATTCAGTTTCAAATCCAGACAAAAGAAAAGATAAATGTGAATATAATACATTTTGATAATATTTATAAGTTTACTTGTACATATAGGAAGATCAGTTATAAGTACCTTCAATTTCATGTATTTTCTGTATCAGAAAATTGTGTTCAATTTCTGTTTCTATTGTAACAAGGTGGGCACCAATCACTTTACAGAAAGTCTAAAAAAAATTACACCCTTAATTTTTCATCCAGTATAATGGTGAAATTGATATTTAGCTTATATAAAGAATATAAGAGATACTTCTATATCTTTAGATAATACTCATAATATAACGTTATATTTTACATGTCTACATTTTGGAGTCTCATAGGCAATGATATTAATCTGGGGGGGGGGGGGGGTATTTACTGCCATTATGTGATATTACCTATTTGAAAAGGTGTTATCACCTATTGGTGATATATCACCTATTTGAAAAGGTGATATCACTTATTCACTTGGTTATATCACCTATTCAGCTTTAGAATTGGAGATATCACCTATTCGAATAGGTGATATCACCTATTCATATAGGTGATACATGTATAACCTTTTCGAATAGGTGATATCGCCTATAGGTGATATCACATATTCATTTTGAATAGGTGATATCACATATTCGAATAGGTGATATCATCTATTTAAATCAAATAGGTGATATCACCAATTCGAAAAGGTGATATCACCTATTCAAATAGGTGATATCACCTTTTCAAATAGGTGATATCACCTATTCATTTTGAATAGGTGATATCACCTATTCGAATAGGTACATGTGATATCACTAAATTGCAATAAATACCAAAACGGCGCCTCATACTTATCTGAGTTATGTTCTCATATTAACATATACCAGTTATATGTTTTTGCAATTAAAACGTGGTCAATCATCAAAAACTTTAAAATTTTATCGAGTAAGTCTAAACTCTATTTAATTATCACTTGAATAGAGAAATGTAATTAACTAAACCTTAGGGTACGTTGGGGTATGAGCCAAAATATCTTTGTATGGGGATGTTTGTCATTGATCTGAATTTTACCGGCCTTGCTTATAGACGAACCAAAATTATAAAAGTGTATATATTTGTAATACATGTACAAAACTGACTATAGACTCGGGCCAGCTGAGATGGTGGTGTAGGAACTTGTAACAGGAACCTTGATGTTTCGTGAATCCGTCAGGACAGACTTCTATAGATTCTATGCCTTGGACTGCAAGACAAAAATTGTGTAGGATCATACAATCCATACCTAAAGCTGTCAAATGAGAGAGAGAGAGAGAGAGAGAGAGAGAGAGAGGTTGTTTACTTACTTAAAAATAAGCAGGGAAAAAGACCCAGTAAAGCACATTTGTTCATTGTCATCGATAAGTGCATTATTCACCATATTTTCTTATCTTAGTCAACGATAAGTAATACCTAGAATATAGGAGAGTAGGAGTGTAGATTACTTCTCTCACTCACGCAATAAAAGTTACTTTGTTAAAAATGTTCCTCCTTTGTAAGTACATTTCCATAAATGTTTTTTTTCTTTCTATATATATAAACTAAATATTTAGATGGAAAGATGAATACTACGTAACAAGTTTTCATTCGACATTGCATCCACAACATTTGTGAATAATGTATTTTCTATATATGTATGATAAAAGGATAAGATGAAATAAAGACAAAATACCTTTACAGATATTTACCAAACTTTTCTGCTCGGATTTTGTAACACATTTCTTTTTTTCTCACTCCAATTTTTTTCCAGGTCTTGCAATAGCACTAGTGTCTGTATTATCGTGTAAAGGCCAACCGAATTGTCAGTTGGGATCAAACACATATACTTTTCACCAGTCATGCTACAAATTTGTGCATGAACATTTCAGCTGGCCAGAAGCTATCGTAAGTTGCAAAAGTCACATTAAACATTTAGTATTTGAAAACCTAGAATACAAACTGAACACTTTGGTGTGCACAGGATGATACCCTATTGATGCAAATGACAATATGTTATGTTCAGCTACAGATTAGCTATATATTACATGGCTTTTTGTAGACATACTGTGCAACGCTAGGAGGCGAACTGGTTCGAATAGAGTCGGCTGCAGAACACAACTTTCTGATTCATATAGCAAACCAGTTAAAAGCAAATGACAGTAAGAGCTAAGAACACTACATTATAGCGCAATGGCCGTCATTACTGCATTTATTTATTTTGAAACGTTTCAGCCTTTTTTTCTTGTTCAACTGAAATTGACTAGTTATCTTTGTTAGCTTCTTTCGATGTCAAGGAGTACTGGATTAATCTGTCGGACGCCATTGTACAAGGAGAGTGGATGTGGATGGGAAACACGAGACTGAACGCTCCGGAGGACTCTCCTAACAACGAGCGTGCTACTTATGTAAAGTGGGGACCAAACCAACCAGATGACCATCCTAACGAGGACTGCGCGGGACTGTGGTTCGAGGGGGGATTTTTGTACGGGGATTGGCCTTGTAGTGCACTATTGCACGCCATTTGTGAGGACAGGTAACGTGCCGAAGAGAGCCTGATAATGTTTTGCATAAACATATAAAAAAAATCTAAACAGTATAGAAATCAAGTCCAATCCATTGATAATATGCACGTTATGTGGGCGTAAGGGAGGCAGTACCTTGTTGAATGGGACCTGGGAATAGAATTTATATATCGAACATATAAAATACCTTCCAGAATTGTTAAATGATTGGTTCCCATTTAGATATATTGTTCAATTACATACATGTATGGATAAATAAAACTTTTTTAATATCCATCAATTTTGTCATAAAATGTTGTACATGTATTTTCAATGTTCTTAAAAAAAAGAAAAAATTGGCAACAAAATTCTTAACTGTATATGGCTACGAGAAAAGCTAGAAAGGCGTTATTTGAACATTATTTATTTATTTATATGTTTAATTAATTAATTAATTACTTTATTTATTTATTTGTTTTTCTTTTCAGCTCTATAGCAGATGATTGAACATAGCACATTTAACACTACGGACATATAACATGTACATATAAAGAGTTTATTGAAGTTGTTTGGATGAAATATGAAGATAACGAACAGTAATCGAGCTCAAACGTCGACTGAAACCATACAAATTTGGAGCAGAGCAAACACGGACCTCTAAAAACATCAGAGGATTAGGTGCCATGTGGAGGAGTAAGCATCCCCTGTCGACCTGTCACACCCACTGAGTGCTCGTTGTCATGATCGGGAAAGAAAAATCTGTATTTTTCCATTTGACTTAATGGTAGACTGTATTTGCTGACAAGGTCATAGTATAGACGAAAGAATTTGCGAAATGTTGACTTTAAACGAGAGTGTTGATATTCTTATTTCATCAACTTATTTGTCAATTGCTTGCCTCGTTTTAAAAATTGTTCGTACGTAGAGCACGCTCTTGCGTATCGAATCAACTGGGAGATATAAACTCCATATATGCAGGTGATAATGGTATATTGCTACAAAAATAAGGGAAGTTGACAATAGAAAAGTTGAAATCCTCACGTTTATCATAAAGTTTTGTAGTTAGGTTACCATTATTGTCTTTTCTAGTAAAATATCCGAATATGAAATAGATGTGCCAGACTTTATAACGGTGTCTTTTATTTCGATATCAAACTGATATATCGAATCAACGTAGGGATGAAAATGAATATTGTTAATTGATAAAACGCTGTCGATATACATTTATCTAAATGTCGAACCGAAGGCTTTTTTCTTTTCATGTGGAAGTTTCTGAATAATTTGTGCTTCATATAAATACAAAAATAGGTCTGCTAATAACGGGGCGTAATTATCATCTATGGGAATTCCGACAGTGTACAATAAGTATGTTTTAACAGAAAAAAAAGGTATGTAAAGAAGATGGGCGAACAAGGAGAGCGAAGTGCCTGTAGTGCAACAAACATGAAGGTGAAAAATTAAATCTCAATTATAACAAAATTTTCTTTGATATTTCATCTAAAATTAAAGTATACTTTGTGTAAAATCTCCACAATTTGCAAAAATCTCACAAAGAATGAAATTATTTGCCTCACACACACACTAGAGAGGGCAAAAAGGATCATTTTCTCATACTAAAACACAATTTTTCGATATGAGTGGGTCTTCGATCCATATTTTTCAAAGTTTGCGGAAAATATACATTTATTGGCCAACAAAACTATGGAGCAAAGAGCCCTATACCTTAAAAATATACTTTTATGACAAAACGTTCGCATCTTTCCGAGAAATGAAGTCCAATTCATCAAGAGCTGTGTAGCGTAGTGGTTAGCGCGTTAGTCTCAAATGAAGATGATGGTCAGTATTTTTATTGCTAGAGTTCGACAATACCACATTATTTTTTTTTAAACAGAATAATTTTTGCCTAGAAAATTTTCCTCAGAAAAGTTTTGTTTATCATAATTTCATAAAATTCAATCATGAGAACTTTACTCAAAATACTAAATTCACAAATGATTAGGATTTTTATCATCTGTTCAAAGCTATAGGCATACTGTGCGCCTTGTTCACCCATCTCCTTTATGAGTTCCATTTTTATTGAAAATGCAGTTGTCTATGATGTCAGAAACCCGGACTTCAATTTATCTGGGTTGTATAAAGAGTTAAAAAGTCGTACGCTTTGATGTTATTGATTTTGGTAAAATTTTGTGATTTCAATCTTTCGTAAAGTTCCTCGAAGTTTCAAGAATCCACATCTCTTTAACACCACTTCTCAAATATGTACAGTACTCCTCAGTAACATATAAACGCCATAATATGTCAATATTTTGGGGGACTAATTTCACTACAAATAACGAAATATAGGTGTATAGCTTTCTTTATACAGAACTGTTATGAACTTTTTTCTTATAATTGAAAAAAGCAGTACCTTTAGAAAAAATACTTACTTGAAGAAGTGAACATAGCAGAGTGTAATTAACCAAGAGAGCCAACTCTCTCAAGTATATTATCTAACAATTCACAAATTTTGCCAAGTTGGACCGTATTTGCTACATTGAAAAGCGTTTGAAAGAAATATAGAATGTACTATGTAATTTTTTTTAAAGCTTATGCATTTGATTCCGCGAAAGACTGCGCTACCGCAACATGCACTCCGTTTGATTGTGACGTAATGAGTTCAGTATAAACAAAAAGATTTCAACAAACAGGTAGGTAATTTCAGTTTATCTTGCAAAAAATGGATTTAAGTAATTTGTCCTTTATGGACCTACTGTAATTTAGAACAAGAGGCCCATGGGCCACAGCGCTCACCTGAGTAACTTTGGCCTTGCTGTTTTTCACCTGATTTCTCCCCCCCCCCCCCCCGGTAGTACTTATTGTGGCCCCGCCCTACCCCCGGGGGTCATGATTTGAACAATTGGAATCTACACTACCCCAGCATGCTTCCAAGTAAGTTTCAGCTTTTCTGGTCCAGTGGTTCTTGAGAAGAAGATTTTTTAAGATTTTTCCTATATATTTAAATGTAAAACTTGGATTCCCTATTGTGGCCCCGCCCTACCCCCGGGGGTCATGATTTGAACAATTTAGAATCTACACTACCCCAGGATGCTTCCACATAAGTTTCAGCTTTTCTGGTCCAGTGGTTCTTGAGAAGAAGATTTTTAAAGATTTTTCCTATATATTTCAATGTAAAACTTGGATTCCCTATTGTGGCCCCGCCCTACCCCCGGGGGTCATGATTTGAACAATTTAGAATCTACACTACCCCAGGATGCTTCCATATAAGTTTCAGCTTTACTGGCCCTGTGGTTCTTGAGAAGAAGATTTTTTAATGACCCCACCCTATTTTTGTCTTCTCTTGATTATCTCCCCTTGTGAGGGGACTTGGCCCTTCATTTTAACAATTTAAATTTCCCTTCACCCAAGGATGCTTTGTACCAAGTTTGGTCAAAATTGGCCCAGTGGTTCTTGAGAAGAAGTCAAAAATGTGAAAAGTTTACAGACGGACGGACAGACAGACGGACAGACAGACGGACAGACGGACGACGGACAAAATGTGATCAGAAAAGCTCACTTGAGCCTTCGGCTCAGGTGAGCTAAAAAAGTTGGTATTTCTTAACTCTTAAATCACGCGTAGAAACTTCCGATTTGTCAGTTCTATCATTTTTTCGATTCTTTATGACAAATGACATCTTTATGAAAAATGTAAAATATTTCTCATTTTTATCGACATTTCGCTTTATTGAAAAAAAAAATATAATAATAAAAATAAGAAGATTGATGACGTCACGAATTTTTGACAAAATTGCATTGTGGCAACGTCACGTCATAGATACGGCGCCATTTAGTTGCAAGCGGACGTGTGAAATATTAGGAAATAAAATATTTGAGATTTTTTCATGAAGTTTAAAGTTATTCTAACTCATTGCAGCGCATACAAGGCAAAAAGGGTAAAATATACCTTGTTGTTAACAAAATCGTTTCAAAGCGATTGTATCTTTATTTTAGAAGTTGTTTTGATCAGGACAACAAAGTTTTCACTGAAGAAAGTATATTACATGTATCCTAGATATCTTATTATGAACCATCTTTCAATGCAATGCATTCGTACTTCTTTCCATCTTCTTTTGGCGGAAAAATAAAATGAAAAAAATGGTTTGCATTTATAATATTTAGTATTTTTTTTAATTTTACAGAAGAGAGGGGGTGGTTAATAAATTGAAATGACATTTGCTAGAAGTTTTTTTTATTTACAGCTTAAGCCTTACGAAAGAAGGGTGAGTCCCAAACTACTACACAGGCCTGTTCTGGATTACAGTAATATTACAGATGGCCGCTCAGGGTCATATACCACTCAGGAAACATTCCGATTTCCCGCCGAGAAAGATGCGACATTTACTGTCAACTGTAACACAGACGGAATTCGGAGCCTTGGTCCATCCTATTCTGTGGAGAAAAACAACACCATTTTCCCAGACAAGCCTGCTCACAAGGATAACCAAGCTGACCACTATTCTCTGGGTTTACCAAAATATGGAAACCCTAACGAACACGATTGGACGGATGTTCCTTTACCTGGGAACGTTACGCCTGTAAATTCACAACATAGAGAAAAAGGCCATAGCTCAACAGAGGACGAATGTACAAACTTCAGAAAAAACTCGATGCTGAAAAACAGAAATCTTTTAGTGTCAATGACGGAAACATGGATTCTGGGGTTGGGAAACCATTATGGGGGCCATCTTATCGCACTGTGGACTATACAGTGTATTCGTTAACAGGGTCTGGCGAGTCAAACAGAGAATACCAGACTTGGTCTGGACTGCAGACCTCGGACGGCAAATATAATTTAGTAAGTGTCATTAATCACTGTTAATTTAAAACCCCAGTCACATTTCCAAAAACGACAAACGGCCAACGGTTTATGAGACAAGAATAGGATTCTTCGGGCAACAATCAGCAGTTTATCGACCCTTGTCTTGCCAGATTTTGACCTCTTTTTTGTCAGCCGACCAATTTTTGTCCGTCGGGCCAAGATATATTTTTTTTTTCTACGTCGGTGGCCGATTTCTTCGATTAAAGCAGTCAGTGAATAGTCCGTCGACCAACCTTCGATCATCATCCGACCATCGGCAGACAGTTTGTGAAGTCGGTCGGCCGACATTTAGGTATTGTGTTTTCAAAAAATGTCGACCGACAGTGAAAATCAACTGCTCCGCGTCGCCCGATAATCATGTTTTTTTTTCAGCCGACGAAACGAGAAAAATTTGGTTGCCCGACCATCGGTTTAAATGTGATTCAGGTTAAAGTGGGAGTTCGGGGGTGGGGTTTGGATTTTTTATGACAAAGTGACAAAAGAACTGAGTTTTCTTTCCCCCGGTATTTATAACATTTTCATAAGAGAACAACAGATACCCATGGTTAGGTGTGGCGGAATATTATTATCTCTTGAAAGCTTAAATTTCTCCTCAATCTCTGGTCCTTCTATCTGAACATGTTTTATGTTTACATGTTTTCTGTTTATTTTTTTTCTTCTTTTTAATTCGTTTTATTTATTTACTTCTGTATCATATTCAAGTGAAAACTTGGCTTTCATGAAATTCTGATATATTGATCGATATTCATTTTTGTGAATTCTTAGATTAAATACTGGGTATATTAATAAAATGCTTATTTTGATTATTCTCCTTACATTTCCATCAAACCTTAATTATTAATAATAGAATGATTTTTTTTTCAGAGAGACAGGATTAACAGTCCTTTGTCTGATGAATGGAAAAAAAAGATTGATGAATTGGTAATTTTATCTATAAATTCCAAATTTGGTATGAACGATGAAGTTTAAAACTCTACACTCGCTTCATAAGAAAGTGTTTCATTCGAAAAAGTAGGCTCATCATCTTTGCAAAACTGAGATACAGTGAAAACTTTTATATTCTAATTAGTGTAATCTTCCTGTCTTTCCAGTTGCACCTCGTTGACGCAGTTGATGAAATGGAAACAGGAGGCCTAGGATTGGTCCATACAGAGCAAGATAAAGTTTATATGGTACAGGATTGTTTATGTCTAAATATATAAATAAATAATTTACAATTAAATTTAATTGATATATATATACATGTATATTTTAATCTTATTACTCCCCAACCCCAATATCTTCAATATCCTTAGTAAAACTAAGAAGAATTCACAAAAATATAATAGTATATATTTCTTTCTAGAAAAAGGGATTATTTATTTTTTTCAGCCTATGGTTTTGGCTTCAACTGAATCCAGACACGAGGATGTAAAACAAAACATAGACTATACTCGATTCAGACCAAAAAAATCAGAGAGAAAAATTGGGCCGCTGTGTCAGACACCGCCCTTATGCGGTATGCTTTCATGTCATCCTCCATAAACAACAGAATTTAGAATGTAAAAAAAAAAATAAATCAAGGATAATGTTGCACAAGAACTTTTTTTTTTAATTTCCAGAGAAAAACACGCAGCCATGGAGAAACATTGACAAAAACTGGTCACATGGGCAACGACCCGATGTAGATTACTGGCAATTCCTAATTAATAAATCTGGTAAGATCTAACAAGACATTAATGCTCAAATATTGCAATATATTAAAAAGTTGATTTAAAGTTTTAGTAAATCAATTAAAAACTAATAAAACACTAAAATAAAAGATATATATTGTTATTTGGTTTCACATTGTTAATTGTCATTCATACAGTGAAATTTTTGTTGACCTGCTTTTCAGTGTTAAAAAATATTTGGTGCTAATTTCACTTTACATTTTCTTCTTTTTTTTAGGTTTTGGATTCTAATATATACTGCATTCAAAGATGTAGCAGTTATGGAAAATTACAGAATGGACGAGTGCAGTTTTTTTTTAATTATAAAAAAAATAAATGAAATTCATTCATATTTTTTAAAAAGCAGCTATGTCAGTGCTAAATTGATAACGTTTTTAACAATTTATTGTTATCGAAAAATAAATGAAATTTGAAAATATTAATGTTCTCATTACTGTTTCAATTTGTTGTTATTAAACCATGTTAAAAATATCAAAGGAAGTTTCCGAGATCCAATTTCTTTATTTTGCACCAAATGTTGTCAACCTATAAGATTCGACGACCAAAAAAATATGTCTAGTACATGTATACTCCAAAATACATACGCTTATCTTGCAAGTTCGCAAAAACAAGAGACAGTAACGTCTCTTCACTTTGGCCAGACTAAACTCAAAATATTTAATGTTAGCATGGCAGATACACGTATAGCGGGGACCTCCATTTTTACAATTTTTGAAGACCTTCGTGTTTAAAGTACCAAGAAAATCCAAAACATTACGAACTTTGTTTAAAAAGCATGCTTTCAAAAGGGCCTTACACATAATTTGGGGTATCCCTGCCTAAGTACAAAATTTAGGCCTGTTCTGAGCTTTAAATAAGTGATGTTTTAAAAATTCTATTTGATACAAAGTGGAGACTGCATCTGACGTACATTTAACATTTATCTAAATTGTAAGGAATGTATCCAACTTAAAAGAAGGTATACATACACAAACAAAATCTGCACACATGGGGAATATTTTGAATGCCCTTTTCCCCCTGAAATGTACATTACATGCTGCTTTTGACTCTTTATAGACTCGAGGAGAAAGAAAACATGATTCTCACTTATCAGTTTATACTTGACGAAACTCTGGTTAAGTACAACATTTGGGTCATTTATATAAGCTTTAAATGGACCAGGTGCTAAAAAGTCCAATTAAACTATACAACTTATGAGCAGAGCAGACACGGACCTCTGAAAATATATGAGGTGAGATCGGGTACCGTGGAACGGTCAAAGACTCTTGAAAAGAAAAAAAAAATCCTTCAGAGATCATCATGAGGCAACTCAGCTGAGAACTGTGTCACATGAACATTTTTCTTTCCCAAGGGATGCTTTTTGCAAAAAAAAAAACAAAAAAAAAAAAAACAAAACAAAACATAAAACGAGAACTTCGATCTTCGTTCTATAAACCTTTTCTTTGTTGTCAGATGTAACACTATCTCACCTTACCAAATTGATCAAGCAGGTATTGTTATCAAAATTTGTTCATCATCTGTCTGGCATCTTTCTCTTTGTCATACCTTGATTTTTCAGTTTCTTCTCCAAAACCAACAGGTCACCTGAAACCATACTTGTCTCAATGCATCCTAGGATAAAATGTTCTCAAATATTTTCATATAAGGGGCCATTGCTTTCCCCAAAAGGTCATTATGTATTACCAAATGATAAAAATGAGGTAGAGTTGTTTTAAAAAATCTCAAGAATCAAAAATGTCAAGTAATACGAATTGCTCTCTAGATTGGTTCAGTAAATCTATAAACTAGGCTAGAATGACTTTAGCCCTAGTCCCTTTTGTCAATTCTTTGACGTTATGAGTTTTGTCCTTCAGTCAAATCTCCTTTCTTTACTTTTATGTTCTGGTCCGGATTACCGGTAAGTACAAAATTTAAAAAAAAAAAAAAGGCCTCATATGATTTACTGTGAAATAAAGAAATAACAACATTTCTCCAACATAAAAGACAATAAATAAAGACACTCCAAACAAAATTTGATGAATTCATATTTTGACATATACAGCTACATTGTTTCTGTACTTTCTGGAATTGGTGCAAAAATATACAAGTTTGAGAAGTTTTTTACTTGTACATGCAAGTGTGCAACGGTAAATTTAAGTAACATTACGAAAGCATGAAACATATCAAAATGAAAATAAAATTGGATATTTATAAACTCTTTTTAAACAACTTTATCACACAATAAAGCATAAAATTTAGAAACAATGCTTTATAATACATTATCCCAAACAAGCATTTGCATTTGACGTTTACAATACAGCACCTTAAAATAGACGTAAATGATACATGAAGCATCACACAATCCCCCCCCCCCCCCTCTAGATTTTTCTGTCCAACTACCATTTAAGAAAAATGGGAATTTTAAAGCAGACTTTTAAAATTTAAAATTGCCAAAAAGGTGCTGCCTGACTGCAACATGCATGAACTCACAGTCTGATCAAATGGAATTATGATCACTGGGACCAATACTACATATGTAAATTACCTGATATTTGACCTTTCATATTCAGTCTTATTCTCTATCAACTTTCATGTGAACTAAAAAGATGAATATCAAAAAAAAAAAAAAAAAAAAAAAAAAAATACATAGCTATAAAGCAAAAAAATTACATAATTTCTTTTAAAATAAACATAAGAATTTTCTCTTTGTTGTAGAATAAATATTTTTTCCATTATTTTTTTATTGTAAATAAACTATGAAACATCCATGTAAAAAAAAATTACAGATGGGTAGATACTAGGAGATGACTTAAACTAGTTTTGCTGTTTTACCAAACCAAAATATTCCATCGATACCAAAAAAGTAGGACAGATTTTCCTTCCAACTTTAAATTACCTGATAGGGGAAAATAATCTGATATAATTTTATTAAAAAAAAAAAACTCATTCAGATTTCCAGTTTAAGACTGTGAACATTTGGCATTTGAACACATGACTACTGACTTTTATGTAAAGTGCTTCATTGAACTGCACTGTTAAGAGAATTATCAAGACATGATACACGTCAGATGCATGCTAAGTTTAGCTGAAAAAATGGGGGGAAAAAACACTTCAACTGGTTTTGTCCATTTAAAAAAGCCCTTCAGCACATGTACTCAGAACGTAAAGTTCACTGAAGGCATTTCAAGATATCATGCAAAACATTTTAAAGTGGTCTGATAACAGATTTGTGAAAGATACAATGTATACAGCTTTGATTTTTTTTATTATTACTGTTAATGTCAGGGCCATTATTGGCCCAAAATAATGAATAATTTACCTTAAAAGAAACCCTCCAATGTTTTAATACATTATATGTATCAACAGGATCACATACTTTAAAATGTGCTACTAGGCTATAAAATTTAAAGTTTTATTCATACACCAAATGGATGTACATGTAGGATCTGCTCTTTCATTGTGTAAGTACAGTACCTGATTTACACAGAATAATCACCCCTTTTATGCTACATACATAACATACAGCAAATTATCAAAGTTTAAAATGAATTTACCTGACAGATTCTCTCTTATTGAACCTTTGGCTCAGGACAGATTAAAATGGATAAAAAAAATATCCACAGACTTAATGTAAAATTAGTTGTAAAATTAAATTAACATTTACATTTTTACAAATATTCTTAATTGATAGTTATAATCATATTAAAGTATAACTTAATACATTCATAATACAGTGAAAACTGTCAATCCGACACCTGTACAATTCGTTACACTGTGAATTCATTCCCATTTCATATGTTCTTTCCACTGTGCAATCCAACACCCTGTTTATTTCGACACCAATGTATGTCGGATTAGACAGGTTTCACTGTATCTGCACTATGTAATATAAATTTGCAAGTGAGCTAGAAGTACAAATAAAGCGGATGTACATTGTACAGGATCAAAATTAAAAACACTATTTATTTACAGTGACTTATTACCGTAAGGCATTTGGTAATTCAACCATATCTTTGGTGAGAATCATCATTTTTAATGAGAAAATGATCTTTTAATGTAAGGCCAGCAAGGACTGCTAAGATTCTTGGAGCAGAAAATTTGTTGCTGTATTGAGGTCATTATGAGACATAAGTAAGGCCCTTCTCACACTTTCCTCTGTAAATCCCATATCCACTAGCTGCTGGATCTAAAACAAACAACTACACCTTCAATCTTCTGTTAAAGTTGTCCGAGTTCTTCGATGACTCTTTCTTTGAATCTGACAGTTGCTGTTGCATTAAATTTGCTGTATATATGATAATCTGCAAGTGACCCCCCCCCCCCCAAAAAAAAACAACAAAAACAAAACCAAAGAACTACAGCTTTATTTTTGATTTCTATTGTAGATTTAAGTCTTTACCTGTTCTTGTGATGGTGGATCAGCTGCTGGGACATTTCTCTGCCTTAATCCTTCATTTATTTCTGCAAAATCTTCTGCATCATCCATTGCTCCAAACAGTCCAGGACCATTCTGATAATTAAACAAAAATGGCTTGCACTTATAGTTACATGCCTACAGAAACAAAGATGACCAACAACTAGGGGACATATGTTTCTAAGATACACACATTTAATTTACAAATAACAAGGTGAAATGTCATTCACTCATTGTCAAAGTAAACTCCAATGTTGGAATATGTGATCAATCCAAATCTTTTCTACTACAGGTAGTGACAATGTCATCCTCAATAGTTAGGATCATGTTTCAATATTAATTCAAAGTTCAAAGGTCAAGGTCAAGTTAGAGATGTCATGTCATCCAAAACAGAGATAGACACATTTGATTTACCAGTGATTTGATCAAAGGTCAAGGACAAGTTGCTTAAGCTCATTTTACCTAGTAAAGTTAGAAGGTATATAATAAAAATAGGTTATCCTCAACAAAACTAAAATTGTCTATCTACCAATATTAAAGCCAAGAAAAACTGGCATGGGAGTATGGCAGTATTTTAAACATTTTTTCTTATTTTGTTTATGTTGAAATCCAACACACATTTTCTAACATCAAGATTTAAGGTCTATGCATGATATTAGAAGATCATGATTGGAAAAAGTCATTCCCAACAGATAGGCCAAATGGAAATTTCAAGCCAAACTAACCTGAGGTGAAATTTCAAACAATTCACATCTTTTGCTCTAAAACGATCTTTCCTGATTTGGATAGTAACATGCCCCTGATCTCAGATTGAAAATCTAGGTCTTACCCGATTTGGATAGTAACACAGTCCCTGCTCTCGGATTAACTGCGGTAATATCTGTTGTTCTGTACTGTTTTTAAGATTGCAAAACAGTCCTTGCTCTTGGATTGACTGCAATAACACCTGTTGTTCTATCAGTGTCCTTCCTGATTTGGATTGTGAAGTGGTACCAGCTCTCAGATACCTGCTCTCTGATTGACTGTATCAGTGCTCTACCTGATTTGGATTGTGAGGTGGTACCTGCTCTCGGATTGACTGTATCAGTGTCCTACCTGATTTGGATTGTGATGTACCTGCCTTCAGATTGACTGTATCATGTCCTACTGATTTGGATTGTGTGGTGGTATTTGCTCTTGGATCGACTGTATCTGTGTCCTACCTGATTTGAATTGTGAGTGGGTCCCTGCTCTGGGATTGACTGTATCAGTGTTTTACCTGATTTGGATTGATAGGTGGTACCTGCTCTTGGATTGACTGTATCAGTGTCCTACCGGATTTGGATTGTGAAGTGGTACCTGCTCTGGGATTGATTGTATCAGGGTCCTACCTGATTTGGATTGTGAAGTGGTTCCTCTGGGATTGATTGTATCTGGGTTTTGTGAGGTGGTCCCTGCTCTCGGATTGACTGTATCAGGGTCTTACCTGATTTGGATTGTAAGGTGGTCCCTGCTCTCAGATTGACTGTATCAATGTCTTACCTGATTTGGATTGTGGTGTTGTACCTGCTGTCGGATTGACTGTTAGGTAAAACTTACCTGATTTGGATTGTAAGGCGGTCCCTGCTCTCGGATTGACTGCAATAACACCTGTCGTTCAATCTGATCCATCCTCTCCTGTCTCTGAAGCTCTAGAGTGGCTCCCATGGGGAGAACATAGTCTTTAGGTTCTGCAGAGTCAATAAATCTACCAAAAACTTTATACACAGTTCCAGCAATCACACTGGGTATCACAATTAGCTGCTGGATTTTTAAAAAGTTCTTTCTCCATAAAATTCCAGATATCTAAAAAATTTAAAACAAATGAGCAATATAATTTAATGCAGCTGAATTCTTAATGAATGGGAAGTCTTACATAAGCATAATCCTAAGTCAAATATGATCTGTGAATAAACAATATACTGGACAGATAACAATCAGCAATCAATATTAATGGTCACCAGACATAGGTCACTGGGATAAACAACTGTTCTACACTGTACAAACTAAAAATGTGTTCACAGGACACAAATGCCCAGCCCAAATATAAATGAAAAGAAATGTAACTTGTACCTTTGGTCTGAGTTAATAGTAAAATATAATGAAAGAGGGGAAAATTTTCAAATATTATAACATTCTGCCCATTACAGTACAATATACTGTATACAGGCAAAATTTCACTCCAGTTTTATTTTTGCCCCTTTTCCCTCTTCAGTGGGCAAATTCAGAACGGAGTCAATTAAACAGAGGTATCTCTTTCTTATAACACCACATGTGTGTGGAACAATTTTTAAAGGAAGAAATCATTTTGAAGTGTGTGATAAATTGAAAATAACACAAAATAACACAGGAAGAAAATAACCCTGTACACAATATCATTGATGATATATATACAACTTCCTGTTAGAGAACAAAACATTCATGTATATAATTGATGATATGTAAAGAACACTGTATCGTTGGTAAATACATGTACATGTATATACATCCTGTTAAAAAATAATACTAACTTTTCTTGAAAAACTGTTTGAATTTAATTTATAACCCTCTACTGTAATGCATAAACATTGCCCTGATACTTACAATTCCACAGAATGCTACTATCAAGGTCTCTAAAGAACCGCTAGCTACCTGTTAAAGAAAAGAAAGGAATAATATGATTTTCTTCATTAAGGTTCATAAACCTATAAAATGCACTTGCTTTAATGCTTATGATTTTCCAAAAGAAATGTATTTGTTAAGGTATGTCACTCGTGAAATTTGTTATATCAAGGATTTTTTGAGAAGTATATTTTGGATAAGTACTCATATAGTATGACTCAAAATCGCAGAGAAAATGGGGAGTCAGTGTGCATCTAACTGAGCTACAGTACAATTAAGTTGACCTTTTTGCACTTAAATTGTAACTCTTTGGTTAATCACTTTAACCGTTATCATATTTTATAAGATGTAACCATGGCAATAAACATAATCTTATTTTACGTAAAACAGTTTGAATAATATTTATCATTGAACAAATCATGCAAATTAATGCACGTAAATTATTGTGTGACCTTTTTGCACTAAAAAAGTCTCATATTTGGGGTATTAAAAATCTAAATAGGCAATAGGATATTTTCTTGTATCAAACTTTTTACAACTTATTTGCTAATCGGTCAAAAGTATCGAGTAGTTTAAAATAATGAAAGAAAAAGTTGGGGTCAGTGATGTAAATTTTGAAATATTGGTCAAAATATGCGATTTTCAGACAAAAAACTGTGTAAATTTTATCTCAACTTCCTTAATATATCTTCATTTCTTGGCATTGTTTGTTGAGCGAAGGTGTAAATTTTGTTATAAAAATATAAATTGAGACCTATATTTAATATTCCAGGCATATCATAACGGAAAATATTCTCTGAGTAAAAGTATGTGAGGCTAAAGTTCCAAGATATTAAATTTAATAAATGTGTAGATTTGCAGAATTTTCTGCTAAATATCCTTCCGCCACAAGAAATAGTTCCTTATAAATCTTGCTTCTTTGTGAATTTTTGAGCAGTTTTTTAATTGAATGTTGAACATTTTACATTGTTTAATCTAAATATGTTATAAGGATTGAATTGTAATAAATAGTTTTTAAGTAAGAGGTTCTGACTGAAATTTTCTAAAAGGCTGACGAGTGACATACCTTAAGTAAAATACAAACAAGCATAGCATAGCTTGCAGGGCAAAATTGGACAATAAAGACAATTCAACTTGACAAATTCATAAAGGAATAATAGACATTTATGTCATTAAGAGTTATCTCTCTTATCAGAGTATCAATGAACCTTAAACCCAGCTTATATACCGGTAAGTGAAAGATCAGAAAACAAACCAATAAAAACATTAACTAATATTGTATTCTATTTCTATTCCAACTGTGTAAAAAAAAAATCAAGTATAAAGCATAGCTGATGTTCTATCTTTATAAGGACATTGTAGTTTTGAATGCATTAAACAATAATACCTGTAGACCCAGGAAATACTGGAAGGATTTCCCAGTCATCGGGATTCCTAAAACATTTCCAAGTTCTATTCTTGGAATATCCATAAAGTATGGTACAAAAAATGGGTAAATTAAACATAATCTACAAAACAGAAAAATAATAATTGTACATATACATGTATAACAAGAAGTCTGTGAGCCAATGCTCACTAATAATACCCCCGCTCTGATGTGAATACACAAGTTCGGTTATAGACAAAGACAGTGATAATTAGGAAATTGACATTGGATTTGTAAAAACTGAATCCCAACATATGGCATGCCTAAACAAAGACTGTGCTAAAATTTGAAGCATCTGCGATAAGTAGTTGCTGAGAAAACTACGACCAAAATTTGCTATGTATGTTTCGGACAGACGCACGGATAAACAGGAAGTTGACATCGGATTTGTACAAAAATGAATCCCACCATATGGCATGCCTAAACAAAGAGTGTGTTAAAATTTCAAGCACCTGTGATGAGTGGTTGCTGAGAAAACTGCAACCAAAGTTTGTTATGTGTTGTACGGACAGACGCACGGATAAACAGGAAGTTGACATCAGATTAGTACAAAAATGAATCCCACCATATGGCATGCCTAAACAAAGATTGTGCTACAATTTCAAGCACCTGCGATGAGTAGTTGCTGAGAAAAGTACGACCAAAATTTTTTATGTATGGTACGGACAGACGCACGGTTAAACAGGAAGTTGACATCAGATTAGTACAAAAATGAATCCCACCATATGGCATGCCTAAACAAAGATTGTGCTACAATTTCAAGCACCTGCGATGAGTAGTTGCTGAGAAAAGTACAACCAAAATTTTTATGTATGGTACGGACAGACGCACGGATAAACAGGAAGTTGACATCGGATTCGTACAAAAATGAATCCCACCATATGACATGCCTAAACAAAGATTGTGCTAAAATTTCAAGCATCTGCAATGAGTAGTTGCTGAGAAAACTGCGACCAAAATTTGTTACAGACAGACAGACAGACAAACGGACAGACACACAAGGGTAAAAAACAGTATACCCCCCTCTCCTTCGGAGCGGGGGTATAATTAACAAGAGGCTGACAAGCAAAATTGCTTAACTGAGTCATTATTCTTGACCAAGTTGTTGTTGCTTTCACTCAAATAACATCTGTCAATGTCTTAAATCACATGACTAAACTGAAATATGCTCCAAAATACTAGTATAAACAAGAGAGCACAGTCCAGGTTTTATTCCTATTTCAATGCACTAGTTATGCTATATTTAAATAAATTTACAGCTGATTGCAAAAAAAAAAAAAAAAAGGGACATCCCAATCTCATAAACTTTAAATGTGAAATTCCAATATGAATGGGTATACAGGTCCAAAAGAGGGCTTACTGAGCCACAAGTTCCTAAAATTAAGGGAATGTTACTCCTCATATTGCCAAGATGTACATAAATTTGTACACTCTCACAGCTGAACATATAAAGATTTATGGGAATCAAAAATACTGAAATTCTTTGTGTTTCAAATTCAACAACTGTACAAGTATCGATCTGATCATTTGTAATGTGTTCATTTGATCTGATCATTTGTAATGTGTTTTTATTTTAGCAAGCACTCTTACCCATCTGCTTTTTAACACATTTTGATGCAAATCAGAATATGATTTTTTTTAAAAATCAAATTCTTTTGAAAAGGGGAGAATAAATGTAATAGAAAGCTTACGGGCCAGATGGCAATGGCTCCATATTGAAATGCATAAGTTTGCAAACATGGACAGCAGACAGCTCTAATACACTTCCAAATACAAAAAATCCTATCAGCTGTGACTGGAAAAAAATTGTATTATAAATAAGCAATCATATTTCCAATATCTTAAACCATATAATTTTATATTGTGCATAAAATACATGCATATGTTTCAGTGCATATTTTAGTGATACTTTTCTTTCTTACAGATGGATATTTTCTATCACTACACATTTTTGTACAACATCAATTTTTGAAATGATTTTTTATCAGTTCTGTCAAGAAATTAACTGCATGCAGCATTACCAGTACTGGTTAGTACATTTCTTATCTAAATAACCACTGTTCACCAGTACTGGTAGTACATTTCATATCTAAATACACCACTGTTCACCCTTGCCTCAAAGTTTTCTTTTTTTTTTTTAAATTGCACAATTATACCTAAAAGCTATTCAGAACAATTAAATGTATCTTGTGTAATTAACATGTCAAATACATATTCATAATATACATACTGCAAATTTTCTTGAACCATATCTTCTTTCAAAAGTTCTAAAATAGTAAAACAGAATGCTTCCTATCATGAGGTCCTTGACGTTCAGAAAGGCGATTCTGGCGGTGAGGAGACGCCACAGTTGTAGTTTCTCTACAATAAGGGAGTGGTGGTACACACACAGATGACGGTACTGACTCAGGGGGAAGTTGATGAGGACTGACGACAAGAAGCTGGCTCCCAGAATGCATTTGCACACCGGTGCTTTATCTGAAATATACACAGATGTATATATTGAAAACATGATGACTTTAAAGAAAAATGTTTTTAAAAATGACTATTGAAGGAAAATTGTACTGCAGAATTAGATGTTATCAAAAATTCAATCCTACGTGTGGATGGACAATCAATGAATGTTATTTGAAGTTTAAAGGGGACTAATATCAATGTAAAATAATTCTGCCACAGATGAATACGTGAAGTAGATGTATATAACGGTATATGTCATTTAGAAATTGTAACATCCAGATGTAAAGTTTTTAATGATTGATTTAAACTTAATTATCATGAATAAGCTTATAAATCTTATTTTGTATTTTTATCTTTTCGTATATATCAATATAAATGAAATGGACATCAAATACATTTGCAGTGCAGTTACACCTGCAGTAACTAGTTTTTAGTCTTTTAACATTGACATTCCCAACTTTGGAATAAATGTTGCTATATTTTCCAACAGGCATCTCACTGTCTCTATAGATCCTCTGTTATGATGCCAGGGTTACAAATGCTAAAAGATCTAATTATATGTTATATGTACCTCTAATGATTTAGAAGATATGTTATATATACTTTATGCTCCTCATGTACCATCATGTATGAAACACATGGTTCAGTTAAATTTACTACACAATTTCAAATGACTGCAGGAAAGTCAAATAATAACTTTTTAAAATGTTTTTGTGAAAAATACGAAGAATAAGTTCTAATATTTCCCATGCTCACATAAACAAACAAGGACAATTTTCCATGTTGAAATACCGCTTACAAAGTCTTCAAAAGTAATAAGAATCCAATTTTTATAACTTGATACTGGTATTCGTACATTTGCCATGCTACTGGTGTTATTCGTTGTTGCTTTGTTATTTGTTGACTAGAAATTAAAAGTTAATGCATTTAATTAAAAATATGTATTACTAAGTTTAGTTCTGCTCAACATTTATTTTACACGGTATTACTTCTCATGTACATTGATCATAGTGATTTTATTAATTAGCATAAAAATATCAAAGTAGTATACGTAGTAAACAAAATTTACACTGTCATCATGTACATGTGTCGTTATGCTGCATCTTTGTACATACTCGCCATAAAGGAATGATAAATCACATTAATTGATAATTCCCAGTACATGCACACAACAAAGCATCTCTAAACCATTTCAAACTTTAAATGGCCATCTGAGGTGAGAATATGTGAGTACACCTAAGAACCGATTGTTTCGAACCATGGAATACACATAAAATTTGTATTCACTGATAGTACAGCACGGGAATACAGGCAATTGTCCACAAATGGACTTATACAATGGAGTGGAGAAAAACCCAGATTTTACCATTGTAAAACAATTGTTTGTATATGAGAGCATGGAATTAGTAGATAATGATGTAAATATTTTAAGTAAAATGCTTGGGAAAATGCTTCATATATTTCCAAAAGCGATTTGAAAAACTGGCATTTTCCAAACTCTGTATTTTTTTGTATTTTATTTAACCCATAATGCAATTCAACACTTTAACTCATTTAGCTGATTGGTTGGTTTGTCAGTCACATTGGTGCCTCATTTAGCATGTAAATTTAGTCTGACATCACAAGAAATAGTTTCCTTGACCTGTTAAAAGTGTTCAAAAGCAGCAATATTAACACTATCTTTCCCTTAGATTCCTTCTTTAAAACTCTCTAGTATAAATATTAGTAGTCATACACTTGTAATTTTTGTTTTTTTTTAAATAAAATGCAAAATTGTGAAAAGTTGCATAGACCGTTCCACGATAACTGCGGTACTGCTCTTTTGCAGGGCAAAATTATAGGCCTATACTTTGGTGAAATATGACGTAAAAGAAATTGTTTATTATGTGTCATTTAATTATCTGTCAACAAAAACTGCGCCAAACGTTATTAATTTGCCCTGCAAAAGCTTAGTACTGCAGTTATCGTAAAGGGGCTAATTGAAATAGCTAATTAAAGCTACTTCAAGTAGCTAAATAAAGCTACGGTAGGTAATTCAAGCTACGTACATGTAGCTAAATCTAGTGATTGTACCAGACCTGCTCATATCTAATTAAATGCGTAAATTTCTTTCACATATGATAAAATACAGATTAAATATGACAACAAATTTCTTACAAAATCCCGAAGCACTGTTTAGCTGCCACATAGTTCATTCCATGGGATAATGACGGCTAAAAGTAAGAAAACAGCATCACCACTGCCTCTGTCCACTGTTTCAAAACCGACAATGTATACCGGAATCTAATGTATGAAACAAATATCTAAACGGAAACGGTCATAAGATGCGAAAAATTCAGACTGTTCAGAATATTTTTTTAATCAAAAAAATCAAAATTAAACGTTTAAAAAACTGTTCTGTTACATGATCTTCATGTAGCATAGGCCTATTTGGTGGTGGTGGTGGTTGTTTAACTCCAACCCCTAAATAACTTTACTAAACAGGCCAAAATTCGATATGGCGGCCAAATTATTTCCCATATATGGAAAATCTCAATGCATTGTGGGATAGGTTATCCTCTGATTTTGGAGTCTGCAGTCAAAATATAAATAAGAGTCCTGGAATAAAAAAAGAGAAGGGTTCATGTACTTAATGCCCAGAAGGTATTCATAGTCTCGGATTGGATGTCATTATATGATAATGTCTCTTTTTCACTTGTCCGTGGCTATATCCAGTCTCTATCCAGAGAACTTTCTCCTTCCCGCTACATCCAATCCTCCCTTAGCTACATATGTAACGTCAAAGCCACATGAAGGATATGCCTTATTCTAAGTTCAATAAGATAAAACGTTTTTTTTACTAATCACATTATAGCACTCCAAGCTAGCATGAAATTAAATCACAAATTTGTCAAAAACAATTAGATTATTGTTTTTGTTTTTTATCGCCTGTGTTTTGTGTTGAAAAAAAAATCTTAGGTGTTTGTCTTTAAATCATGAAACTTTATTTCTGGGGAACTCATAAAGGTGACAATGTTGAAAAAAAACTACATCTTGATTTTTGTAAGCAAATACTAGGAGTTAAAAAATCTACATGGAATGCAGTAATACTGTTGTTTATGCTGAGTTATGTAGACTTCCTCTGTTGTACAAAAGGATGTTTTCAATGATAAAATTTTGGGATAATATATTAGCCAATGATAACTGTATTATTAGAAATTGTTATAAGAAAATGTACATTAACTGTGAATCTCATGCACAAAAAAATATGGGCTTTTCAGGTGAAGAAATGCTTAAATGGTCTTGGTTTTAGTGAAGTTTGGGGTAAACAACAAATTAATACAGCTACCTTAAAATCTATTAAACAATGGATCTTGGATCAGGCTAAAAAAGAAATATTTTCTAAAATAGAAAGTTCACAGAAATTTTCTTTCTATGAATATCTACTTGTTCAAAAATGTATATCAAAGTTAAGAATATCCTTACACCTTTTAGCTATTGAAACTGGGAGATATAATAAAACAAACAAAGCCCACAGGAAATGTTTTTCCTGACATACTTGTGTTGAGGACGAATATAATTTTCTACTAGTATGTCCTGTTTATGCAAATTATCGAAGCAAATTTATTAAAAATATTTCTTTAAAAAACTATCCATGTATAAATTTTTGCAATTGTTCAATACTGAGAACTTTAAGGATATGTGTAACCTCGGTAAATACAGTGTACATATTTATTATAGCATAAGGCGAAGAGGAGATCTTGTAATCCAATAATTGTAATTTTTTCTTTCTTTTTATTTCACTATTATTTATGTACATGTACGTACACATTGTTCTCCTGTAAATTTCCACTTCTGTACTGTATCTGATTGTATGATATTGTATATACTGATTGTATTATATTGTATATACTGATTGTATTATATTTTATTATATATTTGTTCAATAATACAGGATTTTTGCATCCCTGATATGAACACAGGCACGCGCCCTGTATTACACACCCTGTATCAGCACCCTTTATTTTACCCTTTATCACACCCTTTATTACACCTTTCCGGAACATCTCTGTATTTTTCATTCGGAGTACCTCGGATCTTTTTCTATTAATTGTTTATAATGTTTATTTAAATTGTAAATTTTCATCAGATATTTTATGCTATTCAAAATAATTATTTGTTTAATTCATAATTATTTCATTTCTTATCGCTGTATGCATTGCCTTTGGAAAAAATTTATGAGAAAGGAAATTCAACGAAAAAAAAGAACATATTCAATTATTAAGAATTAATTAATTTACAGGTTTATTTATGATTTTTTTGACACTATTTTCAAATATATAATAAAAACAACAATACATGACAAAATCTGTATCACACCCCATATCAACCCTCGACCAATATCAGCCCTCTGGCCTTCGGCCCTCGGGCTGATATTGGAGTCTCGGGTTGATATGGGGTGTGATACAGATTTTGCCATGTATTATTCTCTATGTATATACTGATAAGCTGTAAAGCTTAAAGTAATAAAGAAGAAGAAGTGCAAGAGGAAAGAGCTAATTAGCTAGCCGAGGTTATAGACAAGTAAACAAAATGCAATACTCTATAAACACGTAGTATAAAGGAAAGGGAGTGACTGCACTTCCTTGCAGAAATGGTCATTTGCTGTTAATTTTTGGGAAATTTTCACTGAAAGGTTGTTTGAGCCTCTCAAATTATGGTGGTACTGTTGTTTAATCTATACCCCCCACCCCACCCCATGTTATCGTATATCCTAAAAGAGACGGGGAATCTAACCCCACTTTCTTTGCTGCCACCTTCCCGCTCTATATCTCTTTCAATTCCTATGCATGGTCATGATTTATGTGCCAATTTTGCGAAAACTTAAATTAAGGGGAAAAAAAGCTTTAATTTCACTTCAATGTAATGCGTGCATGAATAGTTAACAATTCCTTCGCATGGTAATGATTTTCGTGCAAATGCACGGACGCATTACAGTCCCACTTTAAAGTATTCCTGATTGATAAAAATTCATTAATGTAAAAGTAGGGAATAATAGTAGTTGTCATTTACTTCATCAATAGTGTATTCATGATCAGTTAACAAAAGAGTTGTCATTTACTTCAATGTAAGGTATGCTTGATCAATTAACAGAAGAATTACACATATAAATATTACTAAATAATGGAAAATGACTTTTTTATATCCGTGGGATTTTGAACAAAGTGGTATGTTTTACTGGTATAGAATGGGAGAAATTTTGGAGTTTTGACAATTTTGGACTTTTTTTTTCGGCTTGTCAAAGTTTTTCCAAGTGAGTTGATTTTTTTTTTTTTTTTGCGTGGCTGCCCTCCCCGGATCAATATCGACATACTACATGTACGTGCCTGTCATGTAAATGATCGTGGCAATTGTTGGCAATTTCATAGCGGTTGTTACATGTAAAATCGGTATGATATACACAAAGAATTAAGATAACGATTTTCAAGGTTGACACTAAATGCTCATTGTTTATAGCAAAGTATTTTAATATAATAATTTTAATATAATCTTCTCATCAGATTAAAATAATGGTGTCAGCCAAACCATTCAAAAATCAGAAATACCGAAAGATAAAGAAGGAATGCATCAAAAAGAGGGCGCTGTTCAGGGACAGTGAATTTCCTCCCGAGGGTACCTCCCTATTTTACAGCAGGGCAGCCCCGGCAAACATTGTCTGGAAACGACCAGAGGTGAGTATCAATCAATAATATAGTGATAGGTGACATGAAGAAACTCGTGAAAGAAAAAGGTAAAAGTTAAGAATATTGATCGACCTAACAAAATCTACAAACAGCACAAATTTGTGAACAGGGTAAAAAAAGGACCCTTGGGATTTCCAGAAATCAACGATTTTATGGATAGTCGGTTGATTTTTTTTCTTTTCGTGAACAGCCAACGGAGTGTAATTTTTAGAAATTCCTTTCCAAATACGACTCTAAGATTTTGCCCAAATGTACATAAATGACGAAAATTAAACGACAGAAAATTGGAGGGGGTGGGGGGTGGGTGTATGTTGTGCATTCTTAAGAGGCTACTACAGCAGTAAAAATGTTTTGAGCAGAATTACTAGACAGCAATAAACTTTTGAAGTTGTTTTAGGTAAAAAAAAAACAGCAAGACAATAGAAAACTTTCAATATCATCTATTTCAACTACACATATCAATATATTTTACAAAAATCAAATTTAAGGTCGACCTCCAAAAATAATCTAAAATCATTAAGAGTCTCTCAGACTCATTTTTCATAATATCTTAGTCCCAAAAACTTTAAAACACGGGTTTTGATGCTTTTTCTTGTCTTGGTTGGAGAGGATTTCTGAAGAAGAAGAAGAAAAAAAATTGTACGCACAAAAAATATTTGAAACTGTTTAAGAAAAGTCAGTCAAATAAAGAGACGTTTTAAACAGATTTTAATACTTTTATGAACGTCAAACAAAAAAAATACCTTTTCTGAACATGTTCCATGAGCATGTTTATCCTCCAAATTTTGCATGCTTGATAAGGGGTTAGGAGTATACTTGGTTTGATTTAGCTTTTCACTCTGAAAGAAAAGGAAAATATAGCCATTTATTGTTAATATCCTATAGGAGAAAAATTTAAAGCATTTTTGAATTTCATCTCTCTAAGGGGATGTAAAAAAAATTAAATAAAATGTTATTTACCTTCGGGCTGTCCTTGAAATAGTCTATATTGAATAGGAAGAGTTTCCTGGGTACAAACAATACATTGTTATTCTCCTCATTAGCTTCCATTTCTCTCTCTATGCTGGAATTCTTCAATATGAAAATAATTGAAAGTTAATTTTTGATTCCCTTGTAATTGTAATTATTAATTAAGAATACCTCACACACATTAAGAATACTGGTTACAACAGTAACAGCTTATGGAGGGTGTGTCGAAGAAAACGTATGAAAACTATTTCAAAATATTAATTTTAAAAATTTCAAAATTTTAATTTTAATATTATTAAGTATCGAATTACTTTAACAAATCTATAGAAATATTTCTATGCAATAGTTTGCTTTATTCTAAAATAAACAGAACTTTAATAAATCAGCTTTTTAAATTTGATTTTACATCGAACATTGAATCTTTCAAAGCTATAACTTCACATGTATAATAATAATCTCATCCGTACCTTAATGAGTCGATCTTTTTTCTTTTCCTCCATTCTCTGGAAAAAAGTAAAATTAAATATTAATGTTAATATTTAAGTAAAACATATTAACATTCAAACACAACTAACATGTGTATATCACATGAGAAACAACTTTTTTTTATGAACTTCTAAAATGTACCTACCACAAGCTCCCCGTGGACTGCTTTCATCATTTCAAATTTTCTGTGTATATCTGCTCGAATGTTGGTCACATAATTGGTCCTTTTGGCTACCGTTTCCTATTAATATGGAAGAAAAAAAATTTATGATTTACAATGATTTACAACGGAAGTGGTATTTTGTTTGAAACATGTTTATTAATCGGACTTAAATAATCATAAATTATAAGTCTTAAAATATTAAGTTGATAATATCAATGCCTAGACAATTGATCAATTCGTTATTGATAGATTATCAATCAAGGTGATATCACAATAAGTTGAATATCAAATCGTTTTGACATTTTTGAAATATCTATAAGCAAGGATTAGCACTTCTTCAGGGAAAAAAAAATCTGAATCCATCATATCATTTTAATCAGTTGTTTTACTCACCAAGCATTCCTGCAGAACTTTCCTTTTAACATCATGAGCAGTTTTCTTTCTTTGAGATTCGATCTTAAAATATACAAATAATTAATAATAATAATGATAGAAATAAAAGATAAGTCTTTTCGACGAAAGAATTGGTTTATGCAAGTATTAAAATTACCTCATGAAGTCATATCGATAATTAAATGATATTAATTGGCGAGTACTTCATACCTTAAGGTCTCCATGAACAACCTCCATTAGTTCCCTTTTTCGCATCATGTCGGCCTGTATTTTCTCCATCTTGCTTAACTTTCTGGCTATAGTGTCCTAAAATTGGTATACATTGACTACATTTAAGATAACTTGATTCTAACTCACTGTTTATTAAATCAAGATTAAATGGTGAGTACTACGTACCTTAAGTTCTCTGTGCACAGCATCCATTAGCTCCCTTTTTCGAATCATGTTGGCCTGTATTTCCTCCATCTTGCTTAACTTTCCGGCTATAGTGTCCTGGAATTAGTATACATTGGCTACATTTAAGATAACTTGATTCTAACTCACTGTTTATTAAATCAAGATTAAATGGTGAGTAGTACGTACCTTAAGTTCTCTGTGCACAGCATCCATTAGCTCCCTTTTTCGAATCATGTTGGCCTGTATTTCCTCCATCTTGCTTAACTTTCCGGCTATAGTGTCCTGGAATTAGTATACATTGGCTACATGTAAGATAACTTGATTCTAACTCACTGTTTATTAAATCAAGATTAAATGGTGAGTACTACGTACCTTAAGTTCTCTGTGCACAGCATCCATTAGCTCCCTTTTTCGAATCATGTTGGCCTGTATTTTCTCCATCTTGCTTAACTTTCTGGCTATAGTGTCCTGGAATTAGTATACATTGGTTACATTTAAGATAACTTGATTCTAACTCACTGTTTATTAAATCAAGATTAAATGGTGAGTACTACGTACCTTAAGTTCTCTGTGCACAGCATCCATTAGCTCCCTTTTTCGAATCATGTTGGCCTGTATTTCCTCCATCTTGCTTAACTTTCCGGCTATAGTGTCCTGGAATTAGTATACATTGGCTACATTTAAGATAACTTGATTCTAACTCACTGTTTATTAAATCAAGATTAAATGGTGAGTACTACGTACCTTAAGTTCTCTGTGCACAGCATCCATTAGCTCCCTTTTTCGAATCATGTTGGCCTGTATTTTCTCCATCCTGCTTAAGCTTCCGGCTATAGTGTCCTGGAATTAGTATACATTGGCTACATGTAAGATAACTTGATTCTAATTCACTGTTTATTAAATCATTATTAAATGGTGAGTACTACGTACCTTAAGTTCTCTGTGCACAGCATCCATTAGCTCCCTTTTGCGAATAATGTCGGCCTGTATTTTCTCCAATTCTCTTAACTTACTAGTTGTGGTGTCCTGGAATTAGTATACATTGGCTACATTTATATAACTTGATTAAAATTCACCGTTCATTAAATCAACATTAATTGGTAAGTACTACGTACTTTAAGCTCTCTGTGTACAGCCTCCATTTGATCTTTCTTCCTCATCATGTCGGACCATATTTTTTGCATCTCGTTTTTCTTTCTTGTTACGGTGTCCTAGGATAAGTATACGTTTAGTACATTTTAAAGTTCATGCTTCTAATTCATTGTTCATAAAATATACATGAATCAGTGAGTACTACATACCATCAGCTCTCTATGGATATCTTGCATTAACTCCATTTTTCGCATCACGTCGGCCTGTATTTTCTCCCTTTCGCTTGACTTTCTGGCTGTAATGTCCTACAATTATACATTGGTTTCATTTTAGAAAATATGCTTCTTATTCACTGTTCCTTAAATTTACATTAATAAGCGATTACTATACGTACCTTTAGCTCTCTGTGGATAGCCTCCATTTTATCTGTCTTCCTTGCCATGTCGGACCGTATTTTGCGCATCTCCTTTGACTTTTTGTTTATAATGTCCTATGAAAAGAATATTTGTAAATAAGTAAATCATAATTCTGCACAACTTGCCTATAATTAATTACAATTTTGAACAACTGATAATTTAGTTGATTCAAATATAGGTTAGGCAAATTAAACTGGAATGGGGGTGTCCTTTATATCTCACTGCATCCTTTTCATATTTTTAATATTTATAAATTATACATAAAACTCTTCGACTTTATTCGATTTATTTATTTCATCCAGGGTTGAGATATTAGATAATTCCAATTTTACTTACAATCATTTCTTGGTGAACTTTCTTCATAAGGGCTTTCACAATCTTCTTTCTTTTTCTGTCTTCTGACTCCATTGCCTTACACAAATAATTAAATACAAAAATAAACAAGGATTCTAGGAGCATTGATGCACATGAACAGCGCGTATTTATTTTGATAAATTATCACCAATAGATAAATTAATTACCTCCAATCTCTCTTGCCTCTCTACCTCCTCAGCCCAGTTATAACTAAACTTTAAAATCTCAAGTTTGGTCTCCTAAATTAAGACAATTAATGACATCAGATAATTTAAGCACAAAACACTTTCAACTTTTTTTATCTATTCACAAAATTGAAAAATTAAAAAATAAAAAATTAGATAAATGAACAAAAAGTTCCAGCAATCAATGTCTGTATGTATATTAGTATTAAACGTAAACTAAAGCTTTGGTATACGCTTACCCCTTTGTCACTGAAATCCAGTATTTCACTGTAGTCCATCATAAATATTTCTTAATTCTACAAAAGAAATAGTAAAAAAGAGTGTTTACTTAGTTTTTATAACTGTAACTCAGAAATTTAATTCGTAAATTAACCAAATTAAGTAAATATTTCATAGCTGCATTTCACATACTGACCTGCTTTCTGCTTAGTTCCTTTGTTTATGGTGATGATTGTGACGTCAACTAAACGCCAGATAGCTATGACGTCACAATCACAAAAGAGCAGACAACTTTCACTCATGCCCATTCTTTGGCCCGGAACATGAAAGCCCGCATGAAACAGGCGTTGTTAACGTGCAAGTATGTCCTGTCTCGTAACAAAATTATAAAAAGCTATGTATTCAGTGAGCCAATTATGAGCGACTGATTTCTTTTAAAGTTATTGACTTACTTGATTTAAACATACTATAGTATTTCTTAATATAATTTCATGTAAATTACTTGAATCTGACTCGTTGTGGAAAATTTTATTTTAAAAAATGCTACCCTCTGCGATAAAACCATGCCTTGAAGCGTGATAGAACGTAGCAACAGTCAACATTGATCGAGAAACCACGCCTTCCGGCGTGATAGAACGTAGCAACGGTCTACATTAATTGACGACGGGTGATATTCCAAAAAAAAAAGTACTGACTGCACAGAATTTATGTGCTAACGGTTCATTAAATATAATTAAGATTGCATTTAGTTGAGGGTAACAATGAACTTCTTCATCCCTCGGAAACAGTTTTCAATGTCGGCCGCCCCTCCATTCATGATAACTTATGGCTTTGTTCAATGTTTGCCCTACATGTATTTTTTATATTATGTTCAGTAGTATGGATTTTAGGTAATTGTACATCGAATAATGCTACATTTTCATCAAGTGATACATGTAAGTCTCCAAGCTGGTTTTAAATCATTTAAAAGTATTTAAAAAATAATGAATAAGGTTATAGACAAATGTTTATTTTCGATTTTTCAAATTCAAGACATCAATATACTTGATGACTATTAACGATAGTAAAAACCAAAATTCATTGACCGAGGCAAATGGTTCAATCAATCTGCTCATGCATTCTCAACTTGTTTGACCAGCTCGTGTATGTTACAGTTAAGGGCGTTTGTTTTGATCCATCATAGTTTAATTGTCCTTTCATGTGAATATTTACACGTAGGTCGAATCGAACTATTAGTTTTATTTGAAATAATCCTTTGAATATCATGATTTTACTTATGGCAAAAATCTTGTCGCGAGCCCATTGCAGAGGTGTCTGAGAGAGGAACGAATGACAACTCAGCAAGGGAGATTCAAGGCTGTTAACTTCTGTAGAGGCGTCGGAACCGGGGGAGGGGATGGGGATGGTAGACATAACATAGGCATTGAAATTTGGGGCTTATAGCCCCCATACGGTTTTTATTTGGTTTAGCCCCCATTTCTATGTCCCCGTATCGAAGATTCGGGGTTATGTACACTGTAGTTTTTGCCTTATCCGTCCATCTGGCTGTCTGTTTGTCCGCAAAAACTTTATCATTGTTCATAACATTTGATTGGTTGGAAGTATGGCTTTCATATTTCACATGCGTATTCCTTGTGACAAGACCTTTCTTTGGGTACGATCATATTTGACCTTGACCATGGAGTTTGACCCAGTTTTGAAAAAAATTACTGAACTTTAACCTTGGCAATATCTTTTGAACAATTAGTGCTAGGAATTTCATACTTCACATGTGTAATTCTTGTGACAAGACCTGTTTTTGGATATCAACAACTTTGACCCTTTGACCTTGAGCTAGGAGTTTGACCTACTTTTGAAAAACTTTAACCTTGGCCATAACTTCTGAACGGTTGGTGCAAGGGCTTCCATACTTCACATATGTTATTCTTTTTACAAGACATTCCTTTTGATACCAACAGCTTTAACCCTTTGACCTTGACCTAGGAGTTTTACATACTTTAAAAAAAATAATCTTGGCCATAATTTTTGAACGGTTGGTGCTAGGGCTTTCATACTTCACACATGTAATTCTTGAGACAAGACCTTTCTTTCGGATATCAACAACTTTGACCCTTTGACCTTGACCTTGGAGTTTGGCCTACTTTTGAAAAACTTAAACCTTTGCCATAATTTCTTGAACGATTGGTACTACGGCTTACACATTTAATATGTGTATTTCTTGTGAGAAGGCCATTCCTTGGGTATCATTAATTTTTACCATTTGACCTTGATGTTTGACTTACTTTTGGAAAACTTTAACCTTTTCCATATCTATTCAATGGTTGCTGCTAGGGCTTTCATATTTCACAGGTATATTCCTCGAAACAAGACCTTATTTTGGGTACCAACATGTTTGATATGCATTTGAGAAAGTTTAGCCTTTGCTATAAGTTGCCATACGGAGGCATCAGTGTTTCACAAACACATCTTGTTTCAGATAGTTCCCGATATTGAACAACAGGATTGGGGTAAAGGCCGAAAGTACACTGGAATATTCCATTTGAGTTCTGGCAGTGTGGGGAATGGGTAGATGTCGTCATAGACGACTATCTTCCCACACGTCAGGGGAGATTAATCTACATGCACTGTAAATCAAGAAACGAGTTCTGGTCAGCCCTGCTGGAGAAAGTATATGCCAAGTGAGATTCGATAAGTTTCTTTATGACATTAATGCAACACATAAATTGCCATGAATAGTTGCATGTGCATGTATTGTGACGCAAAATATCTGTGATATGATAGAAATAGATTCTAACTTTCCCAAACGTTATCTTTTGATTATTCGGGGATTACGAGTCGCTGGTTGCTGGGAAAGCTAAGGACGCCATGGTTGACATGAAAGGGGGCGTGGCCGAGGGTATAGAAATCAAAGACTATAATTCTACACAGGAGAGGAAAAAGCTGTTTAAGATTCTGCGAAAATCGAAAGAAGACAAATCCTTGATGAGCAGGTCCATTGCAGTATGCACCTGCAGCACTTTATTAATAATATTTTAAATCTCTGTAGATCCGTAAATCACGCAACCAAATGCAATTTTTAGTACTAACTATTTTTCCTTAATTTCTTTTATTTATAATAATTGCTCTCTATATCATTACAATATACTTAGTTCTAGAGATAGGGCATATTTCTAAAATAGATACTTTGGACTTTTTGTTGTACTTTTTTTAGGCGACTAGGGCAGAGATGGAGAAACACTTGCTTGTGGTCAAGTAAAGGGCCACGCCTACGGTATTACTGACGTAAGAAAAATAAAGCTGGGAACAGGACTGAAGTCCATTTTCAGCAGAGAAAAAATCCATTTGATTCGATGCCGCAATCCATGAGGCGGTACCGAATGGAAAGGGGCGTGGAGCGATGGGTTGGTACTTTAAAGGAACTCTACGGGAAAAGAAGTTAAGCCTCAAAATGACAAGAATTTTCCTAAAGTTGGTAGCGAATTAAATGGAGAATGTTTAAAAAGAAGTTTTCCTGTGAAAATTAATATAATATCAATCAATATCTTGTAATTTTTATTTCTAGGTCCCCGGCGTGGAAGAAAGCGAGTGAAAGTGAGAAAAAAGAACTTGGATTAACATTTGACGAAAATGGCGAATTTTGGTAAATAAGAGAATGGGTTCATATTGGATACAGAAATAGATTGTTTAAAAGTATATTTCGAAAGAAAGGCAATTACTTTTCAGTTGAAATTGAACTTATTCAAGAAAATCAATTTTAGGAAAGGATATTCTACTTTAGACCATATTCGGACTTTACACTTTTTATCAAACACACTGATGAAGTGCAAAAAAACATTTTTTGTATTTTACAGACTTCAAACAAGCGTTTGACGCTATTTAGAGAAATGGACTTTGGAGTAAACATTTAAATTATGGAGTCAAAGGCAAATGCTTCAAGTATATTACAAATATGTATCAAGGAATCAAATCACTTATTAAGATGAACGGCACGACAACCCATGTTTTCTTTTGTAATGTCGGAGTCCGGCATGAAGAAAACTTATCCCCCTTTTTATTTTCCCTGTACATTAATGACCTTGAAAATTGTTGATAAAAATATAATTTGTCTACAAAGCCTTACTACTTCAATAGAAAATGAATTATGTATGTACTTGAATCTTCTTATACTTTTATATGCCGATGATACTGTCATTTTAGCAGAAACTCCTGGTGATCTACAGAATGATTTGAATGAATTTGAATGCTATTGTAGGGGGTGGAAATTGCAAGTTAATATTGACAAGACCAAAATATTAATTTTTTCAAAAGGTCCTTTATTCAAGAGAACATTTTACTACAATAACAAGAGTGTAAAAAATGTAAGAGAATTTAAATATCTTGGCATCATTTTTTCAAGATCTGGTTCCTTTTTAAAAGCCAAGAAACATCTGTTTGACCAAGCTCAAAAAGCAATGTATGGTATAATCAGAAAAATTATACAATCCCACTTCCTTGTAACGTCATTTTGAATTGTTCGATAAAATGGTTGCACCAGTGTTACTCTATGGTTGTGAAATCTGGGGTTTTGAAAACCTAGACATTATTGAATGTGTTCATTTTAAATTTTTGAAACATATACTTTACTTGAAAAGTAGTACTCCAAATTTTATGGTGAAACAGGACGCTTTCTATTATCTGTCCTTGTTTATTCCAGGATAGTATCATACTGGTGTAAATTAATTAATGGCCCCGAAAACAAAACTTTAACTATTTTATATAAATATTTAACCTCTTATTCACAATCTGAAATTGGTAGGAATCCATGGATTGATTGTGTGTATCGTATTTTCGATTCTTGCGGAATATCTAATATTTGGAATGGACATTTTTGTAATTATAGTCTTAATCAAGATTGGGGTACCACTGTTGTAAAACAACGATTACAGGATCAATTTTTACAAAAATGTCATGCTGACATTAATATTCATCCAAGGGTGTTGAGTATAAACTTTTTAAAATAAATTTTGAATGTGAAAAGTATTTAAGTATTTTGCCATTAAAGTTTAGAAAAATATTTGGA